TGCATTCTCAGGTGGAGATCAAATAGTGGGAGTGGAGATATGAAGAACAAAGTGAAGATAAGGAGGAAATTAAGAGAGCCAAGATTCTGTTTCCAAACAAAAAGCGATGTCGATGTTCTTGACGATGGCTACAAATGGCGTAAATATGGTCAGAAAGTCGTCAAGAACAGCCTTCACCCCAGGTACTTAATTATCACCACCACATATATGTGACTGATTAGTCTTCATTAACTTTACCAATAGTTTCCTAATATAACATTTACCTCGTTTAATCACATTGTTTGATGATTGATAGTTTCGTAAAAGCTGAGGTGAAAAACTTAATTTAGGTGCATCATAATATTCTCTCTTTAGACTCTTGTGGAGCCTTAATTAGCTCAAGTACTAGACATGACTGTTTATACCTATATGTATAATTACAATATGTATCGTCTGTACGTGAGTACGTCCCTCGGGGGCTGTCATCATTAAGAATGAAAACAATCCCTTTCTATTTTTATCTTTTTATTGTGCCATGTCTACACATATTTCCAACTATTTTTGCGAATATTCACACAATTTTTAATGGTTAACTAAATCTAATTATTATGTCTAATGATGAATGAATGAATGAAATATATATACAGGAGTTATTACAGATGCACACACAACAACTGTAGGGTGAAGAAGAGAGTGGAGCGACTATCGGAAGATTGTAGAATGGTGATTACTACTTACGAAGGTCGTCACAACCACATTCCCTCTGATGACTCCACTTCTCCTGACCATGATTGTCTCTCTTCCTTTTAACCTCTCTTTCTGTATATCTATATATATACAGATATATCTGTGCATATATAGATGTGTGATATATTGCATGCATGTGTTTTTCTAGAGTATGTCATAAGTCATCAGATGTTATGCATATCTTCTTGACTTGTTTGCTTACATATATATAGTATACATATGTAATAATATATATTGACATTGGTTGTTCATTTTGGATAAAATTTTCAATGCGTTAGTTTTTCAGTTTTGACACGGTGGAAAGAGATAATCTTGTTTAAGTGATTCTGAAGCAATTATCAGATGAAGAATACATTTTATTGGTGCATGATCTATTTCTTGAACAGGAAAAATAAATACATTATATATTATTCCCAAAATCTGATAAAAAAAAAAAAAGATAACACACGATTTAAAGTGATTAATTTACTATGAAGTTAAGTCTACTTCTAGTCGATCGTTACAAATTTTATTATAATTGAATTTTCGAGTTAACAATTTTACTCTTAATTTCATTCTACAACAAATGATCAGTTCAATGTTCAAAAATAAACAAAAGACAAACAAATACATGTTTCAAATGGTCGATTAACGTAAGATTATCACAACGAAAATAAGATATTAGGCACAACTCAACATTGTAGATCCAGTATAACTAGTTTACTTTAAAAGCCATAAAAGGAAGAAACCAAAAAGTAACTAGTTTATTAAGGTAGTAACAACACTCAAGGTAGCTTAGCTACAAATTAAACTAGCACATGGTCTTTATAATTAATTATACTAATTAGGGTTATCTAGCTAGCTAGAGAAGCTTCTCTCTCTCCCCTAATGATGAAGATGTTATAACTACAGATGATTGAATCATGCAGCCGGAGCGTAATCATAGACTACATCGTCGTCATCATCACCTTCGTTTTAGAAAGATGCAAATGCATTGTCACCAACTCACCATTGGGATAGAGAATCAAGTCAAATACGATTGACGACATCTTCTTTTTTTTTTTTTTTTTTTTTTGACGACATCTTCTTTCTTCACTCTACTTACGTGCAAAAAAATTGTAAAGAAGCCTAAAGAAATACAACATGATTTGATTAAATATTGAGATGGTTACTCGTATGTGTTTTTTTTTTTTTTTTTTTTTGTGCACCTCTCGTATATGTTTATTGATGGTAAAAGGCAATTAAAATTGCGAGTGGCAAACTCGCTGAAACCGAGTCAGGGCATGTGACTCGCTGCTTATCAGTGTGTGCCAGACACAAGTGGAGTGTGAGTAAACTGAGTAAGCCACCTATTTTGTGCCCTGACACACCCTTCACTTTGTGTACATATATTGGTCCACCTCTTATTACAAGATTTGTTAACATTTCTCATTAGATTATATGACTTAAATTTTTCTTAATGGAATAATAAACTTTATTCAAGTGAAGAGGAAGAAACATAAAGTTTGTTTTTTCTTTTGGATTTTAGTATGAAATATATGATAGGGTATTGATTCCCTCAACCAAGAGCAACATCATGGCATCATGCATTGCATGGAACCTTGAGGGACAAAAAGAAAGATTTATGATCTGATGTCTAGATTTGTTTGGGTTTATGTTCACTTCAACATTATTATGATCATTATTTGTTTTTTTCTTGGATCAACATTACAATAGTTTTCTCTATAAGAGATATGTTCTAGATTTGTTTGGGTTTATCTTTCATTTCGACATTTTTATGGTAAAAATTTGTTTTCTCTTTGGATCAATGCAACAACATTTCAATACTTTTTTTTACCATTGGGGGTTTTCCGAAAGTAGAGAAATACTCAATAAACGGCCCATGTTAGGCCCATAATCGGCTCAAAAGATGATTGTGAAGCGATTGGTAGAAGAGATGAGAGACTTATAATGATAAACATTGTATTTGTATACCCTAACAAAACCTCTCATCTCATAAATTTGAAAATTTTATTCTTAAAATAATAGTGAGAGCCAATGGAGAGCTCTCACCATTGGAGATGCTCTAATTGATGTTCTTTCTTTGATCGTGACGTGACAGCAAATAATTGGTTCTTGGGCCCTTTTGTGTAAACTAACAACAACCGCTATTGTTTTATTTAAATTTTCACGAACGATTGTTGTAACTTGTATTGTATGTATCATTTCGATCTTCTTAGAAGATATTTGTAACAAAAATGGCGTATGCAACTTAAGATGAAACGGATAATATAGCTAGGCCCACCAAATAGAGATGGATTGGTCTGATAAAATCTTCAACAACAAAAATATTTGATATGGTCTGATTGAATAAATATCTTGAAAAGAGAATTGGCTTATATAGAAAGAAAAAAAGAAAATTCACAAACGAATTCGGAATTTTAAAAAAACTGTACATGCAACCAAGAAATGTGGTCCTCCATCTTTATATAACTTCAAGACAAATTATCGACTAGACTAGGCGTATACTATATATCAATATTAAATGTATTCTAAAACATGAATATTGTGAATTATAGAATTATTTTAATCTTTTTATAACTATTATATGAATTAAACTAAAGGAAAAAAGGCGTATTTGAAGGATGGGGGAGGGTCACATGGAGTAGCACATGGAAATTGGGTATGAAAAAGATACGATAAGCGAGAGACACGTTACGCAGTTATTGATGATCCCCAAATGCTCCAAAAAAAACTGGGTGTAAAATTATATCTCTACACTTGAAAATCATATCGTATGTATAAAAGACTCTTTATTCTTACTCTTTATTCTTAGTTCTCTCACGAGACATGCTTTACTCTTTCATCACACCAATCCCAATCTAAATGTTTTTTCTTGTAACTTCAGGTAGTACTAATCAGTAATCAAGTATACGATCAGTACTCGCATCATACAAAACCCAAATTAAATAAAATAATGGTACATAATACACTATAAATGTTGTAATAAAATTTTGTCTACTTACGTTTGTAGTTCATGAGTGGAACTACGGTATTTGTAATGTTATTCGGAAGATAAATTACCGACGAAATAACAAAAATGCATCTGTTATTGGATTGCAAATTACGTATAGAGAGCACGGTGAAAATGCGTTATAAAACATGAAAAATGTAAATCTATACACAAATAGTAGAGAATCAGTATTTGAAAGTATGATAATCCAGTTCAAGACTTTGTGTTCATTTGCATGCAATAGATCTCAACGTCGATAATTTGAATTTCGGTTATTAACAATAGAAAATAGATTTTCTAACATATAACACGATATAGTACAAGGACTAAATTTATATACTTCTTACAATTTTCAGTCCACGTGCTTCCATTTAAAATTCAGTTATTATGTTTTATACAGTTTCATAAATCTTTTATAATTTTAATATATTATTAAATGAAGCAAATAAACTCGATTAAATAAATTTGAAACGTTCCAAAGTGACATATCCTGTAAAGTTAATTTTTTTTTTTTAAAACGTGAAATCTCTTCTTTTTTCACTTTTTTTCTTTCTTTGGTTGCTCTTTTAACTTTTGGGTTTGCTGTTCTTAGAATTTTGCTAAATGCGTTCAAATTAGCTGTCCCTCTTGGCATCTTAGATTTAGATCGATCTATTATTTATTCATATCGATATTTTTTTTTTGCTAACAATCAATTTTTTTTGGTGTTATAAAGAAAGGATTAAATTTTGATGTTACCAGATGGGAATTGATTCACATTATTAGAAACACATGCATTTCGTTAGATCACTATCGTGACTTTCTAATTTAAATAAATATTTCGTTAGATCACTATCGTGACTTTCTAATTTAAATAAATTTTCCCCACATGTTATGTAACATGATGAGTATGGGATCCCATCTCCATACACCATACATTAGAAACCAAAGGTTAAGACACATAATAGTTATACATTTTTCTTGCAATTCACATAAGTGTATAGTTTATGACGCAGGTAAAACTCTACAGTATAAGGATTATGATTACAATGATCTCAAATCAGATTACATAATTTCATAAATATTGATTAGGATACGATTTTACGTTTTTCTGCGTCGATTTGATATGTTGTGTTTAATGCATTAGTTGTGTTTCCCTCTTGTTAGAACTTAAGCTTTCAAATTCAATAATCATTAACCAACTTGTGAAATATAAACCCCACATTTCGCGTATACTAATGATTTATTAAATTTTTTTTTTTTCATTTTGAAAATACTACTATAGTTTGGTCTTTTCGGTTCCACCGCCGACGGTGATAGAAGAGTTAATGACTCATGAATAACACAAATGAAAATCCAAAATAGACACATTCCTAAAATTGAAATTGGATTAAAAAAAAAAAAAAAAACATAAGACCCAATATAACGACCAGCTTAACACACGCCATTAACAACAGAGCAGAGCAAAGAGAAGACTCTTCTTCATCATCATTCATCACACACACACAAAAAGTAACTTATTTTTCCTCTCCCTCTCTCTCATACACACAAAAATGGCGGAGCTTGAGAACCCAAGTGTAATGTCGAAGCTAATAGCATTCTTATCTTCATTGCTAGAGCGAGTTGCTGAGTCAAACGATCTGACCAGGCGAGTCACGACTCAGTCACAGAGAGTTTCGGTGTTCCATGGATTGAGTCGACCAACCATAACGATTCAGAGCTATCTACAGAGGATCTTCAAATACGCAAATTGTAGTCCTTCTTGCTTCGTCGTGGCTTACGTTTATCTCGACCGTTTCACTCACAGACAACCTTCACTTCCCATCAATTCCTTTAATGTCCATCGTCTTCTCATCACCAGTGTCATGGTCGCTGCTAAATTCCTCGATGATCTGTAAGTTTTCACATTCTCTTCGTTTTAAACATCAGAATTCACTATCACAGTTAAAATTTGCAGACATACTAAAAGATGATCACCAATCAATCCCCTGTTTCATGAATGTTCTGTTTCGTATGTTTTGTCTGAATCTCAGGAGTTTTAAATTTGATTTAAGTCTGTTTTTTTTCTAAACTATAGATTGAATTTTAACAGTTTGAACTGAATCATTAATTGTTTGGTTTAGACATCATAATGATCAATCAATCAATCATTCCCCTGTTTTACGGCTGCTCTGTTTTTTCCTTTGAAATAAAGATTCAAGTTTGATAAAGTTTATGATTTGACACTGATTAACTAAACCTTAAAAATTTGGTAATTATTAACACAGGTACTACAACAATGCGTATTACGCGAAAGTGGGAGGAATAAGCACGAAAGAGATGAATTTTCTGGAGCTGGATTTCTTATTCGGGTTAGGATTTGAATTAAACGTGACGCCAAACACATTCAACGCCTACTTCTCTTATCTTCAAAAGGAAATGACTCTTCTTCAACCTCTCTCTCTCGTTGTTGTCCCATCATCAAGATCTGTCGTTACCTTCAACGACGATGAAGCTTCTCATCAGAAACAACAACAACAACTCGCTGTTTAAATCACAACAAAAATCCAAAAAAAAAAACAACTAAATCTTTTTTTTTGTCTCTTTATCAATTTCTCCTTTAAAAAATATGAATTGTGTAGTTGTAGATGATGTAGAGATTAGTCGGCAGGGACTCTGATCTTGTCTTAATCAAATCTTGATTAAGAATAAATAAGAAATTTCAAAATCAACCAGTAAGTTCTTGTCTATCTCTATCTCTAGATGTGGACCGATGAGAAATTTATCTTTTACAGGCTGGCTGGCTAAAGAATTTAAATGTCATTAGTTAAATAACCAAACATATTTTTTTTGGTTTTTGTTGAATAACCAAAAATTGTTATGATTGTTTATGTTTTGTTTTGTCTGATATTCAAACGTTACCCATGTCAGATCAGAAACATGGGTTATTACTTTAGTAATAAGTAGAGAAGGTACAATAATTGGGATTGGTGAATAAGATTTGTTGTTTCTGGTTCTTCTATAAAGGGAACAAAAGAACATGTGCAGAGCAGAGAGACAGAGTGTAACGATAAAGAAATCACATTCAAAATAGCCAATTTGAAAGAAGCTAAGAGACTGTGACTTGTGAGAGAGCTTATACAAATAATGGTTATTGACAGAACAAAACAAAAGTACTATTCGACTCAAGTCTCTTGAAATATACAACTCAAGATTCAAGAACACAAAACAATCAAGAAAGTATGTAGAAGAAAACAGAGGAATTGCAAGTTGAGATTGAAACTTGGGATTTTAGGAGGTGGTTGTCGTTGTAGTGCTTCTTAGAGAATAGATTCTGATTTTCTTGGCATGTTTTCGAATTAGACTCGGGATTTTCGCTACTGCGATGGGTAATACCACGGAAATCACCAAAAAGAACAAGCCTAATCCGAAATTAGGAGAAAGTGCAGCCATTGCAAATCCATAGGTCAAGGCAACAGCAGTCAATGAAACTTGTAGCTCAAGGTAGAATGGGAGACCTTTTGTGAGTAAAGAGATTAGTTCAATAGAAGTGAAAAACCCGATCGAGTTTAAGAAGATGAAAATGCCGTAAGAAATCCAACTCTTTGATCCCATTATCGTTGTTCCTGCGTAGTAAACCGGTTTAGTTTTGTTTCCTTTTAAGTTAGTTACTTGACAGTATCCATTGATACAGTAATCTTCTTGCCAAACACCTCCAGGTGGACTTAGCACGGCTTGATAAGTTGCTGTAGCTATCAGAATCGCGATAACTAGTAACACATTACGAACTTCGTTAGGTGAGACTCTGTCTTTCTTGTACTTGAAGCAATCTAGCCATTGCTTGTGAGTCATCAGAGATTCTTCTGATTGTGTTGTTTCATTCTCTGTTGTTGTTTCTTGTCTTGTGTCAAGTTCTCTTGATCTTACAGCTCCTGCTTCACGGAGGATCTGATAAATCTCTGGGTCTTCTGGTTCACCTCCAAAGTGAAATAACATATCAAGAGGTGTGAAGCCATTAGAGTTTAAAGAGTTCACTTCAATGGATGTATAATCCAGATAAACTAAACTAAACCACAAAAAGCGAAAAATCGAATTCGATAAGATACCTCGTACTGTCGTTTCTGAACCGCTAAGTGCAAAACCGTGTTGCCTCCATTGTCTTTCTTATTCAACACAAAAAGCTTATCAAACTCCTTAAGACGTTCCAACAAAACAACGAATCCATCAAACTGACAGAATCTAACCGCAAGATGAAGCACTGTCTCTCCACGAGCGGTGATTTCTTCAAGAGATTCCGGATTTGCAGACACTAACTCATCAGGAACACAAACTCTTCCTCTCATAGCAGCGTAATGAAGAGGAATCTTTCTCTCTTTACCTTTGATCAAACATATCTCACTACTTAGCTTCTCCAAAAGCTCTCTCACGACTTCAACGTGGCCCATGGATGCTGCTATATGCAGAGGAGTAAATCCGTCTTTGTTCAATTCTCTTCCGAGACTCTCTCTTAGTTTGAGAATTTCTCTGACGAAACTCAAGTGTCCGTACATAGAGGCAACGTGTAACGGAGTTTCTTCGCCGTCTATTTCAATAACTTCAAGAAGAGTCGGATCAGATTCCGTTGATCCGAGTAAAAAATCGACATCTCCTTTTCGAGCAGCCTCCATTATCGGACTCTTCTTCATGTGTCTCTCTCTTTCTGCTAAGTCAAAAACCCTCTTAGAAAGAATTAAAAACAGATATTCAGGATTTGATTTTCAACTAAGTTTAGTCAGAAAGAAACAGAACTTTTCAAACTCTCACACGTCTCCAAAATCTTAATTGATTTTATTCGTCTAAAAGTCAAATTTATAAGACAAGGACATTTTCACACACATGAACACTCTCATAAACCAACGATACGACAAGAATCCGCAACTGCCGAGTCTTTTTAATAGCTCAAATAAAACCTTGCATAAATAAAGTTGGTGATCATGATACAAAAGATAAATGAAGTCACAAATGAAAGTTGTTGTGAGGTGGCTCCACCCAAAGGATGTCGTGAGTCGCTAGGTGATCTTGAGGGGGATCGGAGCCTTTAGCATCACCGAGGGAGTAGTACAAGCCATACCGCCCAAATAAATCAAGACGAGATGAATATATTTTGTTCCTGCATGTGCTCAGTGGAGAGACCAGCTCTTACAAAAGAGGCAGGCCAACTTGTATATATTGTCAAGCCACCAAGATCTGTCTTCTCTTGCCATTCCTTGTGTTTAGAATTCAGTTTAAACACGGTTGGGATGTTGTTGTAGCAGTGTGTATAAATAACAAAGATGTCTCCTTCATGCTCCGTCATAAACACTGGGCTATGAGAGTAATCATACTGATCAAAGGCCGGACATGGTTTCACTGGAAGAATATTCCATGTTGCTGCTTTAGAAGAGGGGTCGAAAACCCCAAGATAGCCGCATTCACTGAGACAGTAGAACATGCCATTGGAGAAGACACATTTGGGCCAATAGCGAAAGGGTAACTGGTTCTCAAAGCAGTGTGTAGTCCACTCGGTTTCACCAGGCCGCCAAGTATCGATGACAACAGATCCGCAGGATCGTAGTTGGATGTAGGAGATGACCATACAGCTAGGTGATGTAGGAGCGGCTGAGAAAGCTAAAAAACGGGATCTGTGTTCGTGTCTCCTTGGGGGTAAGTAGAAGCTCTCACGGGTAAACGGGTTAAGAAGAAGTGTACTAGCATAAAAGGGCCCGCTTTTTCTCGCAAGCACCCAACCATCCTTTGAAAAAGTGGGTTTAGGGGGAAAATGCAACCCTGGTAATTCGAGCTTACATGGTCGAAACCGTAATGGGTGAGGAATAACGTAATTACGAGGAGGCACTGCGTGATGTGAATAAAGAAAAAGCAAAGGAGGAGGCTGTAACTTGCGAACAGAGACAGCTGCTTCGCACCATGCCTTGCAGACGGCGGAAGCTTGTATGTTGGCTTTTAATCCAAGCCCGGACAGTATCTCCCGCAGGAGATCTAAGGGAAGAAGAGCCCACAATCCTCCGATATTATTACACTTGTTCTTCTTTTTCGATCCACCACGATTTCCTTTAGCTGCTTTTGCAGTGCATCTGAGGATTAGAAGAAGAATTTAGGGTAACTGAGTGTTGGTATAGTGAAAGCTACCAACTCTCTAGGTTTATGAATACGAACATAAGCCCTAATTAAAGGGTGGATTAAAAGGAGAAGAAAACACTCACGATTGGAGCTTTCTTCCTCTTTTTGTACAGGACATTGCTGCAAGTGCTTGAACTATGGACGGCGGAGTTGCTGACGGCGCGTCCTCATTTTTTGGCGGAGTTGCTGACGTGTATGTTCGACGGCGCGTCCTCATTTTTTGGAACTTAGGTCAAAAATGCCCTCCTTCGTGTCCTTGGCTTGCGGCATACGATTCCGATCTGGCTCTGCTCCTTTCACATCTGCCTTATCTCCAATCAGATTTATACAACTACAGGAAACACACCAAACCAAATCGACCCAAGGAGGGATTTTTAGCCAATCGAGAGGAAAACAAAATAAACTTTTCCGCTCTACTAAAAATGATTTAAGGCTAAAAATATAATGAAATTAATTCTTCCCCCTGTTTTTTTTCTCCCTTAATCTTTAGCAATAAAATCTTTAATTTATAAATCTCAATTCATACGAGAAAGACGAGAGAAAACCCATTAAAAGATTACATTTTACAATATAATGATAGGTATATAACCAAAAACACTCAAAAATAAGCAAATATGATAAAGAAACAACAAAGAGATTCTAAGACGATGAGTTGATTAAAAAGAAAGTTAGAGACGCCTTGCAATCCGAAAAGCTTTAAGCAATGAGTAGATGAAGAGATAAATCTCACGAAGAACCAAGAGCGACGATACACCTAGAACCACCAGCGTAAATATCTTCTCATTTGATGATATATAGACGATTGCAATCAGATAAGTAGCAACAATTGAGATAATGCATGCAAAGCCTTATCCAGTTTCTCATAGGGAACCCTTTAGTTAGCAGCGAGATCATTGTAACCGAAACCAAGAAGCCAACCGCGTTGAAGGCAGCGTAGAGAGTGAAGTTAACAGGAATGTTTGCCATGATTGCTTGTCCTTCAGTGCTGTTCCTAGAACCGAAAATGGTGTTTATAAGTCGGTTGTTGTTGTTGTTCTGTGAGCCAGAACCACCATTAGAGTCTTCACTTCTGAAAGCTCCTGGAGGCTGAAGGACTCCGGTGAATGTAAAGGTTGCAATGAGTGTTGCAACAACCAATAGAGTTTCCCGCTGTTCAAGTGTGCTACATATGCTTAAAAAGTAGCCCATTAACAACAGCCCATTCAAGTTTAAGCCCATCCAACAAATTGTGTTAATGGGGTTTGAAGCCTTAAATCAACGAATCAATAATCTCATGATAGATATTAATAAATGACTTTCCTAAAAAGAAAAGAATGCAAGAGAGAAGTCAAAAAATGAAAGACGCCAAAAACATAATTAATCAGCCCCAAAAACGGCAAGAGCGGTTCGCTAAGTAACGCCACCTACCGGTCCCGTGAAACACGGCTCACGTTAGCCTCCAACCATGATGACTACGGTGGCTTGGTGGCTTCATCAGCCGCTTTTTCTCTTTTTATTTTCACACCGATCCAAATATCATTATTATTCCACGTGTCGTCCATGACGGTCTGCCCCCACCACCCTCCGCCACCACCGCTTCAGGCTTTATTACCAACTCTGCTAATCTACGCTTCTATCTAACCTTATCCTCCGCCACGAACCATTATCATACGCCTCTCCTCCACTCTCTCTCTCTCCTCTCTCCCTTATCTTCTCGATATTACGTGAAATCGCCGCCGCGAAAAGCCATCGCATTACAGCCATTTCTCTTCCTTCACGAGATCTGTCTTTTTTTTTCCTTCAAGATTTTTGATCCATGTCCGATCCGGATTCTCCGATGAACCACGATCCGATTCCGGATCCATCACCGGTTCGGATCCAATCTTCTCCACTCCCGCCACCATTATCTTCCTCCGCTCAAGACGATGCGTCAACCGAACCAGCTTCCGTCACAGATCTGAAGAGCGCCTCTATCCCCGCCGCGTCCAAGAACTCTAGGCGGTTACCTCCGCCGTGCTGGTCTCTGGAAGAGGCGATCGCCTTAATTGACGCGTACAGAGACAAATGGTACGCTCTAAACCGTGGAAATCTCAAGGCGAATCACTGGGAAGAAGTTGCAGAAGCGGTTGGTGTTAATTGCCCCGACGTGACGTTGAAGAAAACCGCGGTTCAGTGCCGTCACAAGATGGAGAAGCTCCGGAAAAGGTACCGGACCGAGATCCAGAGAGCTAGATCTGTGCCGGTGGCGAGGTTTATATCGTCTTGGGTTCATTTTAAGCGAATGGAAGCTATGGAGAATAGGCCAGAGATCAAACAAGGTAACGAAAGTGGAGATGAGGATCACGATGATGCCAATTACACAGCTAGGTATCAAATCAAAAACGGCGGAGGAGGAGGAGGAGGCTTAGTGGCAAGGACGACGCCGAGGTTCTTTAATAGGAATGGTACGGCTGGATCTGGTGGTGGTGGAGGGAGTAGTAGTAGCGGCGGAATTCGAATTCGGATACCGACTGGAGTGAGTATAGCACAGCCTGGTGCGAGATTTCCCGGTAAGATTGATCAGAAATACACGGCGAGTCCAAGTTCTGGTTTGAGTTCAAATCCGAGACCTGGTCGTGGTATCGGAGCAGGAGGACCTAACTACGGTGCTAAAGTTGTGAGAATTCCGGAAGGGGAAGAGAGAGGAGGAGGGAAACGAGGGAGAGAGATGATGATGAAGACGGAGGAGGAGGATGATAATGATCCAATGGTGGAGATAGCAAGTGCGATAAAGCAACTTGGAGATACGTTGGTGAGAACAGAGCAGACGAGAATGGAGATGACGAGAGAGATAGAAGCGATGAGGATGGATACAGAGATGAAGAGGACCAAGATGATTTTGGAATCGCAACAACGAATTGTGGAAGCATTTGCTAAAAGCTTATCGGATAATACAGAGGAGGACAAGAAGAAGAAAGCAAGAAGAATGTCGTCTTTAGCTGCTGACTCTTGATGATCAAAAGGCGCCATAAATTAAATTATGTGTGATTTTCAAAATTCTAGATTGTAGAAATCGAAAGAGCTTTTATTAGCTCATGCATCTGTCTAACACCAGTAATGTATCCTCTGCTTAATTATGTTGTTATAAAGTGTATAAAAATTGGGAGTTCCCCAGTCTCTTATTGTCTGTTTCCGACAGTGAGAGGTTTGTCTTGTTAATGTCTCTTCAACAAGTATCAAGGTTTATGTCTCTGTTTTTACCATAGTGAGAGTAAAACAGAGCAAGCATCAGATCTAAACAAAAGTAATGCAAATCTTAAGGTGAGAAGACGATGCAATTGGCTGAAAACATTATTGCTTTCTTGAAGAAACCTTAATTAAACTGATGGATCAATAATACAAACACAGCTAAATCTCTGTTCCAACAAATCCGTCCATTATTCAAGATAGATAAGATACATAACGAGTCCCACAACTATGAACCATCTCTATAAAACTCGAGCTTATCATCCCATCCGAAAAAAAGTTACAAGTGCAGTTGAAGATGCAAGCCCATTAATATTCCAACAGTCTCACCGAAGCTGGCTTTAATCCTTTTCTTGCAGCCAGTAGCTTCTTTTCTGCACAACTTTTGCATGGCCAAACCACCTTTTCTTGCAGCCTCGATCATGTAAAATCTGTGTTCCATTAACAAACTTAAGCACACATTTGCTCAGGCCTTTCAAGAGGCATTGCCTTCCAACCAACCATATATCCCACAAATAAAACCAAAACAAACAACTAAAAATCAAAGGAACCAAGATTATATTACTCACTCACATTCAGTAGTATGATCCTGGACCACCACTAGAGTAACTACTACCACCCAAGCCACGGCTTGAGTAAATTGAAGAATACGAGCTACCTCCTCCCTGCAAATCCAATGATAAAATGTTACACAACTTAACTTTTCAAATAAAACAAGGGAAAATTGTGAAGCCACTTACATCTCTTCTGGGTAGGTCGCCACCATAGCTTGACGAGTACATTCCTCCTACATCGCTGCCACTATAAGAACCTGAAGAAAAGTAACATTATGGAATTATAGCCATGTAAGGCAGTAAGTGTATCTCGATGAAGTATTGCTCTCTGTTAAGCAACAACACAAAGTTCTGAATCAAACCTCCTCCATAATCCATTCCCTGACGACTGCTGTATGGGCCACGCGAGTCATGACTTGACATAGAATTTCGGCTGCTTCCATATCCTAGACTAGACCTAGGAATCCTACACCAAACATGGAAGTAAGAAAATGATACACTTGGCACAGAAAATTGCAACCAGAAATAACTGAAGTTATCCATAAAAAGAGAACATACCGGTCCCCATAGGATTCCCCATATTGAGATGGGCCAACATCATAGTCCAGACGGGGTCTTGAATGACGAACATCAACATCAGCATAACGGGGAGGAATGTCATCCTGAATAATGAACACTCGTTAGAGTAAACAATCATAGTCTAAAGAAAAAAAATTAGAAAACAAAATGGTCGGAGAAAACAATAAGTCAGACCAATGCAGCATATGGGCGCTTTGATCCAGGAAGAGGTTCATAAGCACGAGGTCTTCCTTCACTGTAACTTGGAGGTCTTTCAAATCTTGGACTGTAAGGGTCATCTACGAATGGCCTCCTCATTTCAGAGCGAGAAGAACTTCTAGGAAGATCTGAATAACCAGAACCACGAGGTGGATAATCATCTCTATAAGACAGATGCCTCTCAGGAGAAAGCCTGGAACTATAGCTTACAGCTGGTCTGCTTCTTGGAGGAGGAAGATCATCACGCCGATCATAGTCTCTCTTCAAACTAGCCTTTGGATACAGAGGAACTGCAAAACACAAAATGGAGGGTATGATCAGAATAATCAACACAAAAGAGATTCAAGTAAAAAAGATAACTAAACATGCAACAATTCAAGTGGTACCTGGAGGTCTTCTATCATATGACCTAGCAGGTGGTGGCAAGGGCCTGGCTCTTGCAGGTGGAGGCAAGGGCCTGGCTCTTGCAGGCGGAGGCAAGGGCCTGGCTCTTGCAGGCGGAGGTAGAGGTGGGCGTGGACGTCTTCCTCTTGATCCAGAGACTCTCTTTGCACTAGAAGATGGGGCCCGAGATCCAGCGCCTCTAGCACTCCGAGAGGAAGCAAGACTACGAGGTGGAAGACGAGCAAATGAAATCCTTCCAGACCGTCCAGTCCCATGCCTAGACCGCTGGTCTGAGCGACTGGATTGTCTGCCTTTACCTGCTTTCTGAAGTGGTCTAGACAAGCGTGCTCTCACTTTTGCCTGGAAGAAAAAAAAGAATTAGAAAGCAAGAAAATACTTGCGTGGATATGGATAATGCATTTAAAATATGCACACCTTGTCCTCCCCTTCGCCTAGCTCTGAGTTGTTGATGAATTTGGCACAAGTCACAGCAGCTTCATGAGTATCAAAAGTTACAAAGCCAAAATCTTTCCTCCTTGCTGATGGCATATTGCGAGCAAGCTCAACTTTTTCAAGTTTACCATATCTTTTCAGAAGGTCTCTGACACGTTCTTCATTCCATGAAGGTAACAGACCATCAATGAAGATAGTCTTAACCTGTAACACCAGAAATATTATAAAACTAACTATGTGAGAAAGATAGATAATTAGATATAATAGATTCACCAACAATCAATAATTCAGTATCTAGCATGTTGTTAGAGGGCTAGAAGGAAAATGTATTCCGACTCTGTTTTCATTATGGGTTTAGCAAGTATAGCAAGTATACTAAGTCACCATCCAGAAACGGTAAAAAAAAACTATCAAGTGATTAGGTGGCAACCACACATGCCCCTATAAACTCCTCCAACGCTCTAAAGAAGACATGGTAGGATGAAAGTTGCATGAAATAAATGATCCTGCAATGTGAGTACCTGCGCCATTATCTCATCTTCCGGGTCTAAGAAAGAATCAGTAAAAGAGACCTTTGCAGGCTTCTCAACTCCAAACATCACATCTTTCTTGACGAGACGCTTGTGGGCATCCATGGCATCTGAGCGAGATGAGAATTCCAAAAAGGCATACCCTCGATTCATGTTGACATTGTTGCTGTCCTCTACCAACGTTATATCATCCATATTCTCAACTCCATAGTGTTTCAGCTTCTCCCTCAACTGGAAGAACAACAAATACCTGATGGTCAGGATCACCACGAACTGTGGAGTTGGGTTTAATTGACATATCTACGGACACCCAAATACTTACAGCTTCTGGGGTCCATGTCTTGCAAATGTTACCAATGAAGAGGGTATCATTATCTTGGCTTGCAGTTACACCACACTTTTTACCATTTATCTGCAGTCCCAATGACCAAGAGCATGATATACAATGTAAAGCTACACAAACTCTCCATCAAATACTAAAGTGTAGACAATTACCATTGGGCTTTTAAGCTCTTTAACAGCTCGTTTTGCCTGTTCCATTGTTGCAAAACGCAAGAAAGCAGAACCCTTGCTCTTCTTTGTCTGAGGATTCTTCAAAATCCTAATTTCAGTCACCTCGCCCACGTGACCAAACACTTTCTTTAAGTCCTCCTCCGTCGCACCTTTGTCCAAACTTCCAACAAATATTTCGAACTCCTTACGCTTACGTCTCTCATGGAGAACATCATGATGCTCTTCTTCTTCCACATCAACAGTTTCTCCATGCTTGACATCTTCATTAGCATGCTCATCATCATCCTCACTCTCAAGCTCCTCCGGATCATCTCCAATCTCGTCTGCAAACTCACCAGCTTCTTCCTCCACCTCAATCTCTTCCTCCAGTTCCTCGCCCTCCTCATTTACCAACTCATTATCCTCCTGTCCCAATTCCCTCTCTTCAAACTCCTCCCCGCCATATTCTTCAGCCTCAAACTCAGGTTCATTGTCATCTAAATCCAATCTTTCATCTTTTCCGAAATCATCCACAGAATCCTTTACCTCAGTCTCCTCTGCGAGTAAAAGCGGGTAAAACATCTACACTATTTCCAGGTAGCCTAAAGTTTGTTCAGAGATAACAATCTCAGAAGATACGTCTATCTTCCACAGAATTAAGAACAGCTAAACCTAAATCCATCATCCAAATTAGATTCAAACATTCAATGGTCAGATATTTTTTTTTCGTAAATTGTTAAATCTCTATGGTCAGATATATTTGGAACTCTAAGTCACAAACTTTCGTCAAAGTGAAACTCAGATCCGTCAAAACAATGAAAACGATACTAAAGTTAACTAGATAATCCCAAAAAACGAAACAAAATTAATAACCAGGTTCAAAGAATCTTACTTTTCGACAGAACAATATCAACCGGATTCGCTGCAGCTTCAGAATCATCAATTGAATCCAATGGCTTGGGCCCATCTAATGGATTCTCTTCCTCCACAGTTTCATCAACCTCCGGCGTCACCTCCTTCGCTTCCAGTGCATCGGAGCCAGATATCTCACCGATATCAACAGATTCTTCATTGACCAGAGGACTCTGCGCCTTGAGCGCCGATCTCGTAAGCCTCCCGCCTCTTCTCGCGGCGCCTCCCCTCTTGACAACCTTCGGTGGCATCGCTATCCAATGTTCTTAACCAATCAGAACGAATTAACCAAATTCGATGAACAGAGATCAGAGCTAAGCCACAGAATTATCGGGATCGAACAACCCTAGCTCAGCGGATCAACAATGGTATTGAAATCGAGATAGAGAAGAAAACCCTAATTAACGGAGAGATAATAGCCTGAGCTTGTTGGACTAAAAATAAAAATAAGAGAAATAAAATAAATATATTGGTTTAGAAAAATAAAGACGTGGCGATCAAGCTTTTATTGCGGTGTTTTAAAAAAAAAAAACGGTAAGCAAGATGGGCTTTAGGCCCAAATAATATCCCCATCCCTAATGGGCCTTTACTCGTAATTTTATTACCGATGTCCAATCCGGTTTTCATTCAGTTTCGGTATCTTTTTTTTTTTTGTTTTCAGAAATTCCTTGGTTTATAATTTTGTAATTGCATTATTCGGTTTAAGAGATACAGTTTTCGATTGAATCGGTTTAATGGGCAAGAGAAGAACAACAAATCTTATGTTAAATACACTTAACTAAGGAAGAAGATGCTGAAACTGCAACACTAATGAATAAATCAAGAGTTGAAGTAAACGCAGCAAACACATTCATAATCTTGTAAAACAATGTATTGATATACACTAAAGAAAATACTAAACATCATCATCTTCAGTCAACAATAAATCTCTTCTTTGTTTAACCCGAACGAGACCGACAACGCTGCTCCCTATATAGAGCTATCAAGCGGGTCAAACCCGCCCCGCAAAACTCGCGGGAGAAAATACTAGACTTGCATCCACCCAGCTTAATTTCGCGGGAACCGCAGGTAACCCGCGGACTTTTAAAAATTGACTTAAAGAGAATCTTTTCGAGTAAAGATCGAGTCATGTATATCTCCGGCGAGCAGCTCCGCCCAATATATTTAGGAGCTTTTTTGGTCTATTATTATTAAAAGAATATTTTTTTACTACTTTTTTCAAAAATTTAGGTTTTTTTATTAGAAAAATTGTTATTTTAAAAATTTGGAGCCTTTTATATTTATTTTTATAAAAAAGTGGATCTTTTGAAGTATAATTTTTATATTAATAATAATTTTTTAAAATATTTGGGCTTTTATATGTAAATTTTTCAAAACAAAAAAAAAGCTTCGGACCGTCGCCCTACCTATATGAGTCGGGGCTGCCGGCGAGCGAACAAAACTCCTCAAGTTCTTGGAGACGCAACAGACGATTGGGTAATACCATTTTGGTACGCAGGCTAAGATAATCAAAATGATATCCACTGACAATCATAAAAACAATGACGGCGATGAAGACAGCGTGTGGTTGTTTTGTTGCGGTGGTTCGTCAGAGATGAAGACAGCGTGTGGTTGTTTTGTTGCGGTGGTTCGTCAGAGTTAGACATCGTGTTTTAGTTTAAAGGAGAAGACTAGAGACAAAGAGAATCTATCACAGGAATTGAGATTTTATTCAATTTTGGTTTCGGTTATATAGCCAAAAAACAAATACCGGTTTATTTATTCTCTGATTATGTTTTAACTGGTTAAAACCGGTTTATATATTTTGTAACTAAATTCTATTATTAAATAACTAACGCTGTTAACACTCTCTCTACTATGATACATCTACAAGATAACTTTTATAACGAAGATAACTAATCATACAAATGTGCAGATTTTGATCAGCAAGAATCGTTCACAGAAACATACTAAAAGATTTAAAGGAGTAAGCAGTCAAAGAACTTGGCAGAAACTAATCTTTTTCTTTTGTTACTTAATTTTTTAAAAAGATACCAAGTAACATTAGCTCAACTGGTAAAGATATTAAACGGAGCTTAAAGATCGTCGATTGGAGTGACGTTTGGGGCGAAACTAATATTACATGTTGTGGTTCTAAGACTGGAAAGAATATGGGTTCTTGCCGAAAACCTCCTACTATAGTACTATTCAATAGAAAAATAAAAAATAAATAAATCAAATAAATTAAACGATAATTTTATTGCTGCATTAGACACCGCTTTTACATTTTGAAAACACTTCATCATAAATCTTTCTTTAGACTTAGAAGATTCAGTTCCAAAATATTTTGTCTTTGTGTATTTAATCGACTAAGCAAGAATGAAACATCTACTCTCCCTCTGTAACTCAATGGTCTACAAAATATTTTGTCTTAGTGTATATAATCGGCTAAGCAAGAATAAAAACATCTACTCTCCACTATAACTCAATGGTCTAAGCCTATTGTAGTCTTCTTGACCTGTAACTTGACCATAACTCAATGATGAGGTTTGGTTTTTTTCTCGGCGTTATAAATCGAGAACAGTTTGAAGGAGAAGACTAAAGAATAAGAGATTTTGAGATTTTATTCAATTTTGGTTTCGGTTATATTGCCAAAAAACCAAAACCCGGTTTATATTCTCTGATTCGATTTCGTTGTAATCGGTTAGAAACGGTTTATGTTGTTTATTTTTTTGGTAAAACGGGTGATATTGTTGTATCTTGAACTTGAAGAAGAAACTCAAAGAAGACAAACGTTGTTCATTTACATAGACGAGACTTTTAGCTTATAATTCTGTAATTTCTGTTACAACAATCTCTCTACTACATGATCAAACTTTTATAACGAAGATAGCTAATCATACTGTTAGAGATAAGATCCAATTCAAACCCAAAACAAGGAAAACTCAAAGATGACTATTTTACATAGATGAGACTTAGCTTAAAAGATCAAACTCTGTTACCACTCTCACTACTACAAGATCAAACTCCTATAATGAATCATACTAATCTGCAGATTTTGATCTGCAACAGTCGTTCACAGAAGAAACACACTAAAAAAGGCTTAAAAGAAACCAAAGCCAGAGATTTGAGTACACACCAGTCAAAGAACATGGCATAAACCAATCTTTCTCTTTTGCTTCTTAGTCTTTGAAGGAGGCTGTAATACTACTTTTATGGCTGCATCAAAGACGGCTTTTACATTCTGCAAAATCATCATCATCATCATCATCATAAGTCTTTCTTTAGCAGATTGATGTAACTCGAGCATTATAGTTAGTTACCAGTTGTGTTTTTGAGCTGCACTCAATATATGCTAATGCTCCTATCTCCTTTCTTAGTTCTTGACCCTAAAAAGAAACAATCTTTGAGGTTATAAAAGAGTTTGATTCTTAACATGGTTCTTGATCATATACATTGAAGAAGAATCTTAAACATACTTGTTCTTTGGAGATTGTGCAAGCACCTGGATAATTCATTGGGAACAGCTTGTCGTCTCTTAGATCTGCAACATCAAGAAATTTGATCTTATATACTACATTACATCGCTTACACTTATTGATGTGAGATTCCTAACATTCAAGACATAACAGAGTGGTTCATTATCTTCAACCTAATTTGGTTCCCACAAGAACAATAGGCACGGTTGGGGCATAATGTCTCAGCTCGGGACCCACTGCGAAAGAAAACAGATCCACATGGCCATGAGAAAGTGTGGTAAAGTTAGCAGTGAAATTTAAAGTAAAAGAAAGACAGTCTCAACCTTTTTAGCAATGTTCTCAAAGCTAGGCCTGCTAATAAGTGAGAAAGCAAGAATGAAAACATCTGCTCCTCTGTAACTCAATGGTCTAAGCCTATTGTAGTCTTCTTGACCTGTAATATAATGTTAAATCACCCAAAAGATATACAACAAAACTCATAACTGAACTGATTTTAGCTTTGAAGAAACATGAGCAGACTCTGACAGTGACTTCAAGAACCAAAACAATTTTGCATCAGATCAGCGTAGAGATTCATTTTTCTCAACAGTGTTCAAGATTGAGAGAAACAAAGATAAGAGTAACATTTCTTTTAAAGGGTCAAAAGATTAAACAAAATTGAGGATATAAATCTTTAAAGACAAGAACAACTTTGACATTTAAGTAAAAACATTTACCAGCAGTATCCCAGAGTCCCAGATTGACAGTTTTGCCATCGACTAAAACATTTGCGCTGAAATTGTCGAACACTGTTGGAACATAATCCTGTAATAACAAGATCTCAACAGTCACCAAAAGCCATAAAAAAAAAGTAATCAAAGAGAGAGAGAAGGATACAGTAGGAAAAGTGTTGCTGGTGTAGGAGATAAGAAGACAAGTTTTGCCCACAGCTCCATCGCCAACAGTGACACACTTTATAAACGTTGTAGCTGTTGTTGATGGTGTTGCTATTGCAGCCACTGAAGCTGACATTGATTCAGAAAAATCTCTGATTTTACTTACCCTTTCTCTTTCTCTTTCTGTGTTTTTCTGGTTTAAGTGAAGAATGAGAATGAGATTGAGACTTTAGAGGAAAAGCTGCAAGATTTTTGAAAGAGTGGAAAAAAAGGAGTCAACTTTAATTTGAGCTGTCAGAGAGCCAAAAGCCTAAAAAGAGTCTATTTTTAATTCGGTGGGTTTGTTTTCTTTCCCGTTTTTTGATTTTAGATAGACTTTGCTTCCAAAATCCTTATCTAATCTTTCTTCCAAAATCTTAAGACTTAAAAAAAAAAAAAAAAAGCAAAGGTCCAAATGTTTCCAGCAATATGAAAATAAGTGGTGTTTAGAATGAATTATAATTTTAGGTAACATCTTTTTATCAAAGCAAATTTTGTAAGAATCTAGTAACCTTTTTACATGACTAACCTTTTCGATTCAAGTTTAGACAATGGATCGACCACCAAACACATCATCATTAACAAGAAGGAAAGGCAAGTCCATTATTACTACCGTGTTGATACACAAAATAGCCAAAAATTAAACTATGATTCCTTTCTTCCTAAGATAGAATTTGGAATCATATTCTTAGTACAAAAAAAAGTTTCCTTCTATATGAATCTTTGTATTGTCAGTGTTATATGGCCCAATCAGAAAAGCCCATTTGTAAATACCAGAATTAAAAAAAAAAACAAAAAACAAAAAATCAAAGAGAAGAAAACAAAACAGTAGAGAATGAGAGAAAACCACAAGGAAAAGCAGAGCACTCTTTACCTCTTCTTCTCTCTTTCTTCTACTCTGTGATCAAATTATCGAACAGACAAAACAAACCCTAGATTTATCCGCCTCTCTCCTTTCTCTGATGATAAGAAAGTCGAAGACTTTGAGAATCTAAAGCTGAAAAGTTTTGATTTTTTCTTCTTGAGGGAATCGAATCGAGTTATGTACAAGGATCGGAGTGGAGGAGGAATAATGGGTGGTGGTGGATCATCGAGATCGGAGATCCTTGGTGGAGCTATTGATCGGAAACGAATCAATGATGCTTTAGACAAACATCTTAAGAAATCTTCACCTTCTACATCTAGGGTTTTCACTTCTAAGGACAAAGATTCTTTCCCTTCTACTTCTACTGCTAAATCTCAGCTTCATTCTCGTTCACCTGATGGTTAATTGCTTAAATCTCACTCAATTTCATGTGGTTTTAGTAAGATTTTCTGATTTAAGCAATTAGATTTTTTTTTTTTGGTTGCAGTTGAATCTGAAACTGATAGTGAAGGATCAGATGTGAGTGGTTCAGAAGGTGATGATACATCGTGGATCTCATGGTTTTGTAATTTGAGAGGGAATGAGTTTTTCTGTGAAGTAGATGAAGATTATATACAAGATGATTTCAATCTCTGTGGATTGAGTGGTCAAGTTCCTTACTATGATTATGCACTTGATCTCATTTTAGATGTTGAATCATCAAATGGTAAGTGAAGGGTCCATTTGATAAAATTAGGCTTTGCTTCTTTGTCTGAGAATTGTTGTATAATTTGGGGGGAATGTTTACTTATTGGATTAGGTGATATGTTTACTGAAGAACAGAATGAGATGGTGGAATCAGCTGCTGAGATGTTATATGGTCTTATTCATGTTCGTTATATTCTCACTACTAAAGGAATGGCTGCTATGGTATGAAACAAGGCTTCTTTAGTTCTTATATATCTTTGTTTCTGATTTATCTTTTAAATGATATCGTTCGCTTTTGTAGATGGAGAAGTATAAGAATTACGATTTCGGGAGATGTCCCAGAGTTTTCTGTTGCGGGCAATCTTGTCTTCCGGTTGGGCAATCTGATATCCCGAGGTCGAGCACTGTGAAGATATACTGCCCAAAATGCGAGGATATTTACTACCCGCGATCTAAATACCAAGGCAGTATCCTTTGCTCCTCTGTTCAAAAAAAAAGCTTTATATTATCATAGCATGATGCATCTGCTATTGTTTGGTTAAACATTGCGAATAGCTAGTTTGCTTGCATAAATCTTTTGGAAGACAAGAGTGTTGTCCACTTGTCTTAGTGTTCTTTCCTTAATGCTTATTGCAGACATTGATGGAGCTTACTTTGGAACTACTTTCCCTCATTTGTTTCTCATGGCCTATGGGAACATGAAACCACAGAAGCCGGTTCAAAACTATGTTCCTAAGATCTTTGGCTTTAAGGTACACAACAAGCAATGATACTCTCTTCTCTCAACAGTCCTGTGGTTGAATACAATCTCGGCGGCTCAACCACCATTCTTCTGATGGTCACGGGTTTAAAATGGATGATACTAAAATGCGTTTGGAGGATGAGAAGAGCTAATGAAAAAGGGTCAACACTTCAGTTTTTCACTATGTAATCTCGGAAGTTGTAAGTAGAATCTTCAATATTGAACCGTTCTTTGGTGGGTCTTGGGAAATTCTTTACCTGTGAGTAATCAATTAAATCATTTACCAGATGGATGGAATTTGCTTTCCTTAACTGTTGTCTATAATTGCTGAGAATTTTATGTGTATTCCTACTTATCTTAAGTTTCTTGTATTATACGGAACTAGTCTTCATTTTTCAATCACTGTTGAATCGTTTTGAACTTTTTAATTCTAGTAAGATACGTCATGCCTCATGCGTAGTTTTGTTACATGGTGTTTCAGTCCCCTCATGGTGATTCAAGGAAGATATTGATCCTTGAATCGTGGATAATCTATAATATATTGACAATTGTTGTTGAATTATTGAAAAATTATAAAGATTGATCAATTACTACCAACTCCATTGAGCAATTGCCAACTAAATACTTATCTCAGCTTCTACAGTGGACTGTAACCAACAGAAGGCTAAAGTGAAAGATCCACTCAAAGCTTGTTTTGAAATGAGATCAATATTTGTCTCTCATCGACTGTAATAAATAAGCGGCCATTCAATAGTATACAGAAACTTACATTGACAGTCAAAACCCAAACACTTATATTAGTTCATCGAGTTAGCCTGATGTAAATAAACAACCCATCCTCCTTCTCTCTAAATATCTCTTCCTCTTCTTATATCTCTCTTTACTTGCGGGGCGTGCAAGTTTTGGAGGAGAAAGTGTGTGAAAGGGTGCATTTTCGCTCCTTGTTTCGATCCAGAGCAAGGAACTGCGAGATTTGCAGCAGTTCACAAAGTATTTGGAGCCAGTAATGCCTCTATGATATTACTGAGATTGCCTTTGCACAAGCGACTTGATGCAGTCGTCACCCTCTGTTACGAGGCCATGGCAAGGCTTCGTGGTCCTGTCTATGGCTCTGTTGGCCATCTCTTCCCTCCTCAACACTAGGTTCTTCATCAAAACATCTTTTAGATCATTCCGCTTAAGATCATTACTATGCCAATATATAGGCCCATCTTAAGAGATATATAGCTAACTATGTATGCCTGTTAAGAGTTCAAGTTGGTTCTTGCATGAAGTGTTTCTTCGACAAAACAGCAGATCATGGTATCAGAGCAGACAGTTCACTACAAACAGAGAGATTGAAAGTAACATGTCAAATCTTTCTTATAAAATAACTGCAAACACCATAATTAGCTCACTATAATAACTATGTTAATGAATAGTGACAATTAGTGAGTTGGACCAATTTGTTATTCCGTTAAGCTTATAGCTCTTGTCTTATATTATATATATAATTTAATATTCGTTCTCAATTGTTTCTCTCTGTTCTTGATTATGACTCGAGACTGCTAAAAATCTTTCAAAACAATGTTCAATATGAAAGTAGCTGTTTATGAGATCTGCAAACAGAGTAATTCGAGACTCCATCGTCACATATTTTTTAAAATATGAAAGTAGCTGTTTAGGATTTGGTCAAGTGTTTTCCTATATAAGGAGATGTCAAGTTGTGGCATAAGTTGAGAGTTTAGAAAGATTGAGAGAGCTTTAGTTTTGAGTAAGTTTCTACAGCAAATAAATAGAGTCAAACTTAAATCTTTTAAGTTTCTAAAGCAAATAAATTCTAGATATATTACACCCATAGAAACCGCTCATCCCAAGGCACGAACACGATGACGACCGAAGAAGAGATGGTCAGGTCATCGTTGAAAAAAAAACAAAAAATGATGAGGAAATCATCATCAGAGTCGTCTCCCAAGTCGTTTTTGTCTTTACCCTACGACGTTGTTTTCAACTGTCTGTCTCGTGTCTTGAGAACCCACGATCCAATTCTCTCTCTCGTAGGGTAATTTAGGGTATCCACTCAATCCACAGACGACTCGAGAACCCACGATCCAATTCTTTTAGCCCGTGTACATGGGCGGATCTACGTAGTGGAAGAGGGGGCAGCTGCCCCCAGTAAAATATCAATATTTTTGTATTTTTATTGATTTTAGTAAAGATTTTTTAAGTCAAATAGTAGAATGAAGAAACTTGCCATCCCTTAATCCCATGATCTGATCCCACGATGCCCCTTCTTTCTTTTTTTCTTTTCATTTTCATTTCCTTTTTTGCTTATTTTCTTTCCAAAAATCTTACCATTAATTGTTTATCTTTCCTATACTATACTTAATATTACCAAAATCAATATTATTTTCATTTTCATTTTGTTTAGGTTGCTTTTTCTTTTCTAATTTAGCTTTCTTTTAAATGTCTTTTTAATGTAGCATTTTCATTGGTTTATTTCCAAACAATGTTTTTGTTTTATTAAAATTATACACATTCTCTAACTAATATCTTTTCCCAGAGTTAAAGCATTTTTCAAAAATGTGAAATAGTACTGTTTATACCATTTTTAATGATGTAATAACTGAAAATAAAATTATAGTTAGCTATTATAAAGTTAACAAATATTATTATCCTTTACCATTTAGCATTTTTTTAGAAATATAAATAATAATAATAATTTAGCAATATTAAAAAAGTATATAATAAATTATTTTTTATCTTAAAAAGTCGGCATATTACTTTGCCCCCGGTAAAATTATTTTCTAAATCCGCCACTGCCGTGTACTTAAGAGAAATTACCCCAAGTCGTTTTTGTCTTTACCTTACGACGTTGTTTCCAACTGTCTGTCTCGTGTCTCGAGAACCCACGATCCAATTCTCTCTCTCGTAGGGTAAATCTTTCCACCGACAAGTCCTACACAAATACGCGATCGGTTCACTCGCATTTGAGGTCCTTCACTCATTCTTCCCGATTCGGTGTCCAAGATCTTAAAGCTTGATGAGGGAATAATAGATCCGGGAAAGAAGAAGATTTTTGTACCAATAGCTATAACAGAAGATTCTGTATTTTTGTACCAAATGCGAGTGAACCGATGGCGTATTTGTGTAGGACTTGTCGGTGGAAAGATTTATGTGATTGGAGGCTACAGTGACGACGAGATTTCAGCGGAAGCCTTTGACTTAAAGTCGAAAAGTTGGGAATAGCGCCGATTCCTAAGATTGAACATAAACACTGTTGGATCAGTGAGGCAAAGGTTTCAATTGACAGTAAGGTCTGTGCCTTTAATCGTTTATTCGGCTATATGAGTTGTTATAATTCTAGAGATGGTTCTTATGAGACATTGGAGTTGCCAAATGACCAATGGTGGAATACGGGAAAATGCGTGATTGAAAATGTGCTTTACATTTACTTGTCTAAATTTGGGTTGATATGGTATGATTCTCAATTGTTGCGATGGAGAGTGGTTTATGGTCTGGATCTTGTCGAAGCTCGATGCGTTGGAATGGCTGAATATTATGGAAAACTGGCCTTTCTTTGGGAAAAACCAAGTCTTAAAAGTAGTGAAAGCAAAGAGAATAATTGGTTTGCTTAGGAGTAAAGTAGGAATTCGTGGAACTGAAGAACCGTCTCAGCTTAGATTGATTGTCCCTAGCTGCTATAAATTTTATCATTGTCTGTCTCTTTCCGATGATGATGATGTTTACTACTTTCTTTAGTCTATCAATACAGTTTGTTTACACGATTATGTATGTATTGCTGCGTGTACTTCTCCAACTCTCCATTTAGTCATTAATGTTGCAGTTTCAGCATCTTGCTAATCGATTTTGTAGTGTTCACTTAGCAAGTTTGTGTGAATGTAAATTCACTCAGATTGAATAAATTTTGTCGATTTATAAGATACCAGTACGATCACACGAAGATAAAGAAATTGAATTTATTAGAACATAGTTATGCTCTGTTTATTGTGGAAACATCGAACAAAATTTCAACCCCAGATTACAAAACCATCACATCACATCACACAGCCAAAAATTATTGGCATCTTTCTTTCTCTCTCTCTCCCAAAACTCCACATTCATTTACATAAACCAGATCTACAATTTCTCAGATTCCGACAATCGGGAATTTGAAAACTAGTCATCTCCGATCCATAAAAAGATGTATAGAAACAGAGCAAATCTTTTAGCTTTGGAGATATAAAGTGGTTTTAGGAGGGTTTTTGTTTTTAAAGGATAGATTTTAGACAAAAAGGTATTTATATAAAAAAAAAAAAAAAAACTATTTGCTTGATAATTTTTATGTAATTAAAATTTCTACTAAGCCACGACGAGAGTTCCTGTCCGTACGGTGTTGCCGGCGGCGGATTCTTTAGTTTCAGAAGATTTTTTCCGAAGAGATCTTGAAGAATTTTTCCACTTTCTCTCCTTAGCTTCATCAGATTCAATCTGTTCTTCTCTACACTCTTTGCTACAAAAAGCCTTGTCTCCTCTGTAAATTCACAAAATCAGAAACAATCAGACGAAATAAACGAATTATAGAAAAACTTAGATCCAGAATCTCAATTGGGTAAGTGAAAAGTTTAAAGCTTTAATTTGAATCGAATCAGTACCTGTACATGAAGATATCGGAGTTAAGACCAAGGTGTTTCCGGCAAAGAGAACAAGATTCTAAAAAGTGTGGCTCTTCACAACTCAAAAACCCAGAGTAATACGAAGCCATTGGCTAATTTACTAATCGAGAACTTTCGAATTTACGATGAAGAAATCGACTGCAAAGAGCAGATTCGAGAGGAGGAAGAAGAAGAAAGAGGAGGAGGAGGAAGAAGGAGGTTGATTTGGTGTTCGTATATAAAGCCTGCTTTAGGAGTTAGGACTTTCTGCTTGACTTGAGTTAATCACCTGTGTCACGGACCACTTTAGTTAGAGTACTCTTCAGTACATCCTCACCGTTGATCGTGACCGAATCTTCATCTCGAAAGATCTATACGTTAAAGCTTAATAATTCATTACTTTTATTATATTATATTATTGTTCATTACTTTTATTATATTATATTATTGTCTTTTTGTGTTGGGGTAAATTCTTTTATGATTATTTTCCCTTATAATTTTATCGATTAAGTTAAAATACAATGAATCAAACTCTTTGTCCGTTACCAGTTACTATTTCTTTGTTATATTTTTGCAATTACATACGAATTTCGAGTAAAATTTTAGAATAATTTTATTTCCTTTGTAAGAGCAATAGAGAACATATATTATTATTAATTTTGGAATACAATAATTTGGGTGGATCTCGTTCGACGAGAGAATCAAACAAGTCTTGCGTTTTGTAAGATTCGTTGGCCACAATAACATGCATAGCGCATGATTGATGGACCTTTCCCAAATATACAAAATTAACATTAAATGAAAGTTTCTAATTTTTTTATTTTAATATTACTGATATTTCACTAAAATAATTTGTATTTTATTAATCTAATTTGTACTTTCTCTGCTTTTTCTTAGGATTCATTTCACCTGGACAATGTTTCATTACATGTGTGTAATTTATCGCCTCTCGTTTTTGTTTAATGCTTTGCTTGTACTTATTTGTATTTCTTTTTTTTTTTTTTGGGCAAAGATACTTATTTGTATTTCATTATTTTCTTATATGGACATATGGACAGTAACGTTTTTTTTATATTATTATTATTATAGTAGAGTGAATAAAGTTATTCGTGTTTTCAGTCAGACAAAAACATCTTCGTACACGTGTACTGCTCCAGGTAAAAAATAATTCCAAAGAACCTATCGCATGAATTTTAAATCTCTTTCGATAATTTGAAAATGTGTATATAGGTTTTGCCAAATCTTTGTTCAAACACAAAATATTACAAAATAGGATCTAAATAGTCATAAAGAAGTTCTAGAACATGTTAGTAGGATACATTTATTAGTAAATGTGTGTACATACGCTAATATTTGTAATAAAACGAGCAAGAGTATGACCGACCTATTTTATTCATTTATTAACGTATTACGTTTTTAATTCAGAGATCAATTCTCGTTTTATAATATTAAACTACATAACTATACGTGTCTCATAGGTGAAAGTCTATATACTATTATAAATATCAGATACCGACTTGCAATAACACATCTTTATGCTCTTGATTCATATTATAATCTTCCAACATGAGACTTTTGACTTAAAAATCAAAGGTAATTACACTTAACATAATTTATTAAATTAAATAAGATCACGTCAAGAAAACTCAATGAATCTGAGTAAGCAATGACTCACATTACGAACGGCAAACCAATAATAAAACTTTAAATATGTTTATATTTAAAGTGTAATAATACATACAAAAATAAAAGGTCTTTTCGTGATCAATTATACTCCAATAAAGTTCCAAAAAAAAAAAAAAAAAAGTTTTTACATAATTGGTGAGGACCACACAACTTGTCATCTGTCGATACAACAAGGCGTCGAGCTGACTCAGATTAATGAGTTAATGGGACCCACAATCACCTCTCTTTTTAAGGCCCAATTATCAACGTCCTTGTCTCACGGGCCCATGACAGCTGCCCTTGTACCCCGTTTGCCCTACCTTTTTTTTCTCTTTCAATAACTCACTGCAGTTGACACGTGCGGTGATCTTCGCTCGTGCGCCAGCTAAGATCCGAGTTCCTGCTACGTGGCAGTTAGGTAAAGGTCTTAAGGTTTGTTAAGATTTGATCACTAAAGATTCGTCGGGTGTGACACGTGGATTGATTAATGATCTCGGCCGTTGCTTAATTCGAATGGTCTATCTCTAGGCTCTAGCCAATAGCTACTTTCCTTTTGGGCGGTTGTAAAAGGTAGGACGAGTACGACTTACACACACAACGAAAGAAATCCGGGTTAAACCGGTTAAACCGATATTAATCGATTTTGTAAAGCTCCACGCCTTGTCATATATTCAACCAATTATGTAATGCCATTTGTACAACTCCACGTAAACCCCCGTATTGACATTACCAAATGGGCCGGTTCGTGGCTCAAAGTAGGCCCATTATAATGGGTTTTGTAATCAACGGTCGCTAATGTTTTCAGTCTATCGGTGCCGAGATGGATCACCGGGAAAACATTGACCGGCGACTTCTGCTATGGTTCTTCGCCGTAGCGACCGCCGTGAAACTTCTTCTCATCCCATCCTACAGGAGCACCGATTTCGAGGTCCACCGTAACTGGCTCGCTATCACAAACTCTCTTCCTCTTACGAAATGGTACTTCGACGAGACTAGCCAATGGACACTCGATTATCCTCCATTCTTCGCCTACTTCGAACGCTTCCTCTCAATTTTCGCGCGTCTTATCGATCCCAGAATTGTAGATCTTCAATCAGGACTCGACTACAGCTCCGAATCTGTAATTTACTTCCAACGGATCAGCGTAATCGTCTCGGATCTATGTCTTCTCTGCGGTGTCTACAGATTGACTCGAAAATTGGAACCGATGAAGCGAAATCTGATCTGCGCAATGGTGATTTGGTCTCCGGGGCTATTGATCGTAGATCACATTCATTTCCAGTACAATGGATTTCTACTGGGTTGGTTATTGCTTTCGATTTCGTTTCTTCAAGAAGGGAGAGATCTGCTGGGTGGGTTTTTATTCGCCGTTCTTCTATGCTTTAAGCATTTGTTCGCCGTCGCTGCTCCGGTTTACTTTGTTTATCTCCTTAGGCATTATTGCTGGTCCGGTTTAGTTACTGGTTTCCGACGGCTTGTAACTATTGGTGCGGTGGTTGTGGCGGTTTTTGCTGCTGCTTATGGACCTTTTATCTATCATGGACAGGTTAGTGTAGTTCTTTCTTTCTTTCATGATTGAAAGTTTTGTTTTTTGCTTTCATTATACAAATGTTGAAGAATATAGCCAAATTCTTTAGAGATCAAGTGGAAGATTCTAATGTTCCTCATGTCTTTAGGAGATTGTGAATCATTTTTTGGTGTTTGATTTGGTAAAGAGTTAGAATTTGTTGGAAATTTTGATGTTAGGGAGCTTATTTCACTACTTTCATTTGGGAAAGCGAAGTACACATTGTGAAATTACTGTCGTCAAACCTCTGTAAATCTCTGTACATCAAGTCAAACCTTATCCTAAATAGATTACTGAGAAAACGTCTTATGGTGGTAGTTATCGTGTTATCTCGCTGTGTTGCAGATACAACAAGTCATCAGTCGAATGTTTCCTTTCGGGAGAGGATTGTGCCATGCATACTGGGCACCTAATTTTTGGGTTTTCTATATAATACTCGACAAAGGGCTTGCCTTTTTGCTGCGAAAGCTCGGATTTGAAATTCAGATTCCTTCCGCATCTTTCACTGGAGGATTAGTTGGAGATTCTTCGCCTTTTGCAGTTCTTCCTCAGGTACTACTCTTCACTATCTATATCTCTCATTTCTCTTGAAGATGTTCCACTCGATCTTATTCTGTTGGACTGGTGCAATGACAGATCACGCCATTGACAACATTTGCAATGGTATTACTTGCTATATCTCCATGTCTCATCAAAGCCTGGAAAAAAACGCACCCTGGGCATGTCGCTAGATGGATAGCTTATGCATATACATGCGGTTTTCTGTTTGGATGGCACGTCCATGAGAAAGCATCGCTTCATTTCACCATCCCACTTTCAATCGTTGCAGTGCAGAGTCTAGAAGATGCTAAACATTACTTTCTGGTTTCTATAGGTATATCATCCTTTAACCAGAATCAACTTTACGCATAACCATTCATTCCTTGTACTTAATCTCTGTAATTCCCCTGCAGTTTCTTGCTATTCGCTCTTTCCGCTCTTATATGAGCCGCAGGAATACTCGATCAAGGTTCTGTTGCTGTTACTGCATTCCATGATAATGTGGCTTGGCTTTGTGGCTCAGTACACAAACAATAATAAGGTTCAGAAGGAGAATAGAGTAAGCAAGAGCAAGCTTAGGATTGGATGTTTTGAGAAGAGCTATCTAATGGGTTTAGTTATAGTAGAGATAGTGTCTCAGTTCTTGCATCCATATTATCTAGGTGATAAATTTCCATTTTTGCCGTTAATGTTGATCTCAACATATTGTACCGTTGGTATTATGTACTCTTGGATTTGGCAGATCCGGAAGATCCTGACATGACATATAGATTCATGTATTAGTTAACTTGAGGCATATGATTTTAATACGACGTTAAGCATATACATGAGATTTTTTTACTTTCATGTAGCTCTCAATCTCAGCCTCTCTCATAAACTGAAAATTGAGATTTCTCGGTTTAACAAAACATAAGAGATTTTACATCGGTTCGGCTTAATAGAACATAACTGGGCTGATATGTACACAAAGATATTGGGTCTTAGTAGTTAAATGGGCTGTAATATTGGCCCAATTTAAAACTTAAGAAGCACTGACGAGAAATCTGGAGCCAAAAGGTCGTGACGGAGGAAGAAGAAGATCTGCTTCTGCAAAAAACCTTATCCTGCTATGGCTTCCACTTTCGTCTCTCTACCAAAACCTTTCTTTGCCTTCCCGGTCAAAACCACTACTCCTTCTACAGCTAACCATAAGCTTCTCGGTACTGAACATATGTGAAACTTATTACGTTTCTTCCCTTTTGGATTAAAAGTTTTCTTGTTGATGATTTTTTGCCTCGTGTTTTTGCAGGAAGTCGAAGAGGTTGTCTTAGAATCAAAGCGATTTCCACTAAATGGGAACCGACAAAGGTACTTCCTTTCCGTTTAATTTCATCAAAAATGTATTGTTCTCTGTTTTTTTTTATGTTGGAGATTAATCTTAGTGTTGAGATAATAATTGCAGGTTGTTCCTCAGGGAGACAGAGTTCTTGTTCGTCTTGAAGATCTTCCTATGGTCAGTTTAGCTCCTTTTATGGCTTGAAATGACATTATTATTATGAACGCTTGTAGAATTCAATTGCCAAAAACTTGGGAGTTATTAAATTGTTTTTTTTTTTTTTTTTGCAGAAATCCTCAGGTGGAGTATTGTTGCCTAAAGCAGCTGTGAAGTTTGAGAGGTACTTAACAGGAGAGGTAAGTCATTGTTCCTAATTATGTTAATATATGGCTTGAGCATAACTGATTGGATATGGTTTTAATTAAGATTAGAGAATCATTTCAGGTTATCTCTGTTGGTTCTGAGGTTGGACAACAAGTTGGGCCTGGAAAGAAGGTAAAAGTGTTTTAATTCAAGACATAATCATCATTCATTGTAACTAGTGTGAATCTTCTCTTTATCTCCTTCTCCTTTGCCTTTCACAGGTTCTCTTCTCTGACGTGAGCGCTTATGAGGTGAATTCCGCTTCTCTGCAGTGAATTGATTAGTTGTTGTCCTTGTGTGGTTTTTACGAATAGTATAGAACTGAACATCTCTGAGTTTATTTCTCAGGTCGATTTGGGAACCGATGCTAGACATTGCTTCTGCAAAGAGAGTGACTTGTTGGCCCTCGTTGAGTGAAGTCTTGTCCAAGAGAAAGAGGAAACATTTAATGATTTGAAGATTTTAGAAGTTTCCTGTAATTTTCAGACAGCAATTGTTGTTTTCTGTTAATCTTTCAATTTGATATCAGTTGAGATCACTTCCAGATAGTCTCGACATAGTTTTATTCTCTTCTCTCAAGTAATTCATACAGCTTCTTTCTCGCTGACGTCTCTTCCGGTCCAACTTAGCCTCTCCTTGTTAGCATCCTCTAGCCATCAATCAAAAGAAGCTCTAATCGGCCTTATGAATAGCAACCTTGAGTAGACTTGCATCCACCATCTTTTTCAACATCCGTTGAGCATCATCCACTCTCCCATAACATATCCATTGATCATTGATCTAAATCTAGGAATCTCATGGGACAAGAGAAGACCAAGTCTTTGTGTGACCACATCTCCTCGAACAAACCCTCTGCCTCGTACAATATTCCACGCTCCCAAACGTGCTAACAAACCATCACAAGTCCAAGCATTGTTTATCATCTCCTCAAACAATTCCCATGCTTCGGATTTCTTACCGTGGTCTAGCAAACAAAAGGGTATTTTCAGTCTTCCGACTCAGAAATATGAATTTCCCATTGTCAAAGGATGAGATAGAGCTGTAAATCTAAATGGCTAACTCACCATTTCCTTGTCTAAACCAGTAATCCACAAACGTTGCATCAACCAGGGCTATGTCGTCGTAATCATAAAGCTCTTGAGACGTATCGTCGTTCAATCTATCGAACAATTGAGCAGCCTTGTCGAGGTTTCCTTGATCCAAGAAGCCGCGAATCAGATAGCTGTTTACAGTTGAATCCGCACAGAAAAGCCGCCTTAACTATACCAACAGCTTCATGGACCCTCCCGGCGTTGACCAGACCTTTGGTCAGAATCCTGTATGTGTAGTAGTCTGGATCAAAAAAAAATCCATTAAAAATCTTAACTTATTGGAAAACATGAAAATCTTACCAAAACAATCGCAGAAACAACAACGATTATCTGAGACCACGAGCACTTACATTACTAGTGAGAAAACATGATCTGTAAAGAGGTATCCAAAGCTCATGAGTACTCAAACTTGACTGCAAGCTCTGACGGAAAACGTCATGGATTTAAACATTTAGTTGACATATTATCTTTCAGAAATACATAATTTTAATTTTAACAGTCTTTTTTTTTTTTTTTTTTTTTAATCTCATTTTTTAGCTTTTCAAATCCTCTTAAATTTCTACTAATGAGCCAGTAGATTTGTAACAGTAATTCTGAAATTTTTGTTTTAAAATTTTAAATCCGTATAAATCTTCCCAAAATTTAAATTAATGTTTAATTGTTTACAAATAAATGGAAATCACTAATCCAACTTGCTCTTGAAGTGATTCAAACAGTGAGTTTGGGTGGACTTTGTTCCAGGCCCAAATCGGCGTATCCAGCAAAAGTGATCAAAGCCACGTCACCTTGACTTTAAAATTTAGTGATGTATAAAACACGAACTCAAGAAACCCTAAACGGACGCTTGGAGATGGAGCCGTCTGATGTCAATGCCTATGATAGAGCTGCGGATGCCAATAGCTCACAAATCCAGTCTGAAAACATGTCAAATCTCAGCCTGGCTCTAAAGAAGAGAAATCAAAACAAACTGTTGAAGCAAATCCATTAGCCAAGGATGATACTTCAGTTGGAAGGTTACAGTGTTACTCAAAGACCCATAAGTTCTGGGAGACTCAACCTGTTGTGCAGTATAAGGATATCGGAGACACGAGTTTGCCTGAAGGCCCAATTGATCCCGCAACTTTGGTATCTGAGGTCAAGCCAGAGCCGTATAACCTTCCTGGTCAATTCGAATGGACCACATGCGATATGAAATCTGATGATACGTGTGCAGAGGTGTACAAGTTTTTCAAGGAAAACTATCCTGATGATGGATATCAGTTCATGGTTGAGTACTCCAGGGAGTTTCTAAGGTGGGCATTGTGTCCACCTGGTTATCACCAGAGCTGGCATATTGGAGTCCGTGTCAAGACCTCCAAGAAACTCGTTGCTTTCATCAGTGGCGTGCCATCAAGAATCAGGGTGCGTGCTGAGGTTTTGAAAATGCCAAAGATCAATCTCTTGTGTGTTCACAAGAAGAACCTCAGGTCTAAGGGACTTGCTCCTGTCTTGATCAAGGAGCTGACTAGAAGGGTTCACTTGCAGAATATATGGCAGGCGGCTTATACCTCACTTGATGTACTTCCTACACCAGTCACCACCTGCCAATACTGGGTCAGAATGTTGAAACCTAAGAAGCTAATCGATGTTGGATATTCAACACTTCGTGAAAGAATGACACTGAGCATGACCGTCAAACTTTACAAGCTACCTGATGCACCGATCACTCCTGGATTCAGGGAAATGGACCGACGTGATGTCCCTGCTGTTACAAAGTTGCTCAGGAACTACCTCCGCCAGTTTGGAGTTGCGACGGACTTTGGTGAAAAGGACGTCGAGCACTGGCTTCTCCCAAGAAAAGATGTCGTACACAGTTACTTAGTAGAAGAAACTCATGACGTGATCACTGACTTTTGCAGCTTCTACACTGTCCCTTTAACTATCGTCGGTAACCCGAAATACAAAACAGTGGAATGTGCTTATTCTTACTATAATGTCGCGACTAAGACCTCCTTTCCCCAGCTGATGAATGATGCGCTAATCATCTCTAAGCAAAAAGGTTTCGATGTGTTCTACGCGTTGGATGTTATGCACAATGAGAGTTTCTTAAAAGAGTTGAAGTTTGATCAAGGAGATGGACAGATGCACTACTATCTCTATAATTACCGTTTGAGAAGTGCATTGAAGCCATCAGAACTTGGGCTCGTTCTTTGGTAAGCTATTGATCAATAATTTGCTTGGAAGTTATTAGTTTGGTATCAACAAACTTGATTTTTTAAATTGATTGTGTATCTGAACTACTTCTCCCATGCCTCATGCATTGCTACAATAACTGAGTTTAATTCTATTGGAAATGCGATTGTGAATCATTTGGAAGTGTGATTTTGTTACTTGTGCATCTTCTTCACTTGACCTAGAGACAAGGAGAGAGTTGACCCTGAAAAGTAAAGTCAACGAAAATATGCAGATGGCCAGATAGTTGTGCATCCGTCGTAATTATTCTATAATTAAACTCACATAGAGGTATATATCATAGAGGTATCAAAGAGTCTCGTGTATGTAACATTACAAATCACATACTGAAAAATGTTATACACGTTGAAAAATTAACAGAGAACATATAAATCAAATGTTATACTTGAATATATAAACACATACGTATGTAACATTACAAATGGTACTTTTGTATTTTCAACTTTTAAGTAATCATACACTCTGATCGACATCAACCGTCAAAAACATGGTACGTTTTACTCTTAACAAATTTATAAGTCTTAAAAGAAACATAGAAGAAGAATAGTTGTATGAGTTCGTTTGTATTCGAATATATAGGTGATGGTTCAATGTTTTATTAGTACTTTGGACAAAAATTAGCATCCTTCTCTTCACAAAAGTTATAATCATTATTAAACTTTTTTTGTCACTTTTAACCAAAAAGATTAGTACTGGTCAGCTTATAACCGCAAGTCCAAATTCGCCAGATCATAAAGCTTGTGGTAAAGGAATTTGTGTTGAACTTTCTCATAAGTGTTATCTTTCACCTCTTGATCATCTCACTGTTTCAGGTTGGACCCTCTTTATCTCAGGTCCGCACCTTTCACTGTTATTCTCTGTGTCTCATCTCCTCTTGTGTCTCTGTTTTGGTTTCTTTGTTCTATGTGCAAAGCAGTAAACGTTTGGAAACTAAAGAGAGATAAGAGAAATTTGAAAGACAACATTGATCACTAGGATACAAATGTTAACTGGTTGATACACAAAAAAAGGAGACTAAATCACAAAAAATATCTTCAAAGAGTTGACCAAAACAGGACTTGTTACGATTTTTAAGCATCTTCTGATACAAATGTTAACTGGTTGGTACACATAAAAAGAGACTAAATCAAAACTCAAAAATTCGCAGCTCGATCATGCCTTCTTTTCTCTTTGGAGAATACCAAGCCACGACTTTGCCAGACTCAAGAAGCCTCAAAGAGTAATTCAGACTGTATATCAGATCTTCCATGCGTGCCGCACCTACCTGAAACTGCGAGTCTACTTTGAAAACAATCGGACCTGCAACCTGCAAAATTGTTGCAGAAGAATAAACTGTTATTAATGGGAATTGCTTAAACATCAAAGACTTCTGATCTTTGGACAAAAGCTTAATACCTGTTGCTGGAATATCAGGTTGAGTCTAGGAGACCACAATGTGTCGTCTGAGTTGTTACTACCTGACAATCTTCTAAATGCATGGAAGATTCTTTTAGCAAGGGCAGAAGCTGAGGGTAGGTCCACACGAGCATCTACTCGGGTTAGATCGCCATACAACTTACTAAACCTCCCTTTTTGGAACGTATAACAAGCAGAACCAAATACGTCTGCGCTTATCGGACTCCGCTTCTTGCCATTAACCAACATGCCTCGGCCTGTGATCCAAGCTGCCAAGCTGCTACCTAGAAAGTGAAACATTGAGAGAACTCAGCATTCGATTAGAGGTCAACAAAAAGGAAAGAGACTTCTTTAGCCGAACGGGTTTTTTCAAGAGAGTACCTACTATTCCTGAAATTGCTGCGTGAGGCTCCTTTAGACGTATATCATAAGGCAGAAACTCAGGTGTACCCTCTTCTGTGTTGTCTTCTTTCTCTTGTGGCCTCCACAAGTCTCTGTTAGCCTTGTACGAAACTGCAGCCTTGGCGCATAAACCAGGCATCAAAGAAGTAGGAGCATCACTACCACTCTCAGCACCAGCAGCATTCACAGGCTGAGGATTACCCCTGCTTTTGTGTAGGCCAAACCGGTATCGAAGCCCTGATTCTGGAACAAGGGATGAGACGTCAACATTCAATGATTCAGGAACATCCCAGAAACGTCCTTTATTATCCAAAAACAGATCTGGCCAAGCTGCTTCCACAGTGAGATCATGTTTCTCAAGCTGCTCATTAGCTCAAAAACAAAACAAATTAGAAGTGCTTTAATCATACAAAAGAATCCATCATAGTTACAGTACAGATGCATACCGGATGAACAAACATCAACTTGTTTCGGAGTCCGTTTTTATCTCCAAGGCGTTCAGTGCTAAGCAAGAGAGAAGAAGAAGTACCCAACGCAATCTGAGTCCATAAACCAATAGAGTAAAGGGATTTGTCAACAATGTGTTTTGCTGTATCCTTAACAACTTGAAGATCCCACTCTTCTGCATTGCTAATATCTGCTTTGATATCAGCAAAGAGCTTCTTTGGTTTAAATTGCCCAACTAATCCTAGCCACCTGAGTGAAAAAGAGCAAACAAACCTAATCAAATGTCTCATCAAATCCAACATTATCAACACCTACAAAAAGACAAAAGAATCCAAATTGGTGATGTTGCTTTTCTATTTCACAAGTTTGATTCTTTTTTTCAAAGTCTCAAGCTTTAAAGCATTACTCACTCAAACATCCACTAGATTTTCTAAATTTCTGGAGAGGTTAAGATCATTTACCAGTTGTTAGAGGAAGGACTGAGCAAGAGAGAATTGAGAGAGAAAGAGCCAAGTCTCTTGTCAGAAGCAGGAGCAAAAGAAGGAATGATTCCGAGAGGAAAGCCTTCGCGAAGCAGAGAGAGCTGTTGAATCCGGTGAGAGCGGCTTGCTCGTGCTCCGTCTAAGGGAAATGGCTCACCAGGAACAGAGCGAGCCGTTCCTTCAAGGGTTTGGGGTGAAGAAACGTTCTGGTCCCAAAACACTGAATCAACAGCTGAGTTAAGATTCGCCATTTTCTTCTTCTTCTTCTTCCTTTTCTCCTTTCCTTATCTCAGACTCTCCTCTGTACGAAGCTGGAAGACAAAGGGGGTTTAAGCTTTTGCATGGGCCTTTTCTTTCAACGTAATGGGCTTATTAATAGGCCTTGTTTTAACCTTTATAAGATGGTCTGATAGCAATTAAGGTTTATAAACTTTCCTAATTAGCCCACCTTTATAAGATGGTCTGATAGCAATTAAGGTTTATAAACTTTCCTAATTAGCCCAATAGCCAATTTGGAAGTTGTGATTAAAGTTGTGATTCAAAGATGACTCGTACCTTTTCGACCTAAATTGTGGAATTTGAAACGAATTTTGCTAAGTGTTGTGGGTTTATAATACGACAAATCTTAATCATCGATTTTGGACAGATTTAGAGTACTAAATTGGGGGCTTTTCAGTTGACCAATACTCTTAATTGGGCTTTATCAAAAGCTAAAACAGGGGATTGAAGTAGTGATGAAGAATTGAAGATTACCATAGAAACTTTTTGATAATAATAAGACAAATCGTATTAATTCAAGAAAGAGTGTCAACTTTCACAAGATTCAAGCAAAAAGGTTTTCTTTTAAGAAACTAGAACTGTTAAAAGAGTCAATAACAATGCTCTCAAAACAGAAGTGAATTTATTTGCAAATCCCATTATCAAGAGAGAAGAACCTCATACAAAAAAAGGGGGAAGAAACCGAATAAGAAACCATGAGAGAGCACACAGCTTTTAGCTAGACATTGGATGATTGTAAACATATTCAATGGCGAGAGAGCAAGAATCGATCTTGTCAGCTTCTTTGTCTGGGATTTCCAGCTTGAATTCCTCTTCAATAGCCATCACTATCTCCACTGTGTCCAAACTATCTAACCCCAGATCGTTTTGGAAATGAACCTCAGGAGTAACCTGTAGATAGTTACCACAACGTCATTCAACAAAATAACCCTAACCAAACAACTCTTAGAGAGAGTCGAAACATTTTTATGAAGGACTCATAAATGCCAAATCCATAAGATTGACCATATCAAATCAAATTCATAGCAACAACAACCACATTGAGAACAATAACCTCAAATTTACAAACAACACTAATGCAACATCGTTTCAGATACAATTTAGCAAATTGTTAATACAAAATCAACCAAAAAGCTACAACATTGACAAAGGTTTAAGGCAAAATAACCATTTTGTTCAAGTAATGAGGAAAACAAAAGATAAGAATCACGATTTGATCCCATACATTGCAGGTCTAAACCGAATCTTAATATTTAGCCAAATTTTAAGAAGATCGAGCTGACCTTAGAGGGATCGACTTTGGGGAAGCTCTTGACAACATCGAGAACTCTATCGACGACAGCTTCTCTGCTGAGATGATCATCGTGCGAAGAAAACGACCGGATCGAACCAAGGAACCCAATTTGAGACTGATTCAGTCCTAGGCTCTGCACAGGAACCCTCAGGTGACGAAGAATTGCATTTCTCAGTGCCATTTTCGTCTTCTTCTTCGAGCTCGAGATTTAGGGATTTGATGAGAGACGACACAACAAAATGGGAGTAAAGTAGCCAAAAGGGGCTGAGAGATGACACGTGCTTGTCACGTGCTCACTACTACTATTAGCCTAGCCCATATCCTGCGTGGGCTTATATAATAAATGAAGCCCATAAGGCCATAATGTAGTAAATTCGTTAATCTGCTTCTAAGTTCTTACATATTTTGTAAACTATCTCAAATAGTTTGTAATTTAACATAAATGACCCAATTGGTTACTCGAGGAATAACAAACACACTAATACAGTATTTGCAATTCCACAGCGACGGGATCTCTCTCCGGTAAATATCGGAAACTTTTTTTCTCAGCAAAGCGAGATCTCGACGTTTCTCAGATCCGTCCGGCGAGTTAGATCCTTGAGAAATCATGGCTCCGGTCTCGGCACTCGCCAAGTATAAGCTGGTGTTTCTGGGAGATCAATCCGTCGGCAAAACCAGTATCATCACTCGATTCATGTACGACAAATTCGACAATACTTACCAGGTAGATTTCATCGTTCAAATCTAGGTATTATCTCGACGATGCACAACGTTCGCTTTTATTTCGAGGGGATTATAGTCGGGAAAATCCCAGGGTTTGATCGATTTTGAGATCCGTTTTCATGGACGGGAATCGTGTTTTTCAGTTCGAGGTTTTAATTCGATTTCGTGATTTCGCGTTCGATTTTGCGTAGTTATGTGTGATCTGATTTGTAGATCGCGTTTGAGTCAATGTATAGGACGTAATAATCAGCTGAATGAGATCATCGTTTGTTATTTTGGCTTTTGTAATCGCTCATTTTCGTTTATTGTACATACTCAAAGAGTTCAGTGCCATAGAAGATCGTAGTTACACTAATATGATGATGTTTCTGTGATCTTCTTATCATTGTTTATCTAATCGAATTTGTTCTCAATTGATGAATCAAAGCATCTGATCTTGTCTTTTTTTTGAATATGAGAATTGCATTTAAGCTCCTTATAGTACATGAACCATGCTTGTTTATAGTCATTGTACAGAATGTTCTTGTTTTTCTCATTATCTTATGTTGTTTCATAATCATAGGCCACAATTGGTATTGATTTTCTATCGAAGACAATGTACCTTGAAGATCGAACGGTCAGACTTCAGTTGTGGTAAGATCTTGAGCCTCTTTCAATTTTCGAACACTGAAGAATAACATTGCAGATCATGTTTTGATAATGCATATTGAGAGCCGAAAACATATGACAGGGATACGGCTGGGCAAGAGCGATTCAGGAGTCTAATTCCGAGCTATATCAGGGATTCCTCTGTTGCTGTTATTGTGTATGATGTTGCAAGTATGTGTACCTTCACTCTTTCTCTGTTTTCTGTCAAACACGTGAATATTTTCCCATATCTAAGATGTCGTGGCTGTGGTTTTACCGCTTTAGTAAATCTTATGAATACATGCGTTTTGATTTCTTCTTTATCTCAATCCGTTGTGCGTTGTGAAACTCGAGATTTATTTTGTTTTCCATTGACATATAGGCAGGCAATCCTTCCTAAACACTACTAAGTGGATCGATGAGGTTAGGACAGAGCGTGGTAGTGATGTCATAGTTGTGCTTGTGGGAAACAAAACTGACCTTGTGGACAAAAGGTAATAATGATCTACCATCCCTTCCTTTACATGTTTCTTGTTAAACCATGGTGTGCAAATTACTGTTGAATAGCAACTAAGACTGAAATTTGGTAGTCCTCCTTGTTTAAACACGCTCTGATGTCTCTTTTTTGTACTCAAGTACAAACTGTTGTCAAACCATGTCTTACTTTCCTGGTGGTATTGAGTATGTTGCAAAACGACCCTACAAGATAATAAATGGGAAATCATTTGGTGATCAACTGCATATATTTAAATGGTTTCTTATAGTCAACACGCTTTGACACTTGATGGTGCCTACTACTATTTGTTACTGCCAATGGGCCTCTGTAATAAATTTTTGGTTTCTCAGGCAAGTGTCAATAGAGGAAGCAGAAGCTAAGGCTCGTGAACTTAATGTAATGTTCATTGAAACCAGTGCCAAAGCGGGTTTCAACATTAAGGTAACAAAGATCTTGGCTTGACACATTTCTGAGGGTTTCTGGACAACAGATTTTTTTTTTACTAAGTTTCACTTAAGCCCTATCTTTGTTTAGTACCATCAATAGTTGGTTAACCTAGACTTTTAATCCAACCTGCTGATTTTTACATCCTCCTCATTTGTATGGATCTTTCACAGATACTCTCTAAACAATTACTGTAAATCCATAACGCTTTTTTCTATTGCTAGGCGCTCTTCCGCAAGATAGCAGCAGCTTTGCCGGGAATGGAGACATTGTCTTCAACAAAGCAAGAGGATATGGTTGATGTCAATCTCAAGTCTTCCAATGCAAATGCATCTCTCGCTCAGCAGCAATCAGGAGGATGCTCTTGTTAGATTTGGCAACAACAAATCGATAGAGACCAACAAAACACACTACTAAAATCGAAGTCCTCAAGCCTTTGCATGATTCGATCATTATCGTCTTCCATCTGTAAAATTTTTGCCTGCTTTTTCAACTTTTTTTCTTCATCAGATTGTTTTAAGAAAGACTTTTTTTTTTCTTATTATTTTAGCTGTGGTTTGTCCCTAACTCTGATCTTTTGCGGTCTTTCGAGTTGCAAATGCTCTCTGCTTCGGTACTTTTGTTTACTTTTATCTCAAAACTGTGATTTGTCAGCCTATGAATTTAATTATATAAAACTTGTGAGTTGCTAATAAACACACTTATCTCGTTTCTTCCTTTTCCATGTGATAGAGAAAGAAGCATAGAATTGTTATAATCTTTGACCCGTGAAGAAGCAGAGAATTAATTTCGTACACATGTCGTTAGGTCAGAACACTTAAATGAGCTAATTAAATTCAAAATCTCACACTATTCCCAGGTATTTTTCTCCAATTCCTGAAAGAAAATAAGCATTATCGTCCCGAAAAATAAGCTATTTTCTTCGTGAAAAGCTCTGGTGGATTAATGCAGTTGGAGTGATCTGTATACTCAGCAGTTCTGTATTCCCAAATTATGTGTATACAGTATACTCACTTAATCAGCATTAATTATTCGTAACGAATTTTATAGAAAATAGGTTATTTGAATGATTTTTTGATGTCATTACTTATTAGGACGCATACTTTTGAAAGAAAAAAAAAAAAAAAACAGAAACTTGTACGATTGTTTTTCTTTCATTGCAGCTGAAAAGTATTTTTATATTTTTGAATAGCCCAACAAAGCTATTTTAAAATTTTAATGACACTTCATATTTCATAATTATGTAATTATCAATCAAAATCCTCATACATAGTACCAAACTACCAACTAATAGCTAAAAATTACATAGCACCAACTAATAACTAAAAAATGATTTCTAATGACACTTGTGCTTTATTTGAATTTTCCCACTAACTCATCAAACACATAATTCGCAATAATGACAATAATTAAAGATAGACCCCTTCAAAAAAAAAAAAAAAAACAGAATGAGTAAGTTGAAATCAATGAAGATGTAGGTGAGAGGAGATGGTAGAGCCACGAAAGAAACACTATTTCAATTCTCTCCTCTCAAACAAAAGCCCTTTCATTAAATGCCAACTTCCCTTTTATGACCGTTAATGCTCTTTGTAAGATGACGAAAATATCAAATTACTAATAAGCCCTTAGAATCATATATAGTGTGTAATTTTCATTATATTTATATACTCATTCACGACTATGGACACATGGAATTTAAAATTGGTCTTACTTCGTATATTTGTATTAAACTCTTAGTCTTTACTCTTTTAAACCTTTGAAACTCTCTTAGGGCATCTCCAACCATAGCACTATTTTAGTGTTAAAATAACACTATATTTGGTGTAGTTTTCATACTAAAACTTTTCTTTCTCCAACCACAACACCAAATGTTACACTAAAAATCATATTTTATATTATTGTATTATTAAACTAATATATTAATATTATTAAAATATTACATAGTATTGAAATAAATATTATACACCAAAATATTAGATTAAACAAATTAAATACAAACAAAGTAACAAAATGAAAATCAAATTACATAAACACATAAATATTACATAAATTAAAATAGTATAACAATACAAAATAATGTTTTAATTCATTAATAATATCAAATTACAATCTATAAATCAAAAATAGTAAAAATAAATTGCATTGTACTAATTTGTAATTTTATGTTATCAATGTTTAGTTGAATTTTATTATGTATTTTCTATCAAATTCCGTATTAATTTAAATATTTTCTACTAATTAATATTATTAAAATTAAAAAATTTAAAAGTAGGTGTGATAAATTATTTTTTTAGTTACAAACCTTAATTAGATTATTAAACAATAATACAAATCATATTTTATCTACTAACTAAATAAACTATTTTAATATATAATAGTACCAAAACAAATTAAAAAATTATTATTTTAGTGTTTGCCGTGTCTACAGTCATACACCAAATATAGTGATATACTGTATACCAAAAAAGAATCTCACTATTATAGTGCAAATTATAACGTGTTGTTGGAGTGAAAAAGTAAACACCTCCTACGCCAAAATAACGTTTTGCCGTTCCATTGGACATGGCCTTAGACGGTACTTGGATCTTCAAAAAAGTCTCGAAATTGAGACCTATGTTATTGGATGTATATGCCCATTTTTTCTCTAGCTTTCCTTTTTAGGTTTTATGTGTCTGGTTAGTAAGTGAGACTAGTAAATTGGATTTGTGAATGGTTCTTTTTGACTTTACCATGTCTAAAGACTAAGTGTTGTCAGATTTTGTTTTTCTAAATTAAGGGAAACACAAGGGTATTTGTCACATTTATGATCACCAACAAAGCATTGATTTTTTTTTTTAGATTTGAACTTTGAAGACTTCAAAATAATTGCAATGTATTACAATTCTGACATGAACTAGTCCATAGGTTTACTTCTATTATCTGTCATTTTTGATGTGTACACCCAAAAATTCATAAGAAAAAAAGAGAGACTATCCAAAGAAAAAGAAACACACGACATTGTTCTTCTAATCTCCTAAATATAAAAACGAATATTTCTTCCTTTAATATACAATCACAAAACATTATAATATAAATAACTAAAAAAAGAAGTAAATTCACTCTTTATCTGTTGGTATAGTAAAGCCACCACCATATATAATAACTTCCATATCAAATCCTGTGAAGGGTATTTTAGGTAATTTCGCAAAGAACGGTCAGATTTTGACCCCAACAAAAAAAATCAACGGCGGTGATCAACTCTACCTAAATCCACAAGCTTCTTAGACCGGTTACCGCAAAAAGACGCCGCCGTTGAAAGGTGAGGCTTCGCCGGAGACTTCAATTCACCGGAATATCCAAAATCCGGCGGAAATTTCGCTTTCCAGTTAGAAGAACAGTTAGGTTTAGCTCTCACTAATGGACTTAAGCAAAAAGCCATCCCAGATACACTTCTACCAATCCCAATCGTCGTCGTCTTTTTCCTTCCCGGAGTTCCTATCGCCGGCGTTCTTCTCAATCTCCCTGGAGATTCCTCAACTGATTCATCGTTCGCCGCTGAATCTCCCGCCGGCGACATTCCTCTACAATATCTCTGTCTAGGTCGATTTTGATGATGATTGGATTCAGAGGCAATCAAATCCTCGATGTAGCAAGTAGTGGTGGTTGATTGTTTCTTCGATCGAACTGTGAGAACTTTCGAAAACCATGACCGTGAAGTCGTCGACGAAGACGATTGAGAAAACGTGGACGCGTCGCATGAATCGCGACGCGAATCGTAATCGTCAGATCTCGTTCTGAAGAAGCTTGAGAATCTAGATAAACCGCTTTTTTTCTTCTTAAACGATCTGTCTGATTCGAAGACTTTTTCCGATGACGATGATCCTCTTCCTCCTCCTCCTCCTCCGCCGTATGAATGATCAACCACTTGCGGTGTCGCGAAGAATCGGTTATTAGAAGAAGCTACAGAATCTCCTCCTCCTCCGGTTCCGGCGTCGGATTTTCTCGGAGCAACGTAAGGAGAAACAGAACGAGGAAAAAGCAGAGGAGGTGGAGAAATCCGAGAATGACGATGATCGTTATCGTCGTTTTCAGACGCGGCGGTTGAAACGGCGAGAGAAGAGAGTCGTTCACGGAGACAAGAAGCACAAACGCCGATACTGCTACTGAAATCTACTGTATGTCTCTTACACCTCATCGGAAAAACAAAACACTTTGAGAAACTTCGATTTCAGAGAATTAGAAGAAGAAGAAGATCTGAGGAATAAAAAAGATATATTTGTCTTCTTCTGGCTCTGAGATTTTCTCTTTTTGAGAGAGAGAGAGAGAGGATCTAATGAGAAGAGAATCGCCGGAGTAAATGGAAATTTTCTGATTTGTTTTTTCTTTAAGAAGAAAAATAGAAATACTTTTTTTCAGGTAATAAAGGCTTGACACGTTAGCCTTTGTTTGGTTTATAAAACATTGTTTTTGCAATTAAGATGATGATTAATACTTATGGTTAAAGATAATGATCCCATTTTTTTAATTAACGTCACTATTCATTTTTTTCTTTTTGGGTGTGCTTGTAGTGGGGAGATGAACATTTCATTGTTTTCATAATTCGTATTGTCGTTGACATTGCTTTTTTTTTTTTTTTTATCATTGTCAAAACAAACATCACTTCATCACACAATGGGTTATGTAATGATTAGTTATTACTTCATTCTCTATTGGGTTTTGTAATGATTAGTTTATTACTTTAAAAAACTTTTGTAAAACTAAACGTCCTCTTAATTTGACTCATTAAAACTGTTTTAGACTAACCGTACTTGCTTAGGACACTCTATGTCAACGTTATATGAACAATTTCGTAGAAATTCTGTGGCAAAATACCTAATTAGTTATTGGTGGTTTCCTTTTGTTTTGTATAACAACACGTTTAAATTTTGTACATATATGGTTGTTATTAAGCGTTGGTCTAATTTGTGATACTATTCAAGTCTATATGCGTTTGATGATATCTTGAAATAATTAATGATAGAATTATGCAAAATAATAATTGTATGATCGAGAATTCAAAGATATGGTAAGAATCCAATTCTAGATATACATGGAAAGTAATCCACTTTCTTTTGTATTATTTGAAACACAATCATGAAATAAAATCGTAGTGGTGATTATTGCGGACGACGAACAAGAAAAACAAATGTCAATTTGATCAGTGTATATACATTTTTTTTGAAAGGGAAAACGAAGCATGTGACCGCAAGAAAAAGATGGGAGCTCGTGGATGGTGGAAGCCGACAAATGTTAGGTGATTCGAGACGTCGTCGTTTTATGTATCCCACACGCTTGTTCGTCCGTTTCTTCTTGGGCTAGCCACGTGGCCCTTGACACTTCCACTTCAGGCATATACTGGATTTAAAGCCTGTTTAATTCTTTAATGATGGGCCAGTTATTTATTATTGGGCCTTAATTTTCATTTACTAATTTTGTTTTTGAAATTACATCAATCTTTGAAAAAAAAAAAAAAAAAACATCAATCTATACTTGAAAAGGTATATTGAAATATGGAAGGATATTTTAAAAAATAAATATAACATGATTAATATTAAAGTAATTTTGAACTTTGAAACTGAAAAAAATTAAAACTTTAAATCTTTACCAAAATATTGAGATTTGAGTTATATTTGGGTTTGAATAACCAATGGTAAAGAGAGTTTTGTTTTTTTTTTAAAGTAGATAATTAATCGCTTGACGACATAAAATTGGTAAAAATATCAAGTATTAAATGATTTTCAGTAAATTTTAAATTTTACTTATAATAATAAATGGATAATGCCAAAAATAAATAAATTAATATTGGACTGGTTTTGGTTTATCATATTGAAAACGCCCGCTCTCTCTTTTTTCTCGTTTCTTCCTTCGTTCTCAGGTCCATCTGCGTTCGTCTCACGTCTTGGCATTCTTCTTCTTCGTCTCTGGATTTTTGAAGTTAACGACAATGGAGAGTTTGATCTTGTTGGTTAATACGATACAGAGAGCATGCACCACAGTCGGCGATCATGGCGGCGGTAATAACGCTCTATCTTCTCTCTGGGAAGCTCTTCCTTCCGTCGCCGTCGTTGGTGGCCAGGTTTCGTCTCAATCAGATAAATCTGACTTAGTTTTTCCACTTAAGCTTGTCTTTTAAGGGTTTTGTTCTTCTTCTTCATGTAGAGTTCTGGTAAATCTTCGGTTCTAGAGAGCATCGTCGGGAGAGATTTTCTTCCCAGAGGATCCGGTTTGTGATCAAAACCAAAGTTTCGATTTTTTTTACTCATCTATGATTGATCGTTAGAACAATGGAAGGAGAATTTGATTTTTGTAGGTATCGTTACGAGACGGCCTTTGGTTTTACAACTTCATAAGACTGAAAATGGAACAGAGGATTACGCTGAGTTTCTCCACCTTACCAAGAAGAAATTCACCAATTTCTGTATGTAAATTTATATATGAATGTGTGTTTTTGGCGATAATGAATCAAATCATATTTATGTTACTGAAATGTATTTTGTGTCCCAGCTTTGGTTAGAAAGGAGATTGAGGATGAGACTGATAGAATCACTGGGAAGAACAAACAGATTTCTCCAATTCCTATTCACCTTAGCATTTTCTCTCCCAATGGTCGGTTATTTATCGCGAAAACCGTGGCTTTCCCTTCTATGAATGATGCAACTAACATTAGTTTTTGTTTCTATTGAAAACAGTTGTGAATCTTACTCTCATTGATTTACCTGGTTTGACTAAAGTTGCCGTTGGTATGTTTTTGGTTTGGCTCTTCTTTTGTTTATTGTTTGGTGCTTCTAGTTACTTGTTAACATTGTCAATTTGTTTTCAGAAGGACAGCCAGATACTATAGTTGAGGATATCGAAACCATGGTTCGCTCATACGTTGAAAAGGTGAGTAATCACTACTTCTTGCACTTTTCTTGGCTTGGTGATGATGTGATGATAATCTTTTGTTCACAGCCTAACTGTCTTATACTAGCAATATCTCCTGCTAATCAAGACATAGCTACATCGGATGCGATGAAGCTCGCAAAAGAAGTGGATCCAACAGGTTTGTTTTGTTCTGTTTGTTTCAGAAAATGTACTGTGGATTGGGGAAAATAATCCTTCTCTCTCTATAAAACAATGATACAGTTTTCTGACTTAAACACTGTTTTAGGTGATAGAACGTTTGGAGTGCTGACAAAGTTAGACTTAATGGACAAAGGAACTAATGCACTGGACGTAAGTTTCTTCCTTGTTGCTATTGTTTGAAGTAGTTATTTAAGAATTTACATGCCTCATGACGATATTGAGTATTATATATCGACTCTGATTGAATCTTTTCCTCGATAAGGTTATCGAAGGAAGGTCTTACAGGCTGAAATATCCTTGGGTTGGGATAGTGAACCGTTCACAAGCAGATATTAATAAGAATGTTGATATGATGGTTGCGAGAAGGAAAGAGCGAGAATACTTTGAAACCAGCCCTGACTATGGTCACTTAGCCACAAGAATGGGATCAGAATATCTTGCAAAGCTTCTCTCTAAGGTTTTTTTATTCAAACCAAACACTTATACGCATGAATGAGATTTTGGTCGTTCTGTTTTTAAGTTGTGGTCTTTCATTTTCCAGCTCTTAGAATCTGTTATAAGGTCCCGTATTCCAAGTATCCTATCCTTGATCAACAACAACATCGAGGAACTCGAAAGAGAGTTAGACCAATTGGGCAGGCCTGTCGCGATTGATGCTGGAGTGAGTACATATATACACTTTAAAGAAATGTTATGAATTGCATATATTTCTGTGGTAAGCTAAAATTTTGTTGGTTTCAGGCTCAACTATACACTATCTTGGGAATGTGTCGAGCATTTGAAAAGATATTCAAAGAGCATTTGGATGGCGGGTAAAAAAAAAAAAAACACAATTCTTGAATCATTTTTCCCCAACTTTCTTGTAACCTGTGATTGATGAAAAATCTTAGGCGTCCTGGAGGTGCACGCATCTACGGAATCTTTGACTACAATCTTCCAACAGCCATTAAAAAACTTCCATTTGATCGTCATCTTTCATTGCAAAGTGTTAAGAGAATTGTATCAGAATCTGATGGCTATCAACCTCACTTGATAGCACCAGAATTGGGTTATCGTCGTCTCATTGAAGGATCACTAAATCATTTTAGAGGTCCAGCTGAAGCTTCTGTGAATGCTGTAAGCTCCTTTATACCTTTTGTTCACTTCACTCTTTCATCGGTATCTATATAATAAGATCGTAACGAATGTGACTATGTGATTGTAACAGATTCATTTAATCTTAAAAGAGCTTGTAAGGAAAGCAATCTCAGAAACCGAGGTAAGATTGGTTGTTGTTTTAGATACATAAATGTAAAAAAAGTGGTTATTGATTCTTGTTGTGCAAACAATGCAGGAGCTAAAACGTTTCCCTTCACTACAAATTGAGTTAGTTGCTGCAGCAAACTCATCACTAGACAAGTTTCGTGAAGAAAGCATGAAGTCAGTTCTTAGATTAGTCGACATGGAATCATCATATCTAACGGTTGACTTCTTTCGCAAGCTTCATGTAGAAAGCCAAAACGTGTCTCTTTCTTCACCAACAACAACAACAACAACAGACCAATATGGTGAAGGACAGTTCAGAAAGATAGCTTCAAATGTTGCTTCTTATATCAAGATGGTTGCAGAGACACTTGTTAACACTATTCCTAAGGCTGTTGTTCATTGCCAAGTTAGACAAGCGAAACTCTCTTTGCTTAATTACTTCTATGCACAGATCAGTCAGAGTCAGGTTTGTTGTCTCTTACTTTCGGTTAATTCAGTTTGGTTTAAGTTTGGTTTTAGCTCCGGTTTGAGGATTTGAGTCTGGTTATTTTTTTAGCAGGGGAAACGGTTGGGACAGTTATTAGATGAGAACCCGGCATTGATGGAAAGGAGAGTGCAATGTGCAAAGAGGCTCGAGCTATACAAGAAGGCTAGAGATGAGATTGATGCAGCGGTTTGGGTTCGATGATGAAGCCGGTTTGGTTTTATTGGTTTACATGACATAAGATACATAAACCAACTAAGTTGATAAACAGACAATTGTTTAGTACTTGTGGTTATCTCGGGTATAATCATTGTTTCATATCGCCGGTTTATTTTTTTAATTCGGATTGTGGATGGTGTTGCACAATCTCTTCATCGGAATCCATCTTTTTCTTCGTCGGAATCTGATTCCTGAGATTCATTTCAGACAAGTTTGGGGATTTGAAACTAAAGGCCGTGACGTTTTGCAAAAGAGATTATAAAATGGGTGCCGTTTGCGGTGTGAGTCGCTTCGAAGTTTGGGCTTCTTATTGACTTTGGGCCTCAAAAATCAAATCATTTTTGTTTGGGCTTCTTAATTAAGATAATATTTTTGTCTGTTTATGCATGCTTTTGTTTCAATTTAACTAAACACTAGATTTGGACCCGCGGTACACCGCGGGGCTATAACTTTTTTTTTAAAAAATTCAAATATAATTTGTTTTGTTTATTAATAGAGAGTATAATATAATATTTCGACCTATTTTCTAAATGTAAGATCCATATATCTATATTAATAGTTTTGAGTATATTAATTTTGTTTTAGGTATAATGGTATATAATATAGTAGTTTTTGGATATATATCCATTGAACTGAATATTAAACACAAACAATAGGATATATATATATATATATATATATTTGTATAATGTAGCATTAATAGTTTGTTAATTATATTGTTAAATTATTTAACAAACAGTTAAATAATATTTGGTTTTCTCATTTTGTTTGTTTGTAAATTAAATAATTAATCTCTTTAATTTATATAGTTTTGTTGTAGAATGAAAATATTAGGGGTGGCAATTATGATTTGCATAATAGTTATAGTTATAACTCGAATTTTAAAAAACTTTGATTTTTAAACTGAACCAATTTAATTTATTTATGTATAATTGGAAAAGAAAAGCATGTTGATCTTTGTTTTTAAAAAATATACATGAAGACATATCTATAAAATTGAATTTTATGTTAAAAGGAAGAGTATAGTTGTATGATGTCTAAAATAAAATAAAATAAGTAATATTAATTACAACCTGGGATTGTTGTCGGTACCTAACTTATCCTCTTCTGTCCTCACTAACACATTCTTCGACAACTCTGAAATCCCAAATTCGTTATCTCTCGTGCTTCAAACCAATGATGCTTGATTGTAAGATTAAAGCGGAGGAGAAGGAGATGAATCAACCTGAAGAGTGCTCGACCTCCCATTGTTCTTTCTAGAGTCGGGTCTACACCACCACCACCGGAACTTCTTCAAATTTGGGCCGGTTTCTGGATTGCACACTCCCACTGTTTCTACCCAGTACTTTCCTTTGGTAAATTACTCCGATTTCAATTGGATTAAGTTTTTCTTTCAGCATCAAGCGTTAAAAAATGGGATTTTTGATTGATCAATTCTTGGGATTATCGCCATTTAGGATTGTAGATTTGAGGAACATATTATTAACTTAGTAGAATCACAAGTATTATGCTTTGTTAAGAACAATTCTTATGTTGTTACGTTCACTCATTTCTGATTTGTACTTCTATATGTTTCCTTTCTTAAGATTTTAAACACAATCGATTGATTATCTTGTATTGATTTTTCTGGCTTTGAATTGTTTCTGTGAAATTGCAGCTGCTATTGTCTTCGAATATAATTAAAGTTTGACTCCTCTATTTTTGTTGTTATTTGTTTTCATTTCATTTGGTGTCATCTAATAAGTTTTGCATCAAATATGTTATGTTTTGCAGGTTTTCGTCAGAACCATGACAACAGTGAGATCTATGAGAATGCTGTAAAAATTATGGAGAAATAGTGGCTTGAAGAGCAAGATGAGGAGACACAGCAACCTCCGGTTCCTTCTAGGCGATTCAACTTCAGGTGAAGGAATGGTAATGGAAGCTTGCAGTTTGAGAATAGTTAAAGGTCAGAGTCAGTAAGAATATTTTCTGATCTTAGAAGTGTTCGGTTTCATTGTCAATGGCTTGTTTATTATTATGTTCATTTGGCGGTTTTTTTGTTTGAATTCATTAAATTTAGGCTCCTTGCATCATTGAGAGGTCTTTTGGACATTGAGAACTGGGAAGCAACATGTGGACTGCAGTTTAAGAATTAGCAAGGATTAGAAGTTCTTGGTGCGTATTTACTCTAGCAGTAAAACTTTATTTGAAATAAACTTAGCAATGAAGTGACATAGGCAGTAAACTGTAATAGATTGTTGTAGATAAAAATTGAAACGTGAGTGAGAAGGATAATTCTGAATATAAAGATCACAGTTTGAGTAAAATAGCAAGGTAATATGATTCTGATTGTCCTTTCTCTGATATTGCTGTGTCATTCTCTTCCTTTTGATTGAATTGGTTGCTAACGTGTGACCTGCATGAGTGTTATAAAAAAAAGAAACATATTAGTTAGTGATTGTTTGAATTCGTAACCATATTGAAATTACTAAGACATAAAGGTAAAGTGAATTTACCTTACCAGAGGATACATAGCAAAGACTGACAATAGTAGTAGCCATTGGAAGAGAAGAAAGGTATGCTAATTATTTGTAAATGATTGTTTGCTATTGTGTTTGGTGATGGAGAATAAGGTTTAGATGTAAAGTATATATAGGGAAGTAAATTAGGTTTAGTTTGTACCTAGGCTAGTCTCGAAATTTTGAAACACACGCAAGATTTGTGGGATACAATCTTTGATATTATTGAGTTTATGGAATATGCTAGGATCAATCTTTTATTTGGTAATTAATATTCCCCTTATATTTCGTTAATTTGACAGATATTTTAGGGCAAAATTACTTGAAGATTAAGGTGGACTGTTTTAAGAGAAGGAGATATCTTGGGAATATTGGCAATCTCGGAAAGCAATTTCGAAACACAAAAATAATTTTGGTGAAGAATATTTTGGTAGTTAAGTTTGAGATATTTTAGGAAGATTACAACTAATATGTCGTTAATGTATAGTAACTAATTTTCTATTTTAATATTTCGTTGGGTTAAGTTTAGATTTGATAGGAATAATTAAGATTATGATGAAGATTATTTTGGTAGTAAAGTTTGGTGTAGAATATTTTGGTAGTTAAGTTTGAGATATTTTAGAAAGATTACAACCAATAAGATTATGTAATTAATATGGTTTTGCGAAATAAATTTTTGAAAAAACGTGGGTGTGATGGGCCAAATGTTGGGCCTCGTCGTTGTGGCAAAAACAAATATTGTTGAACAGAGATTTGAGCCAAATTATTGGGCCAAATTTGTACTATCCGAAATTGAAACCGGGTCACTCGTTTTTAAAAAAAAACCCACCCAACCAATGGCATTCTTTGTAAATACATTCTAACTCCAGGATTTATTTGCTAAAAGTCATCCAAAAATGTATATATATATATAGATGTTTAAAAAAAAAAATTAATCTGTCACATTAGACAGTCGAACGTTGGATGCCGAAAGTAAAAAAACGAACGTTTAGAAACAATTAATGTTTTATTACCGTTATGAATATGTACACAAATTTCCTTTTTGTGATACTAAAACTTAGAAAAAAGGAAATTTTTTTTTTGTGCTATTGAAAAAACAGAAACCTTTTGCTTATATAAACACTCACGCATTCTCTTCTTCTTTAGCATTCTCTTCTTCTTTATTGAGAAATCAAAATTCTCTGTTCATCTATTTCTTTTTCTCCAAGAGAAACGAAAACCAAAATCTGTCCATCTTTCATCTATTTCTTTTTAGTACCATGATCGGCACCGATCATGATCCACGAGACTCGACATTGAAGTAAGCCGTGAGTTCGAGTCCATCATCTCAGTTTCGTGATTCAAGTATCAACCACAGTCTTGACCCAATTGAGATTCCGAGTGACGACGATGACCAACAAAAAGTCTCTGTCTTTGCTTTTGAATCTTCGTTTAGAAGATGATAACAAAGTTGCTGATGGAGTGATAAGACGGATTGTCGCTCTTTGCTCGTAACGGTGCCTATTTTGGTTGAAGCAGTTGATTCAGGGCTAGAGAGAGCTGTGCAAGTGCTGGGAATTTTGGTTAAGTGTGGGCTCACATCTGGTCTTGTCTTCGAATGGGCTTTTTTTTGCCCTTTCTTTGCTACCACTTCAACACGGTACATTATTTTCTTCATTCTTATTTTTGTTTTTATTTTAAAAATTTAAATATTTAAAAATTATTTTAAGTAAAACTAAAACTAATTAATTTAAAATTTTCACTAATAAATTTAAATAAATAAATCTTTTGATTTTTTAAAAAATTAGTTTAAGTGTTAAGTTTTAAAAACGTCGAAAACTAACCGCGCCTAGGCATCCTGTCCTTAATTGGTCCGTAAGCTTTGGTGTTCGAAGTTCCGCATATTTTCACGTTATATAGATTTAACACTTAAACTCATTTTTAAAAAATAATAATTTTTACTAAAATTTAAACAAATTTGACACTTAAACTTAAAAATAATAATTAGTTTTTAACTAAAACTATGTTAATTTCACTTTTATTTTTTAAAAATTAGTTTAAGTGTTAACTTTTAAACACGTCGAAAATAACCGCGCCTAGGCATCCTGTCCTTAACTGGTCCGTAAGCTTTGGTGTTCGAAGTTCGGCATGTTTTCACGTTATATACATTTAACACTTAAACTCATTTTTAAAAAATAATAATGATTTTTTAAAAAATTTAAAACAAATTTAACACTTAAACTTTTAAAAAAGAATTAATATTTTTAAATAAAACCATGTTAATTTAACTATTACTTTTTAAAAATTAGTTTAAGTGTTAAATTTTAAACACGTCAAAAACTAACCGCGCCTAGGCATCCTGTCCTTAGTTGGTCCGTAAGCTTTGGTGTTCGAAGTTCGGCATGTTTTCACGTTATATACATTTAACACTTAAACTCATTTTTTAAAAATAATAATGATTTTGATTAAAATTTAAAACAAATTTAACACTTAAACTTTTAAAAAATAATTCCTTACCAAAAAATAAAAAACTTTTAAAAAATAATTAATATTTTTAAATAAAACCATGTTAATTTAACTATTACTTTTTAAAAATTAGTTTACGTGTTAAATTTTAGAGAAATTGTTAAAAATGCCCCTTTTTCAATACCCCTTTTCAAAAATGCCCCCTTTGAGAGTCCATTTTTAAGTTTGCCCTCTTTTAATTTTTAATGACCATTTTACCTTTATTTGAAACAAAATTAGGTCCACAAAATTTAAAATATTTTTTGGCGGGAAAAGTGATCCCGCAAATTTTTAGCGGAAAACGTGATCCCGTAATTTTCCTGCCAAAATTTTTTTTCGGGAAAAGTGATTCCGCAATTCTTTTGGCGAAATTGTTTTTGCGGGAAAAATTTACAAGGTATTTTAAAGGTTTTACAGAGTATTTACAAGTGTTTTTTAAGATTTTACAATGTATTTTAAAAGGTTTTACAAGGTACTTATAAGGTTTTATAAGGTATTTATAACTTGTAAAATCTTATATAAAACTTGTAAAACCTTATAACTTGTAAAACCTTATAAAATGGCTTGTAAAATATTATAATATCTTATAAATACCTTATAAAAATGTTGTAAAACCTTTTAAAATACATTGTAAAACCTTATAAATACCCTATAAAAAACCTTTAAAATACCTTGTAAATTTTTCCCGCCAAAAATTTAACGCCAAAAAAATTGCGGAATCACTTTACGGAAAAATTTTACAAGGTATTTTAAAGGTTTTACAAAATCAAATTTGTAATTTTGATGTGTGCACATTCTCATGTTTTCCTTATATATTTATGATATCTTTTATTAAAAGAAAGGTAATTTAGTCATTTTGTACATAAAAAAGGGTATTTTTAAAAATGGACAGCCAAATGGAGCATTTTTGAAAAGAGGTATTGAAAAAGGGGCATTTTTGTGAGTCTCCCATAAATTTAACACGTTAAAATTTAAAAAGTAATTAATGTTTTTAACTAAAACCATGTTAATTTCACTATATCTTTTTAAAAATTAGTTTAAGTGTTAAATTTTAAACACTTCGAAACTAACCGCGCCTAGGTATCCTGTCTTTAGTTGGTCCGTAAGATTTAAATATAAATTTTTTTTAGTGTTAAAATTTTAAACATGTCAGAACTAACCGAAAGCTCAAATAACACTTACAAAAAAAAAAATATCAAGAACGAAAAAACTAAAAATTCAATAGCATTGGAAAAATATCAAACACGTTAGTCGAAACACGAAATACAAAAAACAAAAAAAAAAAGGCATTTTGGCAAAAACTTAAATAACACATTAGGGACGAAAAAAATCAAAAGCAATGGAAAAAAGCAAACGTCGAAACAAGAAAACATTCAAAAGCTAAAAATAAAAATATAATCTATAAAGTTTAAATGCAAAAGAAAAAAAGGACAAAGACGCGGAAACCAATTTGTGAAATGCTTTTTAAACCACTTAAAAACAAAAAAAACTTTTATAAGGGCAATTTTAAACCGTAAACACTACAAAACGTTTACTCAATGACCATTCGAAACAAAAAAATTGGAATTGTCAAAAGTGAAAAACGCTAATCTATATATAACAAAATATTTTATTTTTTCTTTCAAAAACTATCATTTCAACCAATTATAAAAAAGACTACAAAAATATAATAGCCAGAAAGGATCAAATACATTATATAAAAAAGAGGAAGTACCGAAGTAGTAAAGAAAATTAAGTCTTAAATATAAAGAAAAAAATGTTAACTTTTAAACGCGAAATCCAAACTTTGAAATTAAAATGTGAATTTTTAAGCCGCTAAAAACTTACAAAAAAAAAATAACTTGGATTTAAACCGAATGCTAAAATGTGAACTTTTAAATAGCAAAAACGAATGCTAAACACCAGAAAACGTTTACACGAAGACATTTCAAACAATACAGGCTTTCGTAGCAGGGCTTTTTCTCTGACCCATTAACTTGGGCCTTGAGCCCTGAGAAGAGAATTAAAACCTACGCGCCTAAAATGGCTGAAACAAGGCGCGAAACTCTTCTGCTGAAGAGCCCTAGCTAGAAGATTCCATCTCTCTCATCCTCAACCTCGCGATTCGTTATCCGAACCCTAGCTATACGATTCGTTATTCGCATCAGGTTTGATTCCTTTGTCTTTGTCTCTTTGATTTTTATTCTCGGAAACATTTCCTAATTTCTCTGCTTAATCGTCGCTTACACGTTCGACATTTGGTTTCTAGTAATGGAAGAAATTGGGAGAATTGAAGGAGCTAAAGCAGTCATAAATCTCAAACCTGGTTCTTCAGTACCAATTTCGTATCACCCATGTTTTGGACCTCATGAGGATCTACTTCTTCTTGAAGCTGATGACAAACTCGTCTCTGACATCTTTCATGAAAGGTACGATTTTGAAGCTTGGGTTTGTTTTATTTTTGTTTAGGATTACTTAATTTAGTATCCATTTGCTTTAGGGTGACATTGAGAGGACTTCCTGATGAAGATGCTGTTCTTTGCACCAAGTCTAAGACTTATGCTATCAAATTTGTTGGTAATTCTAATTCCATGTTCCTTATTCCTCCTTCCATTTGTCCTGGAGATGCGCAAGTTTCTGATACCAACAGCAACGATAACCCGCTTGTATCGGTTCTCAAACTTGCTCCTGGTAATATGGAACTTGTGGAGGTTTCTCCTAGGCTTGATAAACTTAAGCAGATTCTCTTGGCAAATCCTTTTGGTGCTGGTGAAGTTGAAGCTATGATGGATGATGATGATGATTTAGACCATAATGGGAAGAGGGATCTTGCGTTGTATACATGGACCGATTTGGTTAACACGGTACAAGCGAGTGATGAGGAGTTACGCAATGGCTTGCAGAGTCTTTCTGCTATCGAGATTGATGGTTACTGGAGGGTTATAGATGAGAATTACCTAGACGTGATTCTGAGAATGCTCCTTCATAACTGTGTATTGAAAGATTGGTCGTTTGATGATCTTGATGAAGATGAAGTTGTGGATGCGTTAGTAGCTGATGAGTTTCCTAGTCAACTAGCGGGTCACTGCTTGCGCGTGTTTGGCTCTAAAGTTAACGAAACTGATAAGTGGAAGTTGGAACCGAGGCTTGTATGTTTGCATTTTGCTAGACAGATACTGAGAGAAGAAAAGATGAGACTTGAGAGTTTCATGGAAGAGTGGAAGAAGAAGATTCCAGATGGGATGGAAGAAAGATTTGAGATGCTTGAAGGAGAGGTTTTAACAGAGAAAATCGGGATCGAAACACGGGTTTATACATTCAGTGTACGCTCTCTGCCTTCAACTCCAGCAGAACGGTTTTCAGTACTCTTTAAACATAGATCAAAATGGGAATGGAAAGACTTAGAGCCATACCTAAGGTAAGTGAACAAATCTTGTGTTGAAAGATTCCATCAGAAGATGTGTTTTTCGAGTTATGAATTGATTTGGGTTTTCTTGGTGTTATTTGCAGGGATCTTCATGTTCCTAGACTTTCCATGGAAGGTTTGCTTCTGAAATACACACGCAGAGCACAACCTAAAGCTGATGCACCACCTGTCTTTAGTGCAAGATAAGATAGCTTCTCTATTTCTAAACCGTTTGGCTTCTTTGTTTTGTGTTATTTGTTGATGTTAGAAGTGAAATTACAGGTCACAGATCATCCAGTTTCTTACCTAATTGTTTAAAGCTATATTTATTGGCTGGGCCCAAAATTGAAGAGATTAGGCCCTGGATCTGGTTGTCTTTTTAGGCCTTGTCTTTGTCATGTCTCGTAAAGAACTAAATAAATAAATAAAACATGTTACTTGTTTTGTGCATAGCAAGAGACTTTGGTTTTGTTACTTGTTTGAATGTAGTAGTTGAAAAATGGACTACGTTAACTTTGTTTTTGCTGTTCTTGGGGAGGTATTGTTGCCCTTGCACCAACTCTTGTTCTCTTAACCAAAGAGCTTTACAAATTAATAAACTAATTTAATTTTTTACTAACCCCAAAAGTCCAAACAAAGCTTAACCTTAAATTTTTCCATTTTAGTATTCTTTAATCCTAGCACAAATGTGGTATCGAGAATTCGAATCTAGACCAGAGTAGTGGTTAAATCATGACCGTCGATTTCATCAAGAGAAACCTTATATAACAAACAGCTTCGTTAGCTGTTGTGCCATAATCTCGTCCCATCCCCATAATAGCTTATAAATTTTCTCGAGAATGTTTATTGAATCAGTGATTAGATTCTCTGAATTCATTGCCGAATCCGTCATCATCGTCTCCGTCGTCGTCTTCTCTCTCCGTCTCTTCTTTAGATTCGCTTGTTTCCTCGCCAGCCGACCTTGGCGTCGTTACCGTACATTCACGGTCCATCATCGCCGGAGATGGAGAAAAACCACGGCGGAGGAAAAACATTCATCACCGTACTGTACGATTTGTCTCGAATATGCAACGGAAGGAGAAAAGATGAGGAGGATATCGGCGTGCAATCACTGTTTCCACGCTGATTGTATCGATCCGTGGTTTGAGAAGAAGTCTACGTGTCCTTTGTGTAGAGCTGAGATACCTCCGGTGCCGCCGGGAAATCCTCTGGTGGCGCTTTTTGTGCCACCCTGCGTGATTGAGATGTTCACCAAAGGAATCATCTCCGACGCGTAGGACTTTAGCCTTCTCTATCGTCATCACAAACAATAAGACAAAATATTTGTCGGTTGAATATTTTTCTTATCAAATAATATTTACTATATAATTCGTCGAATGATAAAGAATTTATACAACATGAAATTTAGATAAAACTCCAATATATATGTTGGTGACCAGAAAAAGAAGAACCTCCACCATCTTATGCATTAGAGTCTAGAGAGTCGTCTAGAGAGTCATAGGGTCTGATTGGTGAAAACTATAGAAGAAATGAGTAGAATTTTAAAGAATTTTAAAGAGAGAACAAAAGAAAACGTTACTTTAGCTATTTTGTAGAGGGATAAAATCTTCTACTTTACTCTGTTTTTTCACTTTTCAGTAGAAAAGTAATTCTTTTTATTTTTTCCTGACTGGTGAAAACACAGATGAATTCAGAAGAATAAAATTTATACACTTTTCTTTTCTTCTAAAAACACCTACCAGTCACACCCATATATATTCGACATTCATTACCTAGCTCATCCACAAAATTTCTTAATCGCTAGGCCCACCCTCTCCGCTTCGATTAATGACTAATCCCCTAAAAAATCAGTAACCCGATTATTCTCCGCCTAATCCGATTACTTCCCGCCTAATCCGATTATTTCCCGCCTAATCTTACATACTCCGATTATTTTTTAGATTGCAAGTATAAAAAAAACATTTTATTTTTGTTATTCAATCATTTGAATTGGGAGTTTGTGATGTTTTACATAACTTGTGTTCAAATTTTAATAAAAATCATAAAAATTTGTTTTTATTGTAATTTTGAAAACAATATTGGATTAATATATTTTAAACATATTAAAATAACCCTAAAACTAATTCCCGATTAATCCCCGATTTTAATCCGATTTTCCGATTAATCGCTAGGCCCATGCCGAGCGCCCGACTAGCGCCTAGCGATTTTTCAAACAATGGTCACACCCATATATATTCGACATTCATTACCTAGCTCATCCACAAAATTTCTTCACCATAAGAAAATGACAGTATTAATTAGTGTTTATATAATTTGTTTTTTTTTTTAAAGTACAAGTACACTCCTAGCTAGGGTTTGTTTTTTCCACCACTTTAAAAAATTTCTTACCCACTCTAACCCACCACCCAATAAAGTTGCTATTTTGTCTCCAACAAGTGGTGTTAGTCTATCAAATGATGGATGGTTTTACCAAACTAATAAAACAGAAGGAAAAAAAAAAAAAAAACAAGATCGACAGAATAGTTTATGACTAAAGTAAGTTAACGGCCAAAGAATCCGATCCGTCAAAAGTATTAAAAAGTATTGCCACTACGTGTGGCGGAAGAAAAGAGTGATAAAACTATAATAGTGAGAAAAGAGTTATAACTATAGGGGTTATTCCAGCAGAACGGTTTTCATTACTCTTTAAACATATGCATAGACCAAAATGGGAATGGAAAGACTTACCTTTAGCCTATACCTAAGGGGTTATTCCAGCAGAACGGTTTTCATTACTCTTTACCTTTAGCCTTACCTAAGGTAATTGAACAAATCTTGTGTTGAAACTTGAAAGATTTCATCAGAAGATGGTTTTTTTTTAATATATATATTTATTTATGAATTGATTTGGATTTTAATATTATTTGCAGGGATCTTCATGTTCCTAGACTTTCTATGGAAGATCACACGCAGAGCACAACCTAAAGCTGATGCACCACCTTTTCTTTAGTGCAAGATAAGATAGTTTCTCTATTTCTAAACCTTTGTTAAATTTGTGTTTGTGTTAGTTGATCGATTTTAGAAGTTGTAGATGTTATAGTTTATGAAATTACATGTCACACAGATCAGATCATCCAATTTCCTACCTATTTGTTTTTGTTTTGGTCGGCACTTTCCTATATTTATTGGCTGGGGCCAAAATTGAAGAGACTTGGCCCTGTATCTGGTTGTCATTTTAGGCCTAGTATTTGTCATGTCTCGTAATTATACTGTACAACGTTATATAAATGGAAAACATGTTATTTGTTTTGTCCAGAGCAAGATCGAGACAGAGAGACTTTGTGGTTTTGTTACTTTGTTTGAATGTAGTCGTAGAAAAATGGACTACGTTAACTCTATTTGTTTTATTTTGTTCTTAGGGAGAGATTGTTGAACCAACTCTTAATTACAAACGACCTTCACAAATTATTAAACTAACTTAATTTTGACTAACCCCAAAAATTCAAACATAAAAGCCAATCTCAATTTGTCTCTCTATTTTAACATTGTTTAATACTAGAAGTCTAGTAGTCTAGAGAATTTGAATGTAGACCAATAGTGGAAATGGGAATGATCAAAATTGACGGTTAAAGTCGAAGTTGGAATAGTTATTAGTACGTTCTTCGAAACTACTCTACTAACAAGCTATATAAGATCCTCACCGTTCAATTAATCCAAATAATACCACGTGATTAAATAAAGACAGTCGATTTCATCAAGATAAACCTTATATATATAGACAATACACAGAACAGAGCATCGTTACTTGTGCCATAATCTCCAAACATTTTCTCGAGTTATTAATTGTCTCGAGAATGTTTGTTGAATCAGTGATTAGATTCTCTCATTTCATCGTCGAATTTGTCATTATCGCCTCCATCGTCGTCTTCACTCTCCGTCTCTTCTTTAGATTCGCTTGTTTCCTCGCCAGCCGTCCTTGGCGTCGTTACCGTACATTCACGGTCCATCATCGCCGGAGATGGAGAAAAACCACGGCGGAGGAAAAACATTCGTCACCGTATTGTACGATATGTCTCGAAGATGCGGCGGAAGGAGAGAAGATGAGGCGGATAACGACGTGCAATCACTGTTTCCACGCCGATTGCATCGATCCGTGGCTAGAGAAGAAGTCCACGTGTCCTTTGTGTAGAGCTGAGATACCGCCGGTGCCGCCGGGAAATCCTCTGGTGGCGCTTTTTGTTCCTCCCGGCGTGATTGAGATGTTCACTAAAGGAATTATCTCCGACGCGTAGGACACACACATTTAATTATAACTAATTAATTAAGACTAAGAAACGAGTTTATTAATTTCTTAGAATTTATGTCCATTTTTTTAATCTTGTAACAGTAATCAATGTATTTATTCTTTTTTTTGTCAAACTAATCAACGTATTCATTCATTTCATTGTTCTTGTCACTCTCAGAGAATAAATAATTGACTGTATAATTCGCCAAATGATGAAAACATGAAATTCGGATTAAAGTCCGATATGTTGGTGACCAAAAATATACAAACACACCATGTTATGAATTAGAGAATCATATACATTCGACATTACCTCATCCACAAAAATTCTTCATTAACTTTAGAAAATGTCTTACCTACTATATCTAATCCACCACCCAATAAAGTTGCTCTTTGTCTCCAACAAGTGGTTTTGGTCTATCAAATGATGGTTTTACGAATAAAACAAAACAAAGAAGTAGATATGTTTTCTTGGTTAACTACTTAATTTAATTGCAAAACCCCTTTAGAAGCAATATCGACAGAATAATTTATGACTAAAGTTAACGGCCAAAGAATCCGCCAAAATATTGGCATTACGTGTGATGAAAGAAAAAAACAACTAGAAAAATAAGGAAAACAAATTCTGATATCATAAAAAGGATATCACCAATATCCTTGATCTGGAAAAAAAAAAAAAACATCACCAATATCCTCCATAGAGCAGAGTAGTGATTACCACATCTAAGTCATACTCTACGTGAATGAAACGATACTTTTTGCTAGATACATAGTTTTTTTTTTTTTTTTTTTCTTTTGGCTAGATACATACTTGTTAAATAGTTTTTGGTGTATTCCATATTGGGTTTTGGTATTTACAATTATACGAAATATAGATATATGGACAAACCATGATGGGCTCATTCAAGATGAGTTCGATCCATTTGAGAAGGTTTTCTCTTGGAACGTGAATTAAGTAACACATAATTTTGAGTCTAGCTTTCTCGTGTTAAAGTATGAATATTTTTGGGATCTGTTTACACTGGGATTATCTTTACTTTTTTAATTCATTATGAAATTGAAAGGGAATATACGTTTCCACACTCAATTTTTTTTCATCTGAGGCAATAAGTAATTAAAGATCCAACAATATAGTTAGATTGGAAATTAAATAAAAATTATTTTTTGTCAACGATATACATGGGTTTGACAAACCACACTAAACTACATGTTACAACTAATTAGATAAAGTTCTAAGCTATTCTTGTTAATCAGTTTCTTTGCCATAAAATAAGAGGAAAAAAATCAGATTTTTCTTTCAAATATGTTGCCTATTCCATGAAGATTGAGTACATTGATCTTCAGAGTAACCTATTAATTATTTAGAATCAGAAAAATATATTTCCTCTCATGGATCACGATATTTTCTGGTGCCGCTCATTGATTATTAGATAGATACATCCTCTATAGTCTATATAGTGAAAATAGGATCACGATTTTTTTCTGATACCGCTCATTGATTATATGCATTGTCTATATAGTAAAAAAGGGATCACGTATCAATCATATAGATACGTTTGTATAAGGAAGTATATATATCGATTATATATGTAGATACGAATATATGCTATATATATACAATATATGCTAACAAAAGATTACAACAATGTCTTGTGTATCATCACAATGCTTAATCACAATCAAAAGCATTTGCATTGTGTTACTATTATTATTATCGATTACTCGTGGAGCAATTTCTGCAAATTCAAATTATGGAGAAGCTCTCACGAAAAGTCTTTTGTATTTTGAAGCTCAACGCTCTGGAAAATTGCCATCGAACCAAAGAGTTACTTGGAGAGGAGATTCTGCACTCAGAGATGGTTCTGATGCTCATGTAATTTTAATATCTAATCCTTTTTATTCCATTTTTCTCCTTCTGTAATGAATATTTAGTACTTGAAGTAAAATGTTTGCTAATTGTAAAAATAGATTGATCTCACTGGAGGGTATTACGATGCCGGAGATAATATGAAGTTTGGATTTCCTTTGGCGTTCACGACAACAATGCTAGCTTGGAGTAGTGTAGAGATGGAATCACAGCTTAAGGCCCACCATGAGCACGAAAACACCCTCGCGGCTCTCAGGTGGGCCACTGATTATCTCATTAAAGCCCATCCTGAGCCCAATGTCCTGTACGGACAAGTGGGTGATGGCAACTTGGATCATGCCTGCTGGATGAGACCCGAGGATATGACTACTCCGCGCCCTTCATACCGCATTGATGCTCAGCATCCTGGTGCTGATCTCGCGGGTGAGACAGCAGCAGCGATGGCTGCAGCTTCTTTGGCCTTTGCGCCATCTGATGCAGCCTACGCCAAAACACTTATTGGTCATGCAAAAGATCTATTTGAATTCGCTAAGGAATACCCTGGGGTCTATCATTACTCCATTCCTAACGCGGGTGGCTTTTACCCTAGTAGTGGTTACGAAGATGAGTTATTGTGGGCCGCTGCTTGGCTTCACCGTGCCACTGGAGACCAGACATATCTTGATTATCTAACAGAAGCTTCTAATAAGGGAGGTGCGAGGTTCGTTTTCGCGTGGGACGATAAGTTCTTGGGAGCACAAGTCTTGGTAGCTAAGGTAGGTTATGTGAATTTCCTAAAATAGACTATGCCCTTACTTACACGACACTTCACTCACTCTTTTGCAAATGTTAGCTTGTTTTTGAAGGAAAAGTGAAGAACGAAGGGAAGATGATAGAGTACAAGAGTATGGCAGAGCAATTCATCTGCAACTGTGCTCAAAAGGGTTTCAACAACGTTAAAAAGACTCCAGGAGGTTTGCTCTGGTTTTTGTCCTGGGACAACCTCCAATACACAGCCACCGCTTCTTTCGCCTTAGCCACTTATGCGAAATACCTCGAAGCTGCACAAACATCGATTCAATGCCCCAATGGTGGTGTCCTTCAAGCTTATGATCTTCTTAAACTAGCTCGGGCCCAGGTTAGGCTGGCATTTGTTTTTTTTCGCCTTTTTAAATTAAATTAAGTTTTGCATTCGTTTTCTACTTAATTCTCAATAACATATACAAAGAATGGAGACACCACCTATAAGTGTTCGTAATGACCACCTATAACTAGTATCTTCATAGCTATTAGGATTTTTTTGTGCTGATTCATGGTTTATGACTTTAAGCGATTTAACATAACAGATTTCTTTTACATGGTCTATGTAACAGGTAGACTACATACTTGGGTCAAACCCCAAGAACATGAGCTACATGGTTGGATACGGGACCAATTATCCTAAAAGACCACACCATAGAGGAGCCTCTATAGTGTCAATCAAGAATGATCCTAAACCGGTGACATGCAATGGAGGGTTTGAAGCTTGGTACAACAACCCTAAACCGAATCCTAATGTTTTGGTTGGAGCAATTGTAGGTGGACCGGACGAGTACGATGCTTACGGAGATGAACGGTCTGATTTTCAGCACGACGAGCCCGATACCGTCACGGTTGCTCCTTTGGTTGGTGTTCTGGCTGCCATTGCATGACCTTAATTATTATCTCTCTTTGTTTCTAGCTAATGTTATTTTCTTTGGACTACATTTCCCTAAGACGCTCTAGCGACTAACGTTTTAGGTCTAAGGGTAGAGAAACAAAAATTTGATTGTTAAAATAACTTGATTTAGTGAGACATTTTGAAGACTTAGGTTTTTACTCTGTTTCGAAGCTCTCTGTTTTGAGATTAATTAAGTGATTTCAGTTCGGCTAAGGTCTGGTTAAGTCTAGTTTGGTTTAAAATTTATAGCATTGGTGTTCTTAAGAAAGTTGTTAAATTGTCTTCAATTAATTTGATCGCCATAAGGAAATAATAGAAAAAATAATCAAAGAAATCTAAATTTTATTGTATAGTAAAGATACTATGATTCAATAAGAAAATCAATAAATGATTACTAAAATTTATGGAAAACAAAAATAAAATAAACATCTTCTACATCGTATCCAAAAGATATTGTACATTTTACTAGATTTGAACCCGCGGTACACCGCGGGGCTATAATTTTTTTTTTAAAAATCTAAATATAATTAGTTTTGTTTATTAATAGAGAGTATAATATAATATTTCGACCTATTTTATAAATGTATCATCCATATATCTATATTAATAGTTTTGAGTATATTAATTGTGTTTTAGGTTTAAATGGTATATCTATATATACACTTAAACGACATTTGGCTTTCTTCTTCTTCTTGCCTCAGTTTAGGAGAAAGATTTTTCTTGCGGTACACCGCGGAGTTATTATTTAAAAAAAAGATTTTTCTTCCTTAAATTTCCAAATCTAGATTTTACCCCGCGGTACACCGCGGGTCGATTTTTTTATAACTAAAAAATTATTTTGCAAAATTTTAAGTTGTATTTGTTTTGTTAATATTGTTTATTTTGTTTAGTGTTTCTGATTTTATAATTAAATTTTGATTTTTAATTCTAGGATTTCATCCATAGTATATTGTTTAATATTAATATTGATCTAAACCCGTTGCACCATATAACACCGTCCCGTAAAATTAAACATCATTTGTTATTTTTTTTTAATAATATTTTTATCCACTACGGGTCGCAGGTTCATGCGGATAAGCCCGTAGAGAGTTGCGGATTTGCGGGTCGACCCGCCAAAAGGGAAGCTATCTTTTGAAACCCTTTGTTTTGTTTAGAGGTTTTAAGAAAATATCCTAAAAAATAATTTTCATTATATGAAAAAAAAAGAAGTAGAAGAAATTGTAGTATCAACATTCCCGATTTTTACACCACTCGTTACAATTAATTTTTTTTTTTGCAGATAAAAATCAGAAGTTAACTAAGTCGAGATTTTTAAAAAGATTGTGTAGAGATTTTTGGTAAATTGTTGAGAACATATTTGATTTCAAAATCTTTACTTAAATAGATAAGGAAAGATTTTGTAGAGACTTTTGCTAAATATATGAGAAATAAATTTCAATTAAAAATCTTTACTTAAATAAAACAAATCTAAATAATTAATGCTAATGGCATGTCATTGTAAATACATCTCAACTTCAGGATTTATTTGCTAATTGTGATCCAAAAATGTATATATAGATACCAAAAACTGTAAATTCTACATTAATACTATGGATAGTAAGAAACTTAAAAAAAATAAGATAAGATTAATTTTAGATATATGTAGATGTGTATATACATAAGAAAAATAGAAGGAGAATATTTTAAGAAGATAGCGTAACTAATTTTAGTTCGCAATCTTATGGTTTTATCTATATCTTTTAGAATTATTTAGAAGGTGTCTACTATGATGAGATTTAGGCTACAACAATTTTAGCTAACACAATTTTGAGTAAGAAATACGAATGTTAATGATCCTTAATTAGCCATGGATTCCATCTTTTTTTTTTTTTTTTTTGGGCAAAGGATTCCATCTTTTAGATTCTCTATAAATAGTTGGCTACATACATATATACATAGACATGCCAAACACAAGAAAAAGTAAACTCAATTGTACAATTGCTCTTGAGATCGTCTAAAGATTAATTGAAAAAACGATGTCTCAATTGAAAAATGGATCTTCACAATGCTTATGGACAAGTATTTGCATTGTGTTAATAGTAATGTCGACGGCTCGTGGAGCTGTCTCTACAAATTATGGAGAAGCTCTCACAAAGAGTCTTTTGTATTTCGAAGCTCAACGTTCTGGAAAATTGCCTTCGAACCAAAGAGTTACTTGGAGAGGAGATTCTGCTCTTAGAGATGGTTCTGATGCTCATGTAATTTAAAACTCAAATCCTTTTTTTTGTTATGTATGTTTATCAAATTCCAATAAAATATTTGCTAACGTATCTTTAAAAATGAATAGGTTGATCTCACCGGAGGGTACTATGATGCTGGAGACAACATGAAGTTTGGATTTCCGTTGGCGTTCATGACAACAATGCTAGCTTGGAGCAATATAGAGATGGCATCACAGCTTAAGGCCCATCAGGAGCAGGAAAACGCCCTTGCGGCTCTCAAGTGGGCCACCGATTTTCTCATTAAAGCCCATCCTGAGCCCAATGTCTTGTACGGACAAGTGGGTGACGGAAACTCGGACCACGGATGCTGGATGAGACCTGAGGATATGACCACTCCACGTCCTTCATTTCGCATTGATGCCCAACATCCAGGTTCAGACCTAGCAGGTGAGACAGCTGCAGCAATGGCTGCAGCGTCTATTGCCTTTGCACCATCTGATGAAGCCTATGCCAAAATACTTATTGGTCATGCGAAAGATTTATTTGAATTCGCTAAGGCGTACCCTGGCATTTACCAAAACTCCATTACTAACGCCGGTGGCTTCTACGCGAGCAGTGGATACGAAGATGAGTTGTTGTGGGCTGCAGCTTGGCTCCACCGTGCCACCAACGACCAGATTTATCTTGATTATCTAACACAGGCATCTGGTACAGGAGGTCCAAGGACTGTTTTTGCCTGGGATGATAAGTTTGTGGGTGCACAAGTATTGGTCGCCAAGGTAGGTTATGACTATTTCACTACAGAAACATATCACTAACTTATGTGACAAGAAACAAACATAACACAAAGTTTTGCAAATGCAGCTTGCACTTGAAGGGAAAGTAGAGAGCAATGGAAAGATCGCAGAGTACAAGAGTATGGCGGAGCAGTTTATCTGCAACTGTGCTCAAAAAGGTTCCAACAACGTTAAGAAAACCCCTGGCGGTTTGCTCTACTTCTTGCCGTGGAACAACCTCCAATACACCGCAGCCGCTTCTTTCGTCCTCTCTGCATATTCTAAATATCTTGAAGACGCAAAAGCCTCCATCCAATGTCCCAATGGTGCTCTTCAAGCTTCTGATCTTCTCGACCTCACTCGTTCCCAGGTAGTTAACTAACCCTAATATAGTACATACCATAAGACATGTTCTGATGTTCATACAATATTAATATGTGATTTCTACAACATGTTATATAGGTAGACTATATACTTGGGTCGAACCCCCAGAACATGAGCTACATGGTTGGAGTTGGGACCAATTATCCCAAAAAACCACACCATAGAGCAGCCTCTATAGTATCGATCACCAAGGACAAAACACCAGTGACGTGTAGTGAAGGATTCGATGCATGGTTTAACAATCCTGCACCAAACCCTAACGTTTTAATGGGAGCAGTTGTCGGAGGACCCAACGATAACGATGTTTATGGAGATGAGAGGACTGATTACCAGCATGCTGAGCCTGCGCCGGCCACTGCTGCTCCATTTGTTGGTGTCTTGGCGGCCGTTGCTTAATCTTTCTCTTTGTTTTGCAAATTTAAGTATATTGCTTTAGACCTTGTTATCTTATATAAGTCCTAGGCTGTTCTTTAATCTAGGTGTAAGGTCTAAATGTAATTTGGCTTGAAAATAAAATATATTTGATAGTTAAAACCAATATTTCATGAATAATTAATCTGAAACTGAAACTATTTTCTATATATTAGATCATATATTGACCAAGATGTCCAATATTGACCGATTTGATTTTGGGCGTGACAAACACCGAACCATTATAATTTGGACGGGTCTATCCTATGGTCATCAGGTCCACTTGACATCCCTATCTAGAGGTGTGATTTTTCTTATCACTATTTTCAACTAAAATTGTAAATAAAGTCTCTTAAAATCCTTTCCAAAGCTCTTTCTTAACAAATTTATGAAATTTTGAATAACGATGGATTTCATATGACTTTTATAAATGATTAATTGAATAACAAGAAATTGTAAATGTTTTGAATGATTTTACATAAGTTTCATGTTCAATAAACTAGGATTTGGAAAGACATTTAGAACTTAATAGTTGAATAACATGAGATTTTAAAGAAAAACCAAAGACATCTAAAATTCTTAATTCTTAGTTGAATACAACATATTTAGCTAATTTTTTTTTGAGTAAGTCCTTAAGTAGCCATGGACTCCATCTTATATAGATTATAAATAGTTGAATACATAGACATGCCAAACACAAGAAAAAATAAAATCAATTGTACAACTGGTCTTGAGATCGTCTAAAGATTAATTGAAAAAACGATGTCTCAATTGAAAAATGGATCTTCACAATACTTATGGACAAGTATTTGCATGGTGTTACTAGTAATGTCGATGGCTCGTGAAGCTGTCTCTACAAATTATGGAGAAGCTCTCAGAAACAGTCTTTTGTATTTCGAAGCTCAACGTTCTGGAAAATTGCCTTCGAACCAAAGAGTTACTTGGAGAGGAGATTCTGCTCTTAGAGACGGTTCTGATGCTCATGTAATATAAAACACAAATCCTTTTTTTTTTTTTTTTTGTAATGTATGTTTATCAAGTTCAACTAAAATATTTGCTATTTGTAAAAATGTATAGATCGATCTCACCGGTGGGTACTATGATGCCGGAGACAACATGAAGTTTGGATTTCCGTTGGCGTTCACGACAACAATGCTAGCTTGGAGCAATATAGAGATGGCATCACAGCTTAGGGCCCACCACGAGAAGGGAAACTCTCTCAGGGCTCTCAAGTGGGCCACCGATTTTCTCATTAAAGCCCATCCTGAGCCCAATGTTCTGTACGGACAAGTGGGTGAGGGAAACTCGGACCACAAATGCTGGATGAGACCTGAGGATATGACCACTCCGCGTACTTCATTTCGCATCGATGCTCAACATCCAGGTTCTGACCTAGCAGGTGAGACAGCTGCAGCAATGGCTGCAGCGTCTATCGCCTTTGCACCATCTGATAAAGCCTATGCCCAAATACTCATTGGTCATGCAAAAGATTTATTTGCATTCGCTAAGGCTCACCGTGGCGTTTACCAAAACTCCATTCCTAACGCGGGTGGCTTCTACGCGAGCAGTGGATACGAAGATGAGTTGCTGTGGGCTGCAGCTTGGCTCCACCGTGCCACCAACGACCAGATTTATCTTGATTACCTAACACAAGCAGAAACAGGAGGTCCAAGGACTGTTTTTGCCTGGGATGATAAGTTCGTGGGTGCACAAGTCTTGGTCGCCAAGGTAGGTTATGACTATTTCACTAAAGAAACATATCACTAACTTATTTGACAAGAAACAAACATAATACAAAATTTTGCAAATGCAGCTTGCACTTGAAGGGAAAGTAGAGAGCAGTGAAGAGATCGTAGAGTACAAGAGTATGGCGGAGCAGTTTATCTGCAACTGTGCTCAAAAAGGTGACAACAACGTTAAGAAAACCCCTGGCGGTTTGCTCTACTTCTTGCCGTGGAACAACCTCCAATACACCACAGCCGCTACTTTCGTCCTCTCAGCATATTCTAAATATCTTGAAGCCGCAAAAGCCTCCATCAACTGCCCCAATGGTGCTCTTCAAGCTTCTGATCTTCTCCACCTCGCTCGTTCCCAGGTAGTTAATAAAACCTAATATAGTATCAACCATAAGACATGTTCTTGAAAAGATATCAAGACTTTTCAATATAATATTTACTAATTTGCGATTTCGTCATGTTATATAGGTAGACTATATACTTGGGTCGAACCCCAAGAACATGAGCTACATGGTTGGAGTTGGGACCAATTATCCCAAAAAACCACACCATAGAGCAGCCTCCATAGTATCAATACACAAGGACAAAACACCAGTGACTTGTAGTGGAGGGTTCAATGCATGGTATAACAATCCTGCACCAAACCCTAACGTTTTAGCGGGAGCAGTTGTCGGAGGACCCGACGATAACGATGTTTATGGAGATGAGAGGACTAATTTCCAGCAAGCTGAGCCTGCGACGGTCACTGCTGCTCCGCTTGTTGGTGTCTTGGCCCTCGTTGCTTAATTTTGTCTCTCCTTGTTTTGCAAATTTGAGTATATTGCTTTAGACCTTGTTTTCTTATATAAGTCCTAGGCTGTTCATTGATCTAGGTCTAAATGTAATTTGGCTTGAAAATATAATATAATTGATAGTTAAAAGTTAAAAACCAATATATTTCAGAAATAATTGATCTTGAACTGGAAACTATTTTCTACATGATTGGATCATAATTGACCAAGAAAAATGTATTCTTAAAAAGTTTGAAAACGTGGTTCCATTAATCTTCTTCTCTACAAAAGTGTTCCGTTCTTAACAATCACACTCAAGTCTAACATTTTTACAGCAGAAAAGAATTTGTACATCATCAGAAATTCATACTACTGACTACTGAGAAGCAATAAGTCCATTCTTTACCCTTTTCCATCACTCAATCAATCCCCAACGTCGAAAATGGCTCAATGGCTCCCTAAGAATATATATAGAAAAAAACTTTATTAGACCCAAAATTTCTCTTAAAAAAAAAATTGCACTTGAAGCAGTGTTTATGTTTACTCACAGAGCAATCATCATGAACACGCCATATGGTCTCCCCAAGAAGGTTTGCTACTGAGAGTACTGTAAGCTGAGGAAAATAGTTTTGCTCTGACAATGGAATCGTGTTGGTTATGATCACCTCTTGAAACAGTCCGCTCGATAGTCTACTGATTGCAGGAGGGCTGTTTCCGAATAATAGACACAGCAAATGCATTTGATAAGCTTCGTTCTCTGTTTATGATTTCAACACAGAAAATATTTCATGGACTTACCTAAAAACAGCATGAGTGGTACAAGCGTATACTTCTCTTGCTCCTTCTTGGTGTAACAGAGCCGCACCTTTGCTTATGGTTCCTGATATGATATAACTAACGTTAGTATCTAAGCATAATGGAGAGTGTTTAAAGATTTTATGCAGCACGTGACTTATTTACTCACCCGCTGTGTCAATCATGTCATCCACCATTATGGCTACTTTCCCCTTAACATCCCCGATTAAGTTCATCACCTACATGAAACAGGTTGTTAAATTTCAACTCTTGGTTAAAATGTATCTGCCAATGGGTTTTTACCTCTGCAACATTGTGCCCATGTCGTCTTTTATCAACTATTGCTAAAGGTGCATCAGATAACTTCTTGGCAAAAGCACGAGCTCTTGCAACGCCACCAACATCAGGTGAAACTACCACCAAATCTTCAGAGGATATGGCCTTACTTGCTAGGTAATCAAGTATGACAGGCTGTTCATGAATATTAAGCACAAGGAAAAGGAGACATAAGAAAATCGATTTTCACAAAAGGAACTTGACGCTCTAAGACCTTTTTTTACCTGGCCATAAACATGATCGACTGGAATATCAAAGTAGCCCATAGACTGTCCGGAGTGAAGATCACAAGCAAGGACACGGTCTGCACCAGACTGTGTAATCAAATTGGCCACAAGCTTGGCTGCAATCGATTCACGTCCTTGAGTCTGCAAGAATTTGTAGAACGAAAGAGTCAAATGAAAACTCTCAACTAGAAACTAAATGAAGCCATAGGAATGAGACAATCGATCAAATCCATACAGAAAACTAAGTTGCCAGTTTGACTACTTGTAAATACTAACTACCCATAGATCTTACTTAAACTGAATTAATTACTCTTGGAAACAAACTATTATACATGTACACGAAGATGTAATGCTTTGACAGAAAGATTGATTCCAAGACAGATTCTATAGTTTTCAAAAAAGACTTGCCTTTCTATCAGCTCGCGCATAACCAAAGTAAGGAATAACAGCCGTGATGGTTTTGGCTGATGCTCTCCGACAAGCATCAATCATAACGAGCAATTCCATAAGGTTTTCATTTGCAGGTGGGCATGTAGGCTGTACAAGGAACACATCGCATCCCCTAACACTCTCTTGTAGCTGAACATAGATCTCACCATCAGCAAAACGTTTAATCTTGATTTTCCCAAGCTCCAGACCCAAATAGCAAGAAATCTCCTGTATCAGCGTAAAACACCCAATGAAGAAACAAGACGATTCCAGAATTTACTCTAAACCAATTTCTTCCTAATCGTTTAGGAAGCAATAGAACAAATCTCCAGTTTCAAGCTACTAATTCCTGCACTTAAAAGACCTATCCGAAGTCTATATCAGTTTCTTCCTAGACTAAATTTTCAGTTCCAAGCTACTAATCTTGCAATTAACATAGTTAAGAACGGACCTGAGCCAAAATAGGATTAGCAGTGCCGGAAAAGATACGAAGTCGTGTGGTGTTCTGGTAAATCGAATCTTCCAAACGAGACCTCGAAAAGCTAGCGGGAACGGTGTCGCCTGTAAGCAGATGGAAACCGGCAGAGTTCCCGCCGTCGAACTTGTACGGATCCGCCGCGTTACACTTCTTCAATTCCACAACCAACAGAAACAATCGAGAACAAGATTCATCAGATTCGAGCGAAGACTGTGTAAACAACTGATACCAAATAGAAAGATAGAGTCGGAGAGTGAGAGAAATATATGAGACTTACTAGAGGAAATCGAACGGAAGAAGGAGGACGAATCAGAGAAGAACGCCGGAGATGTAGCGCCGGAAAAGTAGGCGATGGTTGAACAATAGACGCCATGTTCGAGAACTGGATCCGGAGAGAGATTTTAGGGTTTTGAGAAAAGCGCTTAACACAGTAAAAGCAGTCTTTCCTTCTTCTTGCCCGCGAAATGACTCTTCTTCTTCTTCTTCTTTATATACTCAAAAAGTCATTTCTAAGTTTTTAACTAACCGTAACTATTTCCAACTGTAATTGATTTCTCTATAACCAAACACTCAGAATTTTGAAATCCCATTCATTGCTACAAGTGTCTCTGGAAAAGATGAGAAACGCTAGAAACAGTCGCCCGATGTTACAACGTTTGTTATATAGCTCAAACACAAGAAAAACTCCGGATGAAATTCGGTTTATTTTCGGAAGAGATTCCGAGGAAAGTCTCAAAAATCATTTACAGCTTAGAAAGATGGAACTTCGAGTTGTTAGTTTTCTTTAGGATGTAACTCCATATGGAAGTAATGCCGCAGCAACGACTCTTCCTTCTTCATTCAGAATGTTGTAAGTTGATGCAGCATTTCTCTGAATTAAAGTAATCGATATAAGCGTATAAGAAATTATGAAGTAAGCTTGGGACTAGAGAAGAAGCCTGTAGTAATGGATTAAAAGAAACTTACAGAATCAACTGTTTCTAGTTTCATGCCAAGTGACTTCACAAACTGACGGACCTCGGGAGTTACCGGGTGAATGTCTCTTCCACAACCAACAATCAAGAGCTCTGGAGGGTTAGTTAACACACAGTTCAATTATTAGTTTAGAATATCTAATAAGACCTGAGACTGAAGCTAATATGCAGCAAACATTGATTAACCAGAGGTAATAATACGGTTTTATTTTCACATGTTAATGTATCATCTAGTTTCTTGTTGCAAGTACGTGAATCTATTTGAACTGATTACTCTTGGGAACACAAAAGACGATAAAACCTACCTGGAATAGGTCGAACTGTCTGGAAGATAGACAAGCTGCATCCATGGAAATAGAAAAGTACAAACATTTAGCCACCGCTTAACAACAGAATTCATTCAACAGAAGCAAATAACACTTCAAATTGACAAAGCTTTCAAATCCTCTGATAACAATGAACATTGAAAACCTTCAACCAATCTTTTGTTAAAAGCACACAACTTTCACTCAAACACAGTCGTACAAAATCGGCTCAAATCGATATGATTTGGTGACAGAACATTGGTTAGAATCTAGGACTTGGAAACATTGACTGATAATAACAGTTAAAGAAGTATCTACATTGCTCAAGAACACTTCCCTTATTAGAGAAGAGAGAAGATACCTATCAGTGGTGATCTCGGAGAATTTACGAGGACTCCATGACATTAACAAATTCCCTACACAGAGTAAGCTTCCTTCGTATTTGACTCCATTCACAGTGAAACTCGTATCATTAAATCTGCAAATTAGGTAAAGAGAATCAACCACCACGGATTTAGACAGTTCCAATTCTAAAAACCTAAACCCAGAAACAGTCTGGAAAATCCAAAATTAACGACGAACAACAAGAGAGAAAGCTTGGAATTGATTACTCTTGGAAGCGAAGCTGATCTTCAGGAACATTGTCTATGAGATTGATCTGATCATAGAGAGAAAAAGCTCGTCTTAGAGATGGCAAAACAGGATTCGCATGCTTCGGAACTTCTTTTCTCATACTTTGAATCAATTTTGGCAAAGTCGCCATTGATTTCAACCTCATCGCCATCTTCGCCGCAGCTCAATGTCCTCAATCCTGATTTCCGATTTTCACAGCCGTCGAGACCTTTAACCAATCCGGTTTAGTCATTTACCTCTCTGCCAACATCGGTTATCGTATTTCATTGCCAACAAAACCAAAAGCGAACCAAATTCGTTAATACTCCGTTTCTAAGAACCAACACATATAAATTAATAAACCCATCAAAAATCCACCAATTTGACAGACAAGAATCTCATTAAACCAGACAGTTTTTATTTTGTATCATATGAAACATGCTTAGAAAAAAAATACAATTATGTGGAGATTAAAAAACATAAACTTTTATGCGTTCTCCACTTCATTATTAACCAAAGATTAAAACTTCAGAATTTTTCTCCACTTCTGTCCCCAAAAATTTAAGAGCTTGCTCAATGTTTTATCATGGAGAATAGAAGGAAGGAGCTGGGAGGAAAGGAAATGGTGCAGCAGAAGCATAAGCCACCGGAGGTTGAGCCACACGTTTCTTTCGCCTGAGAGGTTTTACTTCATTTGATAAACCGGCTTCTTCTATGAGTTGTTGCTGATTATCATTAGAGACACGGTGTAGAAGAAGACCAGACATGAAAACAGGAAGGAAAAGAAGACTCGCATGGAACATTTTCCTTGCTTTTTGCATGGTTCGGTCTCGGTAGAATGAAAAAGCTGTAGCAGCGATTGCTAGTGTAAGAAGTGTTGATTCGACGCAAAACCAACTTGACGTTAATCCCCCTATCACAAAAATGGAAAGACACAGCAAAAATCAGAAACAGTAGTGCAGCCTTCTAAGTAAAGAAAGATGAATCCACAAGACTCACAGTCGTAGGCGATGAAACCGAGAGGGACCATGTAAAAGCAGTTCCTAAGAGCCACTGCTGCTATTCTCTTCCCTGATGGATCAAAGAGCGACAGCATCTTGTAACTGAAAACAAGGTAAAAGGTACAAATCAGAACTTGGATCTCGTTTGCAATACTTGTGAATGTTCATTTCTAAGCGAAAAGAACTCATTATCTAGCCACCACAAAGTCGACTGCTATGAGACTATCTAGGACACTGAGATCATTCAATGGAAATGAATTAGTTCAAGATGGAAGGAGACATTCTAATCTTAATATGGTATTACCCTCCGGCTGCATAATCATTGCGGCAGAGATGTGCTAGGGCCATAAAATGAGGTATCTGCCAAAAGTAAAGAGCAGCTGGAAGAATCATCGAATTGAATGAAATCTGACCAGACGCTGCAGCCCACCTGAAAACACACAAAATACAGATGAGCATAAATTTGGCAAACCATGATTCCATTTTGAATGAAAAGCAGTATGCAACCCTCACAAAACAGAATCTACTAGAAGAAAAGGAGCAACGATTTACCCAAGCAAGGGAGGGATAGCACCAACAACAGCACCAACCCATGTATTGATAGGGTGAAGTTGCTTCAACGGAGTATAAACAAACGCATAAAGTACAAGATTGGCAGATGCAAGTCCAGCAGCCAACATATTAGTCTGCAATAACCTTGTCGTGGAAGCAAAAGTTTAGACTCACAATCTCTCTATCATCACCAACCCATAAAACAAAGAAATCACATATAAAAACAAACATTCACCTTGCTAGCCAACAAACAAGCACCAGAAGCACCAGCAATAGTGGCCCATGCAACAGCGTGTGGAACACTAATACGTCCTGAAGGCAATGGCCTTAACATTGTTCTCTTCATCTTAGCATCATTGCTTATCTCAAAAATCTAATAAATGAAAAAACAAACAAGTAAGATCAACTACATAAACACAACAAGGATTCGAAATTTATATACTTTTCAATATTCCATAGACTTCGTACCTGATTCAAGGAATTAGCAGAAGCAGCAATCATCATGGTTCCGGCACAAGTATAACAAAGCCCCGGAAAGCTAATTGCAGCATTTCCCGTACCCAGAATATACCCAGTTCCAGATGTTGCAACCACAAGCATACTATACAAACATCAAACAAATGAGAATTTGAATCCAACAATTGGAAATTTCCAAATTTCAAAATTTTCATGAGAAATCGAAAAGTAAGCACATACCTAAGTCGAGCTTTAGAAAGCTCCCAATAACAACGAGCGTAGTGATGCCCTAATCCAGCCACAGCTGCAACTCTAGACGAAATCTCACCGGTGGTAGCTGTGGCTGCCACAGTACCAGAGGCAAAAACTCGATTGGCATCGGATCTAACCCCAGTGATCCCTAACTTAGCAGTTGATTCAGACGAGACCGGAGGCTGGGAGAAGCTATTAACGGCACATAATTCGCGGGACCAAGGAATCAGTCTAGGGTTTGGTAACGAAGAAGAAGCAGAGATCCTTGAAGAGAAACGAGACACAACAGATGTTCGCCACATCATGCGAACTAACACGTTCTGTCGTTGGAATTTTCTACGCGTTGAAGGAGATCGAGAGAAACTACTTCATCATATGAACAGATTGTTTCAGATTACGGTGACTCCTTCACTTTTCCAGGAAATGAGAATTAAAATATAGATATGGTGTCAAAGAATTCAGGGGTACTTGTATAAATAAATCAAAGTATCAACATTTTGGGCCATGGTGTTTTTTTTTTTTCTTTGACCTATGAAGTCTCTTTTAAAATAAAAACTACTCTTTTATGGGCTTAAAGCCTTAGACCAATCACTAGAAAATTCGAAAGATGAATAATCTTGACTGATAAAGATTCATAATGTTGTGCGTTTTATAGAGTTTCACAAGACATTGTTTCAGACAAAAGAAACCTCAATAATCGTTGACCGAATCAAACAAAACTGGCGGGAATCGATTACAACTAAACCGTTAATCGAATCTTTAAGAAGAAGATGTTCATCATTGTTCATCGATGAGAGAGTTCAACATCTTTCTGAATTTAGGAATCTTGTTTGCTTCCACGGCCATCACTAAACCCATCAACTGATAATTCTTCATCTGTGAGAATCGCCAATAAACCAAACATGACAAGCCAGAAACAATTGAAATCAAAACAATGTGTATAAGTCGGAGAGATAAACTTACTTCTTGGGAAGTAACGAGCTGTGAGCGCATAGGGAATGTGAAGGACCAAGAGCTAAGCTGCAAATGCAGTTTTTCCAACATATGTTCAGAGATTATGTTTATCTATTGCACACGGGCAGTCGAGTAGATATATATAAGAATAAGTTACCTCAAGAAAGAGTTCATCTTCAGGCTTAAGAAATATTGTTTCTTCAATGTCTTCACCATGTCGAGGTTTTCTCTGCTTAGGATTCTTCAGCTATATAACCAAGAACATTTATCATATTGTTAAAACAAGAAGGCTGGACAATATGAAATCTTAGCATAATACAAAAAAATTACCTTGTAAATCTTGGTAATTAGAAGATATGACTTGAAGCGGAATGATCTTCGAAGCTCTTCTGTAGGCTATATGAACAAAAAAAAAACTTGAAAACTGTTATATTTGTATTGCTCAAAAGAAGTTACCTATAAGCTTATTTTAAAAGATGGAAACCTCGTCTTCAGTGGCCCATGAGACTTCATCGAACAATCCATCGTACAGTGGAGGAAGAAGTTGTGGAGGAAGGTTCATCACTCTTTGAGATACCAATAAACCAACATCTTGTGCCTTTTTCTCTAAGAGCATTTCTAGATTATTCGCTATAGTCTTTTCTGAACAAACTTTTCGAAGAAACTCTTTTAAGTCTCTAAAGCACTTGTTGTCCTGAACAAACGGCAACAAACACATTCTACGATTAGAATTACTTTAACAAGCCTCACAAAACCAAATCACCAAGTTTCATGTAAGATTATACCAAACAAAGCGTGTATTCGAGGGAGTTTTCTAGTGACTTGCCTTATATCTTGCCATGTTAAGAGCAGTGACAAGAGCAAATACTGACTCGTCCTCATCATCTGCTACTTTCACAACAGTTCCTACAGTTGTTTGCTCCAATATGAAATCAACAAAACTGCTCAAATCCCACTCCTTGTCATCGAGATAGTTTTGTAACAGGATCTTAACCCCATGAAAGTCTGTAGGTTTAGGATCAAAGAACTCAAAGTCTGCTTGCACATCTTCCTTCAAAGATCAAGAATTGAAAGAAAAAAAGATAAATTAGGGATCTTTTTCACTACAACAAAACCACCAGAAGAGTAAATTAATCCCTTACCTGAGAATCTTCTTCATCAGACGAGTCCGATAATTGTTGTTCTTTCCCTTTCTTAGATAAATTAGGGATCTTTTCCTTTTCATCTACAAAATTAGAATGATACATCACTACAATTACAATGTTTGTGAATAGAAAAATCGCAAACACACTAAGGTTTACTCACCAAAAGATATCTCTTCATCAGAACATTGACAATCTTCAGGATGAGGCAAATTACGCCTAGCCATTGAAGCAAAGGAAAGTAACCGCATAAACGGTGAAAATGCTAAAGGCTGATACTTTAACACTCTTCTTCCTGATGATGGTCTTCGAGGCATCTATTTCATTCAATTCACAGCTAAATAATATTTAGACGAATTCACTAAAACCTAATGATATAATCATATTAGCTCTATGAATTGAGTTCAAGGAACTGTAAAAGAAATTGGAAGCACACCAAAAAAACGATAAAGGTCCTTAATTTGAGTTCATCGAATAGAAAACGAAACCAAACCTGGAAAAGTTGATTCAACAGTGCGCAAAAGCCAAACCCAACAAAGTTCACCCTTTCGAGATACGAAGATTGATCAAACACGACCGACCCAGAAGCCAAAACCGTCTCTCAAAACCCAAAACCCGAACAAGACTGTTTGACTTCAATCTAAGAGAAAGCACACGGCGTCGTATTGTAACAAAAAAGAAGCCCTAATTTAAACGACATCGTTTAGACACCAAACCAAACAGAACAAAAGCGACGTCGTTTTTAATGTCATCATCAGCATGCTGCTCTGCTATTATTATCTCATCTTTTGACTATGATTGAATATGAGTTTTGATTTGCAGCTGGAATATTCATGATTTAAACCTACGGTTAGGTGAATTAAACAAAATAAAAAGATAAATATTTGGAGGATATGATTAACTATTGCTTTATTTATTTCACAAGAACAACTAGAACCGTATACAACTCTGTAATATATAATTACAGCCCAAATAAAACGAATCAAAGAATCATATCTTATAACCTCACTAGTCTACTTCCCACGTATATCGTAAAAACATGTAAAATAATCTCCCAAACAGATAACGAATATATATTTACTCCAAAAGATTTGAAAAATGATCAGATTAAAACCGAACTAAAAGAATATCGCACGAACCACCACGAATCGTCTTCCTCAATCAATCTCCGGTGATCAGGAAAAAAATCGGCGTCTTCTTCATCTTCAGCGCCACCAATAATGTGAAATGATCAAAATGTCCTTCAAGGCTTAAGCATCGGATTGTTGTTGTTGTTGTTGTTGTTGTTGTCGTCTATCCGAGCACATACACTCTGGAACAGGATGTTTTGTAACATCTTTACCGGCTTTGCTCATTCTCAATTCCGGCTGTCCTAGCGATTCTCGATGAAGATCTTTCACAATCCTGTTAAAATCCGATTCAGGAAGCGACGAATTCATGAAATAAGGAAGCATCTGTCTCTTATTAGGAGTGATGTATTTCTTGTGACCAGCGTAAGCTCTTTGCCCTTGTAACGCATGTCCCATGTTTCCTCCATGAGACGGTATGAAAACATCGCTCTTTTCGCAGACAATGTAGTCGATAGCAGCCATAACCGAAGCTTTCTTGGCAAATGGTTCAAGCTCGCCTGGTAAAGCAAGATCATGCTTGTTGTAGAACTGAGGGAATTCTTTAGTTAGTGGCTCCAAAACCTCTTTTCCTCCTAGAGGCTCTCCTCCTGCCCAATAGATTCTCGCATTCTTTGGAGCTTCTAATGCTTTAAGCAGCCTGTGGAATGGCAACAAAATATTAGTATCACACAAAACCGAAATACTGAAATGTCCAACCATAAGCAAAAGGATTTGTTCATATAGTTGGTATTATACCTTGTGACTTCTAGAGCAGTTAAAGGGCATAAACCGGCGAGTTTTCTCTCGTGATAAGTCATGTTTGATCTACCGGTAAGAAGCTCAGGGTGAGCTTCCCTTTCGCTGTTGACTATTTCATCGTACTCGGGAGTTAAACCAGGGAGACAACCAGTTCTAACCCAAACATCTTTCTCCATTCTTAGATGAAGTGAGAGATACTGTCCTTGGTTACGCATTCTTGAAGCTAACTTGTTACCAAGTTCAAGAATCCTCGGAGAAAATCTCAGCGCTTGGAAAGCCACCTTGCATCGGAGTTTCTGAAGATCAGACGGAAGGTCCTTGGAGAGTCTTGAATCGAGGCCACGAAGAAGTAAAACTCTTTCTCTGTTAATCTGCAAAAAACAGAGCAAAGAAAAACACTATAATTAGCTCAATCTAGTCAAACAACACACATCAAATGAGATTGTTTTGGTAAGTTCTTACTCGCTTAAGATAATGAGCACGAATCCATTGAGGAGAAGCATGAAGTGGAGTCCTCTTCTCTTCAACAGGTCTCGTCATTACATGTGTAGAAGGTAGAGAAGACACTATATGAACATCATCCGCTAAAACATCCTTGAAATGCTCCAAATCGAATATATCCGCAAATTCACTAAAATTGCAACAAACAAACAAACAATTAGATCAACAATGTCACAATCTTCTCACTTCTTCTTTCAAAGATTATAATGAGTTTAAATTTCATACCTTTCGTCTCCCCAAATGACATTAACCTGTAAAACCGGAACAACTAAAGAAGCACCAAGAATCCTAGCGATCACAACAGCATCAACAATCTGATTCCTTTGCTGATTCATCCCACCAGAGACAACAACAAGCAAATATTTCCATCTGTTCTTCAATATCGAATTGCTATCTCTTCTATACTGACTTGTAAATCCCAAACAGGGCTTAAACCCTAACCCATCAGGTTGTTTCCAGAAATCACCTTCCGTCAACAAAGTCTCGTTTTTTCCACCGTCTAATTGAATAATCCCATTCGAATTCGAAGACCCAGGAGCCAAATTCGATTCTTGAACCAAACCCAGATGGGATTCAGCGTTTTGTTCACCGTCGAAGCTTAATGGATGGTTCGTTGAACAAGGGTAACGTGAGAAAGGGAGAGAGATTGGGTCAACGTTGAATCCAAGTTTCAACATTCCAAAGAGTGAGACGAGGAAGAGAGTAAAGAACCAGATTCTAGGGTTTCTATAAGAGAAGCTGAATCTGTTGATGCTTCTTGATGATTTCTTGGGAGAAACAAGAAGAGATTGCAAAGAAGAAGATGATAAAGAGTTTATGATCTGAGAAGGGACTGAGATATAAGAAACTTTCTTCTTGTTGCTGCTGCTGCTGTTACTGTTTTTCGATAACGCCATTGAAGAAAGAAAGAATAAACAGAGTCTTTGAAGAAGAAGGATTTGGGTTTTGAGAAGAAAGAATTGGGTTTTGAGAAATCGTTGCAATGTTCAGTCACACAGCTACGGCGTTGAATCAGGGAGAGACAAAAAGAAACGTGTGAGAGAGAAAGATGGGCGGCGGGAACGCGAAGTCTGATCAAAGTCTGCAAACGCGTTCTTAAAGGAAGGGAGAGAGAAACAGAGAAGAGACCACATGGCAGTTTTTATTTTGAATTTGTTTAACTGTTTTGTTAATTTAATTGTTTTAATTGTTTTGACTTGTAGTTTCTTTTCTTAAGTGATTAGCAAGTGATTGGAAAAAAAAATTCTGTGATTAAGAGAAGATGCCACAAAAATGCGTTTTTTGTGTGTGTTATGAATGATAAAGTCATTGGAAGTTTTTGGTAGGTCCATTAAGTTTTAAATTCATTCTGCATATGAATAATGAGCCATACTTGATATATTCAATTAATATTTTAAAAACATATCAAAGTCTACTCAATTAATATGCTTCAAGTAAAAACAAAATAATAGTATGTAGAAAAATTGTGCTTCAAGTATTTATGATATAATGAATGGGAAATGATAATACATTCATTTTTTGTCAAAGAAAAAATTTGAATAATTTCGGTGAAAAAAATAACAGTCGTAAACACGAGTTTATTGGCTTATAGCCAAAACCGGCTATGTCGTTGTTCTGTGTTTTTAGTTTTTAGATGTTTACAAATTTTATGATAAATATATAAATACAATTAAACACTTGTGGTTAAAGTTTTCATTTGAATTAGATTACTTGTTGCATAATTGTAATATGACTTTCCACAACAACAACAAATTAATGAGTTATGATATGGAATAAGGAGAACCCCAATCACTTTTCATTTCAAATAATAGAAAAAGTATGTCCGAAAGAGACCAATTTATTGATGTCAAAGTTCAAAAAATTACACAAACCATAATTACGAATAGAAACACAAAAATGTGTATATCCTTTGCGTACAACAACAACGATGACAGTGTCTTGTTATGATACGGCCAGCTGTTTATTTGCATCATTCGAAGAACAAAAGATAAATAAAGCTCACACGACAGCCTGTGTATACACTTAGGGTCTGACTGGAGCGGTTTTACAGAAGAAAATTTTTTTCCCAATTCTTCTGGCTCCACATTTTTTCTTTTTTGTTATCAAAGTAAAATAAAAAAAATAAGGTAAAAGTTTTCTTTTCATATTTAGCAGAAGAACGTTTTCTTCCCAAAATCTGCTTTTACTTTGATAACAAAAAAAAAATATGTGGAGCCAGAAGAATTGGGAAGAAAACCTTTTCTTTAATAAGCCCTATACCTAAAAACAATTAATTAATTATTAAAACTTTCTTTTGGCTCCTCGAATATTATATACCCTAACGAAAATGATTGCTATTAATATTGTAGTATAATTATGTAAGTTTGGTCAACAAATTCTTTTTCTACAAGTGAGTTATAGAGAAAAATGGAAAACGGAACATACAAAAAAAAGGAATTATTACGACATCTTACAAAATAAAGTAAGCTAAGAAGTCACATGTTATTAAGGTAATTTCTTAGAATATGTTTTTTTTTGTTTGGAAATTCTTTTGTCTTAAATTACTTTACAAGTTATATCCAACCTCTTTATCCGAGTGTATGCCAGCTGGAAATCCACTTGACACATCGGTATTCTCTCCACGTCAGAAAAATTAAACGTCTTATCAACTGCCACGTGTCCATCTGCGCCACTCACATGTCTCACGTCGAAATATGAGAAAAATTAAAGTATGACTTTTCACTGTCCAAATATTCTTATTAACCAAAACATAGAGATTGATGCGAATTATTTTTCTATTCGTAACTATAATATTCGATTTAAAACCTATATCATTATACTATTACAAAAAAATTGTTCAATTGTTTTTGAGTGGCAATTTTAAATGGTATCAGAATCACTCCAACTAGTTTTTTCAGCATCTCAATGTATTGATACCAATTGTTGTGTAATTTTTAAAAAAGAAATCCCAAATTTTAATAAGAAAACATATTTAAAATGGGACTGAATTTACTGTCATAACTCAATTACATTATGAAAAATCGACAAATTTTTGGACTATTAATTAAACTTTTGAAAAAAATAGCATAATTAAAGAATAATGACTAAATGTGGTTGTTGCGTTTGTACCGATGGCATCCTCAATTATTCTTCCTTGAGACTTTTTTTTTTTTTTTTTTTCTTCCTTAAGACTTAAAATGTGTAAGAGTCCAAAGCTTTTTTAATATTCTAAATTAGCAACTTGTGAATATCATATGACGTAGAAGTTTGAAGAGTTCAAGTAGACAATAGTATTATGTATTTCGTGTGGACTTGAATATTCTGGTTTGGTTACTGAAAATGATATTTAATTAATTAGATCATATAAAATGGGGTTTATTATCGTTTGGCCTAGCTAGATCTGTCTGTCCTTAGTGTCTGACTATCCATTTAATTATATCTAAAAAATACTGCAAAGTTTCATACATTTCTAACAATTACTTAAGAATATACATTAATATGATAATATCATACACACTTTGAGACGCTGACCAAGTTAATAACGACCATTAATGTTTCGAAAGAATAGTAATTAAAATCATGTACCTACCCATAGACAAGTTTGTGGATGGAGTTCTGGAGGAATAAGAAATAATTTATCTAAGTAAGTAGTATCTCATATTTGGTGTTAAGTTAAATAAAACAATACCTCGAATTATAGTTGATATTTTTTGTTTTTATAAATCCAAAGCCTTTGTTTTGGTGAGGTGCCTATTAAAATATCTATTTTAGTATTTAAATTTTATTTTAACTACAAATAAACATATTTTAAAAAAATCTAAAACATCAATTTTCAGGAAAGATAAGAAGTAAATGGATGCAGTTTTTTTTTCTCTTTTGAGCACAGTAAATGGATGCAGTTACAATCTTAATCTGTATTGTATATGATTATAATTATTTTAGACATCAAACATACACAATTTTCTATTGCTCTTAAAAATTCCTATACTACTTACATATATCCAAAACAATTTAGGTTTTGGTTTTGTATCGATTCACGTAATAAATAGCTGTTTCTTGGGTTTGATTGTGAAATTCAGATGCTCAAACTTTGATGATGATTATATGTAAATAATAATAGGAACAATAGCATAAATAAGGGAATAAAAATGGGACAAGTACAACCAAATAATAGGATCAATAATTTTGGTTTAGAATTTAGGTTGTGATGTGGGAAACGCAGACGAATTACGACTTACGAGTTCATGCTTCTTCGTCCTTATCCAAATGACATTATTCGAAGTTGATGCAAAAATAAAATTAGACTTAATCGTAGAATATTACGATTATTTAATATTCGTCGGAATTTTAGGGAACCGTTGGATTAGTGGAGTTTTAGAATGTCATCACGTTGCACCACTTCCTCGAGTTAGAACAAAATGATAATCTTACCATAAGATTATAAAGCATTATATGATTATATCAATGGTTATATTATTTCTTTAATCTCGATTTCATGTGCTACTGTGTTATTAGATCTGTCCTCATGTTCCCCCTTTGTACCGTTTTCGAACTCAATAAATACACACAGAAATTTATTAGTGCATAGTGTTGTTTTTCTTGTAAATTAAAAACCAATGCATAGTACATATATTGTTGTTTCCCTGAGATTAAACAAACCCCGAGTCCCATAGAATTTAGTTATTGGGCAGCATAAAACATCCTCGAAGTATTAATGGATGGAATTATTCTCAGTTAACGTTATACAAGAAGAAGAATATATATGGACCAAAAAGAAAAAAGAAAGAATATCAAGAATTTGCTCAATAATGTTAAGAATTTTATCATCCCTCTTTGACGGCAATGAAGTTGGACCTACGTGCATCAAAATACATACGATTTTTTTTTTTTTTTTTTGTGAATACGAAAACTAATATGCCATATTTATTATATGTAAATTTAGCTGGAATTTTACCATATGGAATAATTAATGTCCATTATTAGTTACATATCATATGTATACTTATCGAATTGTAGATATGCGCGGGCATTTTATGCATGTGTAGTGTACACATACTTATATATATGTAACGTATGTACCAAACATTTTGATTGTTATATTAATTAATTATTGTAATTAAGTTGTTTTTTTTTAAGACACGCGCAGATTAATAGTTAAATCCTCTATCTTGGAAACTAAAACATAAATTGACTGAACAGAATTACAAAGAATTTAGAAGATTTTTTTAATATATAGAAATTATAACTATAATCAAACTAATGTTCAATATCATGTATCATGTATATATTGAGCTAGTACAATGTCGTTGTCTCAAATACATAATTGAATACCGATTACAGAAATTCTAGAGGTTTTAATTAGTTAATTATATAGAATAGAGAACTCGAAACCCTAATCATTCAGCAATAAGGACGAAGCTATCTTAATCATTTATCTAATTCTTTCACTTCTAGATGCATTCGTCATCTGTAACAACTTACTTAGCTTAACAACTCCTACCATACATAGTTAATATACTTTGTGTTCTTGATTTGGTGAAAAGGTGTACTTTACGCATACAATTTTTAAATTTCATAAATGATTCAGTCATCTAATCCGTTCAGCAATTTCAGAATAATCGACTAATTTTATTCAGTGGGGGAAAATGAAGAAAAAAAGATTAGCAAAAATGTAAAGAGATGGTGCTATTGGTGGGTACATCAATTTGGTTAAGAATCATTAGTTTCTTAAGTAATTAATTTGGTATAGTTTTAATTAAGTACAGTTAGGATTAGGATTATTATTTTCCCTTGTCTTGATGCCTTGAGGCATTTACGATGGGACATATCGATGACAGCTAGGAGTTGAACCACCATTTTTTTTTTTGTGAATTTTTTTTTTTTGTGAAAGGAGTTGAACCACCATTAAGACTTTGTTTTTATGGTTAAACCTCTAATTGAGACTTTCTTATTAGAACAACCCCATCTCCTGAATTTTATATGGCCAATAAAATCATTAAGAAAGAGAGTATTTTCACAAGTTGTTTTGATATATGTACTTTTTAATATTAAGATGCATGGCTTAAGACCACAAGTGTAATTATTATATCAATAGTATGTATCTCGAAAGTCGAAACCCTAAAGAGGTCTTCACGTAGTGTCGCAGTAATCTCTGGGAAGATCAGTAATGACTTCAAAGACATTTTCTGTTGTTATAATTAAGAGTAAAAATAAAGATTTATGATGAAAGAAGTACTTTGTTCGTGTTAATATATGATTCAAAAACCTAATATTATCATGGAATGATCATGATTTTTCCTCTTTTTTTTTGTTTTTTTTTGAATGAATGTTAAATTTTATTCATCAAGAAAACCTTTGTTACAACATTTTTTGAATGATCATGATTTTTCCTTACATAATAAAAAAGAAAAAAAAAAACTCTATGATGATGCAATAATAATAACCTGAAATTATATATGGACATTTTTTCAATTCTGTAAACAATACAAGAGAGCATTATTGCTTCAAATATTGCAATCATAGTTGAGAATGGGAGATGTTTGTTTGCGTATGAAACACTAATGTACTTGCGTGTTTACTACAGTATGTTCTATGGATTTATGGAAATTTGCCACGTGACAATTTTATATTCGCAGAAACTTTGGAGATGACACATGCTTAATTTTGAGTTTTTTGGACGTGTTAGGACTACAAATGATTAGATAAAAAATAAAACAAAAGTGGAAATGGAAAGGTACTCGGAACTTGAAAATCAAGTAAACACGATCTATAGGTAACTAGAAAAAGAAAAACTATTTTTTTGTGCACTCTTCGAATCATTACTGTAATGAACTAAATCAATAATGTGATAAGGCCTCCCACTAAACCCAAGATCCAAAGTTTCAATTCGATCGCAGAAAAGGATAATTAATTTTTTTAATAATGATATCATATTGTCCAAGTTTCAATGAACTCTTATAAAAGATGTGAAAACATGATGGGACCATCCTCATGTGAGAAAAAACTGAGCATTCTCTTATCTTATCCCCATCGCAAGGTAAAGGCGATCACTTTCTCATGTTTTGTAGTATAGTATATAAATGACATAGACATGTTTTGTATTATTGATGAGAAAACGATGGATTTAACTAGCCAAACACTTAAGTAGTACCTAAATATGTCTTAATAAATCCAAATAGTTAACTGATCAGTCGTATGTTTGATTGTTTGGACAAGATCGCACCATTGTGTAAATGATATATATCCATAATGATTATAGGACTAAAACATTCATGGATAAAATGATGAAAACCACATTTGTTTAAAAATCGATCTAGGGGATTGAGTAATTTATCTAATTCTAATTCGAAAGTCAATAAGATCCCCACAAGGTGCCTTGTTAAGTAGGCAAAGATAATTAATGTAATAAACCAGTTTTGTATACAATGGACCAAACAGATATAAGGTTTGGACTTTTGGTCTCATTCAGAATACGCCAATCATATGGGAACCAAGGACATTAACAGACGCCGATTGGCCAAACTTAGTGGCCAACCAACATCATCATCATCATCGATCGTTTTCAAAATTATTTTTCCTCCAGTTTTAATCTTGTTGTGGAAAAGACGATCAAGCCCCTTGACTTGTATATACACAAGAAGGTCAACGTAGAGAAGTATGAATTCATTAAACCAGCATAATAGGAGAAAAAGGGTAAAAGAAAAAGAAAAACAAAGGGTGCCCCCAAATTTGATGGCTCACATGAAGAAGTTTCGCATATGGGTTCATGGCCCATTTAAAGCCGACGACAATGTCTTATCCTTCATTATTACTAGACTAGGAACCTGGACTCTGTCTGTCGATTGATTTTGTTATCATTATCTTAATTCTTAAGGTTTTTGTTAGTTTTCTTTCGTTTGTCGTATATCTATTGCATAGATCTTAACATATTACAATAAGATCTGTTTCAGTTCAGTTGGAATCGAATATATCAATCCCGATGAAACAATACTTTTACAGAAAAAAGATACATTACGTAATCAAAAATATCATATAGTGGTGAATGTTAATAGCTTAAGAGACACCAAAACCGCTTTGTGTAACATATGGAATAGACGTTCGACACATTATTCAAAAACATAAGAAATGTTTTAAAGGAAAGAAGAAGAAGAAGAAGAAGATAAGAGAAGAGTAAGCAAAAAAAAAAAAAGATGGGAACAAGAAGAATGGAGGTGTAGTTGAGAGGGAACAAACACTAGAATTATGGCATGTGACCATTGTCTTCTCTTTAACTCCCATGTGGCTTTCTTTATTGCATTAGTTGTAGCACCCTTTTTATTTTGCTGCGGAGTTAATAACAATTCCAATTTTATAATCCTGATTCCTGATCTAGATCATTTCTTTTAAAGCTAGATGACCGTTGTGAAAGATAAAAAATGTATTCATATAAGCTAATTTATGTCAGTATGTGATAAGAAATATTGTATTTTAGTATTATACATGTATCAAAATCTACGAATTTATCAATGTTCTGACATATATGATGTCAAAGAAGAAAAAATCAATGTAATTATGGTGGATCCCTTTAATTATATCTTTATCTGACCACAACACATAATGTAATAGTTTGTATTAATGATATCGTTGTGTCACAACGAAATTTTAAATCCACATAATCCATGTTATTAAAATGACGTCGCTTTACATGTTTTGCTTCACAAAGATAAACTAAAAGTTGGAAGAACAAAAAAGAAAAAAAAGAACAGTAATGCAAATGACCGGGTATCTACATAACGGGCTTCAAGATTTTAAGCCCAATATATCCCTAGTTAGTTTTGAAGCCCATATGTTTTTTTTTCCAAAAAGGCAGCTGGTTCTTTTCAATTCTGGCAAGTTTTGGGAAACCATATTTAATTCGATTCTTCAAAATATATACTAGACTACTAGTAGACAGGAGAAAAAAAAACTCTTCTCCCTTGATAAGGAAAAAAAAACAAGATTAACATAGTAAGCCTTATTATATTACATACTATTTTATCAGCTTCAAAATTCTGAAATCTTAGGTCGTTTAACTTTTGACTTTTTCACCATGTCTTTATTTATTTTCTTCAAAAATTCCTTGAACCACATTGCTGACATTTTCGGATGCCTTTTAAGCCCATTTTTATAGTCTACATAGAACAACCCATACCGTATTTCGTACCCGCTATTCCATTCGCAATTATCCAGCAAAATATCCATCTACTTGTACCCCATCCTCATTTCAAAAATATTTCATTTTTCGATTAATTTTTTTTATAAATATTGATCATCAAATCAATAAACATGTTTTGTGAAGCAAGTAAAAGGCTTTTAAGAAAAATAATTTAATAATTCACCTTACTAGATGGCTTGGTGAAGGTTGCTAATATGTTTCTTGTGATTACATAAGGATAACGAATAATGAGATCACTGAATATGGCTAGCTTTTAGGAAATACTTAACGGGCCGATCATTCAGGCCCATATAAACAGAGACACTGAATCTTTCTCAACGATTTAGATCAAAACAAGTTTCCAATAACAAAACACACAATAAATTATAGAAAAGAATAGTACAAATTATAACATGGTTCTTTTTTTTCTTTTTTTTTTTCATCTTATAACATGGTTCTTCTTCAATCTTTCAAGAACAACAACAAATTCCAACACTTTTTTAGATTTTGTTTCTCTGTTTCAATTATTAGCTCCTTTGAAGAACAGAGAAGTACCAACAGTAGCAGACACAACGAACAAGCTCCCCAAAACCGCAGGTAACGCACCACTGTCTTTAATGGAATGAACAAATTGACTGTCTTGAACAGAATGCAATAGCTGTTTTCCATAGCTCTCTTTCTTTTCTTCTTCCTTAGACGTCGAAGAAGATTCTTGATCAAACCTCAAGAACTCTTTCAACCATAAAGCCGACATTTTCGGGTATCGCCTAAGCCCATCTTTGTAATCTATGTAATACAAACCATATCTTACTCCATATCCACTGTTCCACTCGAAGTTATCTAGCAATGACCATACGTAATAACCTTCCACTCTTACTCCATCTTCACTGTTAAATTCAAGGCATAGAAAATATCTTCAGTGATTTTCAGATATGCTTATAAGTTAGATATACTTAGTCATATGTGTCTAACTTACTGGATGGCTTGATGAATCGCATGGATATGTCCTTCTATGTACTCCAATCTCTCTGTGTCGATTGAAGGATTATACATATACAGACTCTGACTCTGTTCCGCTACTTCACCATACCCTGAGATTATCACAGAAAATGTCAAAATGTCACATGTCAAGAAACAGAGATATATACGAATTACTCATGTCAAGAAATTTAGTGTGACTATACCGTTCTCGGTTATCAGAATCGGAGGATTGCCATAAGTGTTTTTCACATACTTCAAAATGTTTCTGAGTCCTGTTGGATATGTGAAACTCCACTCTGATCCTCCTTGTTTCGCTATTTGTTTCCCATCTATGTTGGTTTCTGCGAATTGTGTTTAGAATGAGCCATAGGTTAGTCACAAAGTTTCCATCATCATCATTATTCATAATCACCATTATCATCAAAAAGACATACTCATCCAATCTACGCCTTGGTCAGTTCTCCAAGTAGGTTGCGTAGGATCCACGTTTTTGATACTCTTCACAAAAAGTGAGCTATAGTAGTTTATACCAACGTAATCGCAAGAGCCTATCAGTTTCTTGGATTGTTCTGGTGTAAAACTCGGTAATCGATCTCCAATTGATTTCTTCATCGTTTCTGGATAGTCTCCACAAGCAGTCGGGTGGTGATGCCTGCCAAAATATCGCGACAAGAAGACAATCAAAAACTAATAAATTTTGTGAATTTCTATCGACTCAAAACTAATCGACAATGAATAGACCGACTCATCTCTCATTTGGACTATATTATTTAAATGTCGATTCGTAACAATAGATATTACTATGAAAAATGAAGTTTATCAACTTGAATTTTAGTCATGACTTACCAACCAAGCATGAAGTCCATAGCTCGATTACATCCTTCTACATCCTCTGGATCATTCGGATCATACGGCTCGTACCAAAGTGGATTATGCGCAATCCCAATTTTTCCATTTTTAATCTGCATTGTATTCAAATCAGATCAATACAACAAAACATATTGGAAAGTGAAATATGATCCATTAATGGATATTTAAACTCTCTTCTTACATGGTCACATTTTCTAAACACTTCCACTGCTTCTGCGTGCGCTAGAAGCATGTTATGGCTCACAATATATGCCTCGTATCCGGACATTCCAGCAATACTAGCCCCATTAACATACTTCGAGCACCTTCCTGGCGCTTTCCTCCCTGTGTCATATCCCGCGACACTGTAGACCCACGGCTCATTCATAGTGCACCACAGACTCACTCTGTCCCCAAATCTCTCGAAGCAGAGACTCGCATAGTCTCTGAAGTCATCTCTGCATAAACACATGACCTAACATAAATCTCTCGAATGGATACATCCAGAACTTGTATTTTAAAGTTCAAATAAATGAATTGGCTTACATGATCTGCTCGCTTAGAAAACCGCCGTATTCATCTTCAAGATCCTGAGGTATGTCCCAATGAAAGATAGTAACAAGAGGAGTGATTTCATTGGCTAAGAGTTCATCAATAACATCATTGTAAAACTTAATTCCTTCTTCACTAACTCCTCTCTCCCTTTTGCCATCTGTTTTTGTTTTCCGCAAAATCAACCACCAGGGATTATTAGTATCGATTTGGTAACCGCCACCGAATGTCGATAAAATAAGGTTTCGAAACCAGTGGTATACTTACAAGGTAGAACTCGTGGCCAAGCAATGGAAAGCCTAAACGAATCCATGTTTATATCCTTCATTCTCTTGATATCTTCCTGTACAAGAAAATAATCACAGATCTTCAATTGCTGTAACTTGACAAGTAAGAAATTGGAAAAAAAAAAAAAACAGAACAAGAAGAGAAGAAAAGTACCTTGTAACGATGGAAGAAATCAACGGCGACATTTCCGTCACTAGAATCACTGATTCTGTGAGGAAACCTGTTGGAGAAATGATCCCACATGCTTTGTCCTCTCGCACCTTCACTCACTGCTCCTTCATACTAATTACAAAAAAACAAAACTAAAGTAAATATCATTTGATCTTGTAATGTTTTTTTAGTTCTCAGTTCTTGATTCGAAATAATTTACCTGGTAAGAAGAAGAAGCAGTTCCAAAGAGAAAGCCTTTTGGAAAGCTAGCTCTACCCTTTGACATCTCAGTAGGAAAGGTTCTTTGAAGACTGCAGATTAATTTCAAAACATTAAAGATTGTTAACACAATTTCTCTACTATATGAATCTTCAAACGGTTGGCATCAGAAAAAAGCACTCACTGTGCCATCTTTGGTTGCTTTTCTCTTGTCTTGAACTAAAAGCTTTTCTTGATTTTTGCTGAAGAGTTTTGATTCAGAAGAAGTTGGAGAAGAAGAGATAAAAAAAGAATGAAGATGAGAAGTAGATCTTGAAATAATCTCTGGTTATAGAGATACTGAGATAAAGCCTTGAAACGATATAATATATAAATGCGTGATTGAGAGATACAGAGCATTGAGAAGTCAAACTAGGATTACAATTTTTTTTTGGGATTTTTTTATTATTTTCAAATCGAATTTGATTGAATCCTATTGCATCCCGTCTTGTTTGCTTACTAGATTTTATCCCGCGGTATATCACGGGTCGATTTTTAACTAAAAAAATCAATTTTAAATTGTATTTTTCATATTGTTTATTTGTTAAGTGTTTAAGATTATATAATTATATTTTGATTGTTAATTTTAAGATTTCATCCGTGATATTAATACCGTCCCGTATTAATATCGATCCAAACCCGTCCACTATATAACTCTGTCCCGTGAAATTAAACATCATTTTGTTATTTTTAATAATATTTTATTTAATAGACATATAATTTGATTCAATTTAAAATTTTGATTTTATATATAGATTTTTAAAATTTATTTAATAATAATTAATTATATATAATAATTTCTGAATTAATTGTGTATAACCGACAGTCAAGATTGAAGATTAAAAACCGGATTAAGATTTGAATGGCCAAAATTAAAGAAATCGAATACGCAAATCGAAATCGAATTGAATATGGATATAATTGTGGCAAGGATTAGTTATGTTTAATATATTATGTTAAAATTTTTGGAAATGGTTTTTTATGTTAATATCTTGATTTAATTTTAAAATCTAAATAATTAATATCAATAGTATTTGATCGTAATTAAGTTGGAACTCCATGATCTATTTCATAAATGTCTCCAAAAATATATATATAGATTAAAAAAAAATACTATCAATAAGACCGGTCAACTTCAATTTTTCAGCACACTTGCATAATTTAATCTGATATTAAATTAAATTTGCCCTTTTTTTTGTCGGCAATTAAATTTGCCCTTAGCCGATTTACACCTTACACATACATAATTATTATTCTTAATTTACCGTGAATATTGTCTGTCTCCATAGTATTTATTCGATACTATTATAGATGCCATTAACCCAATAAATTTCTTTATTTATGTTTAGGTTAGTTTGGTTTAGGCTAGGATCACCTGAATTTAAAAAAAAAAAAAAAAAAAGTTATAGATTAAGTGAAAAAAGGACCCTAGAGGTCAATAATATAGATGAGTTCCATGGGGACCCAAATCCAACTATACCTAATCAATGGATTGGATTCAAATAGATGGCGGTTTTTTCGGGTTTTTTCCCCCAAAAAAAATGCAAATGCTTTATATCCGTGTAAATTAACATCCATGCATAATTTTACTTCTTTTTTTTTGTCAAAAGGATTTTCATGTGTCATGTTCATAAAGTGGAAAACCCCATTGGACCAGACCCATACAATTCAAATTATATACTTTGCGCCTAATGGTATTGATATCATTTGGAATAACAGATTTCAGTTTTTGTGTAATAATGAAGTCTTCGACTTCGAGTCCTCCTTCTGTTGTGTTGGTTCTAAATTTATAATCTTTTTTTTTTGTTCAACAAATTTATAACCTAATGTTGTATTATTATTATTTGTGTATCCTCCGATCAGTCAACTCTTTTTGGATCGAGGCAGGATACTTGAGAGGGTCGTCGTTGACTTTGAATCGTTCATAAGAACTAAAAAGGGCATATTGGTAATTTACTAGAAATGCGTGAATAAGAATTCGTCCTGGGTTGTACTAGGCGGGGACCACTTGACAAATTAGAATTAGTCTTGATGACGTGGCGTCGAATTGGTCAACTTTGTCGTCGATTTTTTGTTTTTTTTTTTGCCGTCGACTGATTTCATTATCACTGGTTTATAAAAGCGTTTAGCGTAATCATTAAAAACAAAAAGACTTGAAATCACATAACAGCACAGACTTCGGATCGGTTTACAAAGGAAGGAAGCGTCAGTACTTGAATACTTTATTTGGTTATACTGTAGTAAATATACACACTGATTCACTGGAATAGTTTCGTCATTATTCCAGTGATTAATAGAGAGCTCCTGTAACTGAAATACTTTCGTCATTATTTATAGTAAATTTCTTCCATTTTTTCTTGACATCTGTGGATAGTGGATTCATTACTTTGAATGCCATATACAAAAGTTCCGATGAAGTTCATGATTCATGACTCCTGAGTAGACTCGGTACATAAAAATGATAGGGAAAACAAATCTCAACACCGGCTTAGAGAAGTTCAATGGTGTTTTTTAGTGAAGTTCTTAAGAAATCTTTAGCTTAAAAAATCATTAAAACTAATGAAAACAAGATATTAGAGTTTCTTAGCTTAAGAATTGTTTCTTAGTTTAGAGTTTTAGGATTTGTTAAGGACTCATGTTGTGTTGCCTTGTGATTGGGTGAAGAAAAAATATAGAAGCCAAAAATAAATTTATCTTTTGTTTTTTTTATTATGCGACACTTATTTTTCTATCTTGCAAAAATTTATCCATTTTTCTTGTTTAAATGCTAAAGTCTTGTTTTTGTGAATGAGGTTTTACTAAGATTTGGATTCATATATGGCATAAATTTGGCACGAATTAAGCTAACGACTAATCGTTATTCCGGTTTTTGATTTATATTTTTTATAGACTTTTATGTTTTGTATGTTTAAAATTTTAGAAAATTGTAATAATTATTAAGTTTTATCAAATAAAAATGTTTATAATTTTCATTTTAATATATATATATGTATATATATATATATTTTTAAAAACCCATTTAAGGACTCTACCATTGGACAATGAAAATTTTAAGGATTCAACACAAACTTTTAATTTTGAAATTATCACAATTTATAATAAAAAATGTTTAAGAGTTCTTTTAAGGACTTTACCATTGGACTTGCTCGTATGGGTTAATTCTTGTTCTCTTTTGTATAGTATACGTTGTAACAAAGCATTTCTTTCGCGGTTTTTTAATTTAAAATATAAAACGTTAAGTTTCTGAAAATAAAGATAAAAACAGCAACCTATTTTTGGGGGTTACATTAACGTTTCATATAAATTAACGGATGTATGACTGTTATGTAGTAGTGCGTACCTTTTTAGAAACTACAGTAATGTATTTAACATAATAACAATAACATCTACTTGTCGATTTGATCATTGTTTTTTGCAGACAAAAACAAAAATATTAATAATAGGTTGGTGCATGCAATAATTGTGTGATGATCATCCGTAATGGCCTGTTGGATATTTTTTTCTGTAGTACATATGAAGAGGGTGAGAGTCCAAGTATATTCTTCTCCGGGTCGTCATCTGAAGACCCAACATTCAATCCGGTTCGGATCTCAAACCCGAGTGCTTGAAGCCTCGAACCACGGCCCAGTATAAAAAACAAATCTTGATACATATATAATATATTGGTGTCCCAGTCTGGGATAAACACTGCTAAAGTTGCATGTTTTTATTTTATTCTTAGGAATACATAAGAAAGTTGTATAAATTGAATACATTAATTATAGCTATTACTTGCGCTAGTCCATTTGACAGGAGGACGAGTTGGATAGAAAATGATGGTACCAAAGAGCAGAACTCTTGAGATATCGTTTAAGTCCATCTTGAAAATCAACGTAGACCAATCCGTATCTATATTTGTAACCAAATTCCCACTCGAAATCATCCATTAATGACCATACATAATATCCTCTCACATCTGCACCTTGACTGTTTCAATGTTCCATGAAAAAGAACATCAGTCGTCAACATTATTAGATTTTGTAAAAGTATGACACAAGTTTGGATATTTGAAATTCTTTGCATAGGAAATTATAATAATTCTTTAACAAAAAAAAGAGAAAGAAATAATAATAATTACCTGACTGCTTCTAGAAGAGCAGAGAGATGGAGTTGGTGATATTTGATCTTTTCCTCGTCATTGAGAGCTTTGTTGACGGATAATGATTTGTCATTGTCGCTAGGCATTCCTAATTAAGTATGTAAAACCCACCCAAAAAGTATGTAAATATCAGAATAAGTAGGGAAAAATAATAACAACAATTGCAATCAAATTGTTTTGACCAATATATCCGATCTAACAAAGTTTTCTAATTACTAAGAAAGAAAGCTGTAAAAAAAGAAGGAACAGAGTATTTTATTTTGTTTTTATAAAATTACATATAAAATATATATGTTAATTTTTAATAAAAAAATATCAACTGTCATTTTTTATTTCTAAAAAATATACATATTATTTTGGCTATTTTTTTTTATCAATGTTAAAAATAGAGAGATTATTAACTGGTTGCAATTGTTGGTATGCATTCAGCATATATATAAAACCCATTTACCAATATCTTTTACTTTTACCTACCATTCTCTGTGACAAGGATTACTGGGTTTTGATACTTTGATTTTATGTATAATAGAACATCTTGGAACCCTTTTGGACATATAAAGAGCCAATCAGCACTCGTCTGAAAATTAAACATTTCAAAATATAGGATTAAATAACTTTAAGTATATTTACTCACCCCTATTACACTAATTAGATAAATAAAATCAACCTACATGTGGAAGAAAAATCTTACCGGTTCACCCAGAGGAACTCCATTTTTCTCCGCTGTAATTTTCAACAATACGTTTCAAACAAAGTTTTTTTTTTTAATAGTTGGTGAAGATAATTTGGGAAATAAGTTTATTTTTGTTACTAGTTTGATTGACGCGACTGTCTGTTGTGTAACTCAGATTGGTGTTAGCGTAGAACATAACATCTTCAACGTATCTTGAAGTGTAATAGTTGAGTCCAAAAAAGTCAAAGGATCCTCTCACCATTTTTGACTGCTTTTTTGTGAATTTTGGGAGCCTATTTCCCACCAACTCTCTCATTGTCTTAGGATAATCTCCGTAAGTAATCGGATCAGCAAACCTATCATACAATATGTAAGTGTGAACCAACATTACTAGTCATATTAAAAAAAGGAATAAACAAAACTTTTTCGAAAATGAACCTCTATTTAGCTAAATCACTTTTACTCGTGTTTCACAATAATAATTAATTGTTAGTAATAAAATC